CCCCCAAAAAACCTAGCACAATGATTCAAGTGGTGTTACCATTAACCACCCTGATTGCAGCCATACAAAACCCACCATCTCGACCTCTCCACCAACGCCCAAAAGGAACCGTGGTTCCTCGATATCAACCCGAACGGTCGAATCCCAGTAATCACCGATACATTATCCGATGGTTCACCCATCCGCGTCTTCGAGTCGGGATCAATTCTCCTCTACCTAGCGGAGCGATACGACACGGAGCTCAAAGTTTCATACCAGAGCGGTTCACCAGAGTACTTCGAAACGATCAGCTGGCTGTTCTGGCAAAACGCCGGGCTGGGGCCGATGCAAGGCCAGGCGAACCACTTCCGACGATACGCGCCGGAGAAGGAGCAGCAGGGGTACAGTCTGAACCGATACCAAGCCGAGACGAGGCGTCTGTATGGCGTTCTCGGAGCGCACCTCGGCAGGAAGAAGTCGCCATTCCTGGTGGGCGACAAAGCCACGATTGCCGACTTCTCCGTCTTGAGTTGGACGCTGTTTGCAGACTGGGCGGGCGTGGATATCGATGAGTTTCCACTGGTGAAGAGTTGGGAGGAGCGCGTGTGTGCGATTCCCGGGGTGATCAACGGAACAGAGGTGCCGAAGCCGACGTTGGATTTGAGGCACATGTCAGCCAGACAGAAGGAGGAGTATGCGCGAAAGGCGAGCAGGTGGATTGTTCAAGATGCAGGTAAACAGTAAATGGTGCCGATAGCGATCGTTTTAATTCTTGTCTATGCACCAAGAAGTGAATTTCCAAGAACTCCCTGTGACCCGTTCCATGTACTCGCGACGGATGCCATTATGATGAAATGCGTGATGATCATTGCCAACGGACAAACTGGGCCACAAAAAAGGCACCGTGTCTAGCGCACCTTGGTGGCCGTTAGCTAAGCTTCGATTTTCTTTGGCCCTGCCTGCCGGTAAAAGAACGATGTTTGAAGAGAGACTCTTTGTCTCTATTCCTTCTGGGTTCTCGTGGCGGATCATGAAATTCCAGATCGCTGTCGAGACTTCCTGCTCCCCAAGGCTTGGTAACACACCGGAGCATGCTGGGGCTGTTTGTTTCAACGGCACACAGAGCTAACAAAATGGTGTGTGGAGAGCACAGCCGGCGATGCATAAAGATTCGTACGGTGCCACCCAAATGATTAATTTTCTTATACCCCGTTCGCATAAAGCGAATGCGTAAAGCGGGGCGGCTTGAGAGAGTCTCTTGAGGCGGGCCTGATTGCGTGGATTAGATCCGCCTGTCAGGCTAGATTTCAGGTCCAGGTAGAGATCAGCCGCTGGGCGCTTAGATTGTCATGAAGCGCAGGATGGTTGGCGAGTGCAGCAGGTCATCTCCAGGTCGAGCTCTGTCTCATCAGGAGTAATGTCCCAAGATTTGCAGTCAGCAGGCGATCGCAAACGGCCTGAAACACACGCTTCGATGCTTCACTCCCGTTATTGATGGACATGCTATTGATAACGGATTGGGGATCGATTCACTAGGCGCATTTGAGGGTCATTCCTCTCCACGAACTCCAATATCAGGTCGAATAGGTGGGTGAGGATTTTGTTGTCCACGCACTTACCGGGTGTGAAGGATAAGGTGGTACAGATATGGGGGCGAGTAAGGTGTGTTCTTGCTTCAAGAGAGGCCTAACTAAGTCGAACGCGATTCTGAACTCTGAAATGCTTCTGCAACACAATCATGCCACAGGAGGTTATGTCCCTCAGTGAATTGATTGTAGAGTTTCTCCAAGGACCTAAGCCGCATGCGAGTCGGGGGTTGGAGGCCAGTCAGAGTAATCAAAGACACAGTCATAGTAGATCCGGTTAGGGGATAGAATCTCGTCCAGAAGGTTTATTGTCTCAGTCAAGGCGACAAGAGGGCCCACGTTGTCAGGATTGAAATCACGATCCATTGTCCGTCTCGCCGTATGCGTAGGGTCATGTGACTCGGCGCGAAGGGTGGAGTTGTCCCGTACAAGGCTGGTCACTCCGCACGAGGCTGCGGCGTATATGTACCGCTGAGCTGCTACGTTCACACTCGTTAGCCCCTGCGTCCCAGAATTCATAATCACGGTCGAGTATCTCCTGTAAATGGTTGCGTCGTAATAGCTATGTAAACAGGTAACACAATAGATATAGCTAGGTCATAGTAAATAATAGTGAGCGTATCCATCGTTGATAGCGTGATAATGGTTATTAAGACAGCATTGACAGAGATACAAGCATATGCAGATACACCAAGCATGATCCATCTCTTCTCTGGACGGCCAGCGTCTCGCCTTGTCTGTCCCGAGACAAAATTTTGACAAAATGTCTTTTTGATGCTCTTGCGAGAGTCATCGCTAAACAAATATATATCTCAAAAAAAAAAGGGGGGGGGAGGGCGTAATAACACAATCGTCTTGAAATGGTGAAAGGGAAATAGAGGCCATCAAGACCGCGAAGGGACAAAATAAAGTGAGATAAAAAGAAGGCCCAAGTCAGGATGATGTCCTTCGGTAGATAATAGCTGAGGATGGAAGGGCTCACGCTAGAGCTGCGGTACAGTCGAGGAATTTTGGATGAAAGCGGCGTGGAGACCGTCAACGGGGCGTCGAACGTTCGGACATCGACATAAGCTCGTAGAATTTTAAGCGCTTATTCGAGGCATAAAGAACAGAGGGCGTTGACGTGATGGTGTCGACTGGTAGATGTTCTTTGTGCGCCTGGAGGCAGTGCCACTGTGTTGATGATCACTTTTGTGGCACGATTCTCCTCAACATGCTTCGAGATCCGGCTGAGATGCAATACGTCATATGTAATATCATTTCAGTGGTATGTGGCACGAGCCAGCACCTCTTGTAGAAGGCGGTCGACGACGCCAGCCTCGTCGAAGGTAGAATCTCTGAAAGTCTCATACTCGAGCGCTTCACGAATTTCTGTCACTTTTTGCGCGTCCCATGAAAGTCGAAAAGTGCCGTCTGGACGCTCGATGTCAACGTTCAGCGCGCTCCATTTGTCTCTGGTGGCATCTTGCGTGAGCAAGCTGCGAATGATGGTGGAGACGCTGATATCGCTCTTCTGAACATTGCCGTGTTCGAAATGCCTCTTGTAGTGAGTGGCAAACTCCCCCACATCTTTCTCCAGGTTGACACACAAGCCGCAGGCCCAGTGTTTTCTTTCTCGGATACAAATCTCTTCAAGGCACTCCCCATTACCCTCGCATTTACTATGCCGAGTACTGTGATGCCTCTTCCAAGTTGAGGGACGGTGTGTTTGAGGATAATCGCAATGCTTGCAGCAGAATGTGGAATTCTGGTCGTGGTTTGCGGTCAGATGCTTCGCAAGTTCCTTTGGGCTCAAAAAGTCTTTGGTGCAGCCGTCTTCCGGGCAAGGACACTTGAATTTCCGAATCCGATTGCGATTTGGTGTTGGTTCATGTTCAGTTATGAATGAAGGTCGAACAAGGGTATCTGGGTGCCAAAACTGTCGTTCCCCTCCGCTCGGCAAGAGCAACTCGTCCACAGCGCTTGTCGAGAGAGGCATTTCAAACGCAGTTTGTGAGGCAGGAGGAGCAACGACCTGCGTGTCTGACTGTCGCTGCATACAAGGGGCAACACATTCTGCAAGGTGTGGATTTGTTGCATAGAATTGGAGGCCTTCCTTGCTGGTCGCCAAATAGTCCATGGAGGTATGCTGAATGCATCCAATAGAAGCACGGAACATGTCATCTGATGATGACAATTGTGAAGGCATAGGTGACATATCGTTGACGTATCCAAAGACGGGCCTGGTAGGGTCGTGTATTGGAACTCCAAGATTTGCCGACAACCTTAGACTGGATCGATCGGAGACGAGGCTAGGCACTCGCGATGGAGGATACGCATACGACTGTTGTGACAGTCTTGTGCTCATATTCTGAGGTAGACGCTGAGAATTTCCGAAACTAAGAAGTCTGAACGCCGCACAGATATCACCTTCATCTGCGTCGGTAAGTAAATGTAACGCATTGAGATATTTGGTTTGCCGCAGCTTGAAGATTTTGCTCAGGTCCAGATCGAGCTCAAGCAGATGTTGAACAGACTCAACTATAGCTGGCTCTCTTTTCAGCTCTTCGTCGACATCTTGTCGAACAAGGGTTGCGGGCTGGAACGGAGAGAACTGGAAGGGATGGTCGCTAAAAGCGCCAGATCCCAAAGGCCGGCATGCCATGTAAAAAGGATCGTTCGCAAGTGAATCCATATGCCAGCCTCGATCACTTTTAAGAGGGGAGTATATTTCTTTTCAAAGCCAAGGAGAGTCGATTGAAATAGGGCTGCGCCGGCGCAGGCGTGGTGAAGACGTGGGAGATGGATCAAACGACAAAGCAATAGATGCGCTGAAAAGAGTGGAACGCACAAGGCACCGTGTCGTGAATGAGAAAATGAGAGTATCTTGTCAAGCCTATCGAACACAGATAACAGGAGAGAATGAGGGATAGAATAGAAAAGAGGAAAATAAACCCAAGAGCTTTCCTAGGTGCTGGCAGGAAACCTACGACTTGAGCCTCATTCTACCCGTCTCCAACCAGTTATATTCATCATTCCAGGCAAGCCATGTAGATGCACCGGATTGGCGTCGACAGGCCAAAAATTGCCCGAACCGAAAGCCTGCCGAGGGTGTGAGTAGACCCTCCCATGCATCGTATCCATGCAGCCAGTGGGCGCGATTCATATGGAACCTCGTATTGAGGGTAGGGGGTGTGGAAGGTGCATTCAGCTCACCGGTTTCATTTGCACCCTGGTACAAGCGCCTTTCCCTTTCGAGCCATTGGCAGGAGAGAGGGGAGGTCAGAAGGCCGAATGTCTTGACGTAGGAGGGAACAGATTGTGCAGATCCCAAATGGTGGGAACTCCAAATGTAACTTGTCGAGGTGTGAATCTAGAGGGGAAAGGTGCATTATGATAGTTACCGCAAGTTCCGTAATCTCCGTGACGCAGGGTTCTTGATATATCTTTCAAAGCAAGAGACGAAGAAATTCTTCACGAAAGTATTGAGATGTCAGTACAGTACCAGGGGAAGCCCCCCCAGTCTTCGCCACAACCTGCTTCGACCACGAGTCAGTTGCAGTGGATCCGCATGTCGACAAGCGCTGCTCATCCTTCGAGGGATACTGCAGCGTTGCGGCCTCGTGTTGTTGGCAGCTTCGCTCTCAAACGCGCATTGGGCGAATTCAACCCAGGGTTCTGCGCTGTAAGCGCCGTGAGGTAGCACAGCTTTTCCATTTCATCCAATCCGACCTTTGAAAACTCTCCCTTGCCCCTTGGCTCGTTTGTTGGCTTCGCTCGAGTGCGGCAAGCAGTGTCGCTCTCTGTCGACGGAGGACGCTGAGCCTTCCTGACTCGGTGAGTTCCCCGAAATTATACGGAATACGATGGCCATGCCAGGGGCAGTGGCGGTCCTTGTACGGAATATTTGAAGTCCTATAAAACAAGGAGACAAGGCTGAAACTGTACCGAGTGCTTGGAAAATCGCGGATCCGCTGTCAAACCGGGGCAGTGGATTTTGCCTTTTTTTTCTTTCTTTTTTTTTTTGAGTCCATCACTGCACGACATACCATTGGCTCCGCTTGATCGGCAGCAAAGTTTGTACAAGGTTTGTAGCGCTTGAAAGGATAAGGGCAGCACTTTGCCAAATGAATACATTCGATCCTCGAAGCTGAGAGTCACCAGCGCATCTCCGGAGACCCCTTTTGGGAGTGTAGAAAACGAAATTCCAGAGTACCTCGTACTGTCAGTTGGACTTGGACTTCACTGTCTTTGCGACTGATTAGCTAAGAGCCGCAACGTATGTCCATCGACAGACGAAGTTGGATCCCACAGGACACAGAGACTCTCTCTACCCACATAGGCAGGTGGTTAAGCAGCTTGCGAGTTATTACCCAGGGGCTTCCGTCTCGTTGGGGCTCCGCCGTTATAAGCCTAGTGAACCCTAGAAGGTTACGCCTCTCGAGCTAGGCAGTCGCCTAAGTTAGTGAGTACTGGGTACTTGGGAGGATGATCTCCCGGAAATCCGAGCACGAGGCTGCTGTTAGACGACAAACCTTGGGGTTTGGGTTCCGAGGTTGGGTGGCGCCTCACAAGCCTGGGGGTCGGCACCTAGCCCCGAACAAGAAGGGCTGGTGGGCCGCCAACCGCGGTAGGCAGATGTCGCGTCTGTTGCGGTTGAGAGGACGCCAAAAGACAGCGTCCGTCACCGTGCACGCAATACCTTGGTGAAAGACATTCGACCGTTTCCTCGAGCGCAACGGATGAGAAGAGTCACGCCAATAGCATACTTTGGATGAGTGATAGAAAGAGAATTGATACTGCTACCATCCTTAAAAATTATATTGCAACTTGAAGATAAAGTTTCCATTCCATACCAAATGCAGTTGACAACACACTACTAGTACAGGTGGGGTACAGGTAGGGGACAGGTAGGGGACAGGTTCGGGTAAAAAGGGCAATTCGTATGTCATACAGTACCAGCTCATAGTATGTTTCTGGGGTCGGTCTGGGGTGTTTCCGTCCATCATAGGAGCGTCGAGGTTGTGTTAGGCCGTCGAATGCAAACCGCGCACAACAGTAAAAGGTCCAAAGAACTTCCAAACAATCCGGCACCAACATACATCCACCAGGGGCAAGTATGGAACGTTAACCAGAACATACAAGAGAAAGGCACAGCCAAGATATCAGAGAAGTACTGAAACAGGGAAGATTGAAGGCGTCCAGAATCTTGAAGCCGATCTCCAGACAGCGCGCTTCCCATTTGCTTTTGGTCGCTTCTTGCGAAAGCAAGCTCTGGATCATGGTCGAAAATTTGATTTTGATGTCATCAGGTCTCGCCGCGTGGTCTTTAAAGTGGCTTAGGTGGTGGTGGGCGTGAGATTCTACATCTCTCGACAGGTGCACGCAAACAGAACAGCCCCAGTACTTCTTTTCCTTCTCACTGAGGATCGTCTTGACACATGCATCACCTTCCTTGCATTTGTGGTCGCCGCTGTGGTGTCGTGCCCATGTGGCATGCTTGTGTGTTGGTCGAAATGTACATTCTTGATTATGGTGACAGATGAATATGCAATTTTTGTCATGATCTCCTTGCAAGTGCTTCCCCAACTCGATTGAGCGTTGCTACTCTTTCGAGCAATCTGGCTCCGGACAGGGATACTTGACCTGTTCCATGGACGGCAGGGTCCAGAGAGATACTTGCATTCATCTGCCCAGGGACAGCATGCCAAACCGGAGCCTGAAGTTGCCCTTCGAGTGAATCTTGGAGCCCTGAAGGGTACGAATTGGTCGGAGAGGTGCTCAAACTCGTCAACGCGGACAATTGAGACCGGTTGGATGTGATGCTGGCAACTCCCGGTGGATGGCGCGATTCCAGCCCATGGGATAGTTTCAGTGATTTCGAACGTCGACGCCTTTGCCACACAAAAAGCCGCACATTCTCGTCTGCATGGGCTATCATCCTGAGCGAGTTGAAGTAATTGGGTTTACAAAGGTCCGAGATTTGTCTCTCATCCAATCCGATCCCGCGGAGGTCCTCATACGCTCTTTCCACTTCGTAAACTGGCGATTGTGGACCATGGCATGGGCCATCTCGCTCCATATAAGCACGGCCAGTTTGGTGGGCTGATTCCCTCACAGGTGAAGACATAAATGCTTGAGCTGGCGACGGCGCTGATGGCCACCTTGAAGGAGAGAAACCTTGCATGTTTGAATGCATCTTTCAGTTTGCAATCAATGTTTTAGTAAGTTCTCCCGAGCTGCAGGCTCAGGGTGGAGAGATAGACCGACCTAAGAAAGCAACGAGAGAGCGAAACGCAGAGAGATAAAACAGAGAAGGAGCGGACGTGCTTTGAGCACAAGAGAGGCAACGAGAACGAAGGAAAGGAAAGGAAGGAGGGGAAGGGTCTTGAACACCCGAGTCAGGTGTTAATCTGCCATATATACTTCTTTCAAAACTGCACGATGAAGCAAGGCAGTTCGTCTCCTGCGAAAATCCCTTTGTTGCCTCATCCAGGTACTCGCGGTAAAGGGATCCACTTTCTACACGGCTCTCATTTTGATGCCCTCAACCGACTCTACAAAGACCGGTGAGAGAAGTTTTCATGCAAGCCAAAGAGTGGTTGGAGTGCTGAGTCGTCGGCTCACCTGCATAAAACCTGTTGCCCGAGAACTGAGAACCCCCTGAATTCCGCATGCGCCCGCCGCAGTCACAAGGAGGGATCGCGTCGTCTCTCAGGTACCAGAATTAGGCGACAACAGTTGACGAGCCGAATCTTCGAACCCCATGATCGGTGGCTACCATCTGCGCTCCGAAGCCAAGCGGCACTACTACCACCCGCCATCGAGCACTTTGTCATCAACGCTGCAGCTCGGTGGCTATAGAATACGAGCGCCAGTGTTTCAAGTTGCATCCGAACATTATCAAAGATCTTCGGATGGCAAAGACCATTTATTTCATGGTCATGAGACTGCCAGAATGCGTCGTCCGAGAGAGAGCGCGGCGTGAATAAAGTCAAGATTATCCAAAAGCAGAAAATTTTGTGAGAAAGGATGGGACTCTCACCTTATGAACAGAGTCCATTCACAGGGCACACCTTAGATGCTTGGGCGAGCTTTTGTCGTCCATCCGGGCGATCAGTGCCACCCAAGTGGTGAGTGAGTTGTATAGAGAGTGCTCCGTGCAAACGGAAATATGAAGCACCCATCAATGCATGAGCTGGACGACGCCTCGTACGTTTTCCCTTGCCCCTGTTCCACTTTTGCTCGTGCGTCCTGTAGCAAAACTGCGGGCAGAGCCCAGCCAAGTTGGTGAAACACGAACGCAACGCTCCCACACAACCCCGGGATGCATCTGCCTAAGTAGGTCGATGTGACAGCCCAGCACACTAGTCAGCCCTTCGCCTCTAGGCATCCACCTCGTGCAAGCCTGCATTCAATGCTCAGATCACTCATTTCTCAGTCGACAAATTGTTGTCCATCTGGTTGGCACAATCGACGCAATTAAACCCCTGGTGAAACATTTCTGATGGAAACCCTTCTCCATGGGAGGGCATCCGAGAAGAGCGTGGTCATCATTCATTTACGCAAAGATGGTAGAAATTGACGGCTGTGAGTGTTGGCTTCTCCCGGGCAGATAAGGCTTTACTTGCGGTCGCATCAAATCTCCAGTGTCACGTACGCCTGGCAAAACTATCCGATCCAGAGGCCAGAACTTTATCCCATCGCAAGATTCAACTTGTCGCCAAAAACACGACTCGGTGGAATTGTGGGCTCGAATCACTCAAAATTTTTGTTAAAGGAGCCTAAGATGTTGGTCCGCTGGCTGCAGCTAGAAGAACGTGAAGGGATTGGTAGACTGCAGCTTGACATACACAGTGCATTGTGAGGAAATTCGAGTGCGTCATGGCGAAGTGCTCGAGAATCCGGATCGCGGAGCACCAGTGTGCGGGCGCAGAGCTATCGCCGGTTCAGCACCATAGCCCGCTTCCCAATGCCCATGGAGAGCGAGCGACTTCGGGCGACACTGCTTACTTGCATAACTCACCAAATCTCGACTGCAGTGGGGCCAGTTTGGTACTCGTGGTGTCGGGGCAGCAGGCAAGAATGCTGTACCTCGTAGCAATCCGCTGGACAAAAGCACAAGCAACATCGCGGGGCTTCCTTTCATTTTCAGAGAGTAGGTGCTTCTGAGATACGGCATGGCTCTAGGTCAACCGGTAGGAGGAGCAGCCAAGAGGACTCCGGACAAGTACGAGGAATGGGGTCAATGTACCGAGTATTACGAAGCATGGAGTGTGAATTAGGTACCAACCAAGGCGACATGGTGAAAAAGCTACACTTAAACTCCACACAACAAACATGCCAAGCGCTGCACCACCGCACCCGCGTAGTTTGTCATGTTTGCCAGAAACTCGGTCAAAAAAAAAAAAAGTTCGGGTGATATACTACGGGACACCTCGTCGTACCAGTCGACTTGGCCGCAGACTTGTTGCCCATTGAATCGAGATCAAAGATGGCAGCAACCAAGCGCCAAAGTGATATCGTCGACTCCAAGGTTTCAAAAAGGGCCAAGGTTGACAAGAACCGTGCAAAAATCAAGGATGCACCTGCGGAAGAATTCGAAGGATTTGACCAGGCGAAGTACGCTTCGGCGCCGGTTTCAGCAAAGGAAAGATCAAACAAGTCGAAGGAAGAGCATGGGCCCGCGGCCCATGCACCTCCCAACAAGTCATGTTTAAATGGTACGTTCGCAGGGACAGCGGCGCTGTCGTCGTCCAAACACATGTCTATGTTTACTTACTCAACTCTATGAACAGGCCAAACCTCGCGCGAAGCCCATGCGAAGCAAAAGGCCCTCGCAAAAGACCGCAAGGCTGCCAAACCCCACGCTGACTCCATCGTCCGTTCGAAGAAGATCTGGGAGCGTCTGCGCCGAAAATCCCATGTTCCCAAACAAGAACGAGACGAACTGGTCAAAGAGCTCTTTGAGATCATTTCAGGGCGAGTTAAAGATTTCGTATTCAAACATGATTCGGTGCGGATCATCCAATGTGCATTAAAATATGCGACTCCGCAGCAAAGGAGGCAGATCACAACGGAGTTAAAAGGCAGTTACAGAGAACTGGCAGAGTCGAAGTACGCCAAGTTCCTGATAGCGAAAATGGTTGTCGGCGATGAAGAAAGTCGTGATGCCGTCGTCGAAGAATTCTACGGTCATGTAAAGAGGTTGATTCGCCATCCCGAAGCAAGTTGGATTGTGGACGACATTTACAGGACTATCGCGACAAAGCAACAAAGGGCCATCATGCTTCGAGAATGGTACGGGCCCGAGTTTGTCATCTTCAGCAAGGCAAAGACGCACAAGACATCCAATGACGAGCAGGTCACAGCTGAACTTTCCGATATCCTCGCCGAACACCCCGAAAAGAGAGGCCCCATCATGTCTCACCTGCACGAAATGACCAACCAACTCGTTCAAAAGAAGACCACGGGTTTCACCATCCTCCACGACGCTCTTCTACAATACTTCTTGAACTGCAAACCGAGAAGCCCGGAAATTACCGAGTTCTTCTCCATGCTCCGCGACGATGAGGAAGGAGATATCTACAAGAACCTCGCCTTCACGAAGTCCGGCTCTCGATTGCTCTGTCTTTGCCTGTCCCATGGAAACTCCAAGGATCGAAGGGGGATATTGAAGTTTTTTAAGACGCATATTAAACTCCTCGCGGGTGATCAACATGGGCATAATGTGCTGTTAACCGCGTACGAAGTTATTGACGACACGGTGATGACTTCGAAGACAATATTTCCGGAACTTCTCAGCAAGGACCTTGAGGGTGAAGCAAGAGAGCAGGAGTTGCTCGTGCAGGCGGAAAATCTTACCGCACGCATTCCCCTGCTTTATCTCATGTCTGCTGATGCACCGAAGTGGCTCATTCCGAAGGAAACTGCTGCACTCCTTTCAGAGGTTCGCGAGATCAGGAAAGAAACATCAAAGAAGGATCCGGAGACGCGCCGCATGGAATTGTTGAGGAACATCGCGCAGCCCCTCCTCGACCTGATTGCGGTTCAGGCAAGATATCTCGCACAGTCGACTTTTGGATGTCAGTTCATTATGGAGACTGTGTTTGGATGTGCTGGCGTAGGTGATATACAGGCCGCACTAGGTGCCATCGCAGATTTGGCAACCCAGGAGGTTGAAGGGAAAGAGCAGCAAGAAGAGAACGAAAAGATTCTTGCTACGCCAGCGGTAGGCCGCATGCTCAAGGCCCTGGTGCAAGGCGGACGGTTCAACAAAGCAACGAATGCGATCCAATTGGCCAACCCGCTCTTGAAATTTGATGAACTGTTGTTCCAGAAAATCAAATCGAAGGGCGGAGATGAAGAAATCGTGGCCTGGGCAAATGGACCGAACAGTTTTGTTATCGTGGCAATGTCGGAGGCTGAGGATTTTGGGATGAAAGAAGAACTAATGGATGTGCTGAGAAGGAATGTGAGGAAATTGGACCGGGAGAACAGAGGCACCGAGATCCTTCTAGGGAAGATTGGTGCCAGCCGTGACGACCGGATAGGAAAGGGAGAGAGAAAATCAGCTGTTGAAGGAGACAGTGATAATGCCGAGCATGTGGATGTCGGTTCGAACAAGATTGAGAAGAAGAAGGCCAAAAAAGGGAAGAGCAAACCCTAGAATTATGGATTTGCTATGGTCAAGAGAAGTATGCGTGAGTGGAATAGACGACGAAATGAAATGCGGAGGTCCTGCCCGGCGAGGCTGGGATCCCTTTTCAATATCAAAATGGCCAGTTCCGATTGACTCAGTGTTGAAATTTCCAGTATTCTTGGACAGTTGCAACCGCGCAGCAGTCCAATTTCCGTTCAATGCAGACTTGGATCCTCTCCCAGAGTTTCACAGAGCGACTTTGCACCTCTGGTCTCTCCTGCATCTGGTTTTTGACGTCTGACCAGCAGAGGGAAGCTCAATCATCCGACTTCAATTGGATGGGAAACATGGTGAGGAAGAATAGCAAGAGAGGCAGCGAAGATGTGGTGAGGCCCTTTCCCGAAAGACTCATTCTTTGGTCATGGTATAGAACCCAATCACCATCCCAGCACCTGTCTGTTGCCTGCGTCGAGATGGGCAGATTGGGAGAGAGAAGGGCCCTGTTGAGTTCGACGCGGCCGTGACCATGCGAGTAAGCTCATCAAACAGCCAAGGGAAACTCGTATGACGGGTCGTGTGTTCCTGAATCTCCTGATCAAAAGAACAAGGCGAGAAGGCAAACAAGGGCAGCAGATTACGTTGGTTTGTTTGTTCCCGTGCCGCTTGCGTCAAGGAGGGGCAGTTTTGTCTTGGTAGAAGTCTGGGATCATGGTTGGTCTTCTGTCGACCAGGGTGGAGGAGGAGAGAGGAGGGAGGGCGGGAGAGAGGATGGGAGTGCGTGGCATGTGGCTCACTCGGCCTTGTCCCTTGTTCCTGGCTCTTTGAGGCTTCTTGGCTTCTCCAAAAAAGAAAATACGGACAGTACTGGGTACGGAGAGAGAAATCGACTGCCGCACCTGCGCCGCTGCGCTACCACTACCGAGTCCAACTATGTCATTAGTGCGCACCCACAACACACCAAGAATCACGCACCTCCAACTTTGCCCGTTGCGACCATCGTCCTTAAAAGGCTGCTTCCCATCTCCTTCACCGTTCTGCGTCCAGTCTACTGCTCCTTGACGATTCCGCCACATCTTCATCGCCTGTCGCTGCCGTCCGTTCTCGATCGCTCCCCTCTTGCTCCACGGGCCATGCGCGGCCATGGATTCCCCCATTGAAATCTCCAACGGCCACCTCCCACACCTGCAATACATTGATTTGGCCTTTGATAACGAGTCTTTGGACGACTCAGCTCGTACCTTGGTCTATAGAATACAGCCAAAATGGAGGGACAGTCCCGGCAATATTGAAATTGTCAAGTTCACCGATGGCATCACAAACACTGTGGGTTATTCTGCTTCACTTATCAGGCACGTGCCCCATGCTCATGGCTGGTCTCTAGCTGCTCAAGATTGCAAAACACACCCCAGGCCTTTCGGAAGCTGAAATCGACCGCGACTCTATCCTCCTCCGTGCCTATGGCAACCATACCGAGATAATCATCGACCGAGATCGAGAGGCCCGATCACATGCTTTGTGTGCAGAACGAGGATTGGCCCCTCCCCTGTTGGCAAGATTCAAAAACGGGCTCTTATACAGATTCATCATTGGTCAAGTCTGCACTCCTCGGGACCTGATCAGTGAACCTATCTGGCGCGCGGTTGCTAAGCGCTTAGGTGAGTGGCATGCGCGTCTGCCCATCTCCGCCGTGGTGGAAGAGGAGAAGAAGAAGAAGAATGTCTCGAATGGCGTCAACGGCCATGACCTGAGTGGTAGTCTTGCTTCGAGGCGCCCTGTACCAAATATCTGGTCAGTAATGCAGAAATGGGTCCATGCTCTTCCCTGCGACACTCCCAAACAAGAGACGCGCAAGGAGCTGCTCCAGAACGAACTAGATCGGTCGTTCCACGACCTGGACAACGAGCGAGGTCCCGGCTCGTCGGGGTTGGTCTTTGGCCATTGCGACCTGTTAAGTGCAAATGTTATCATGCTGCCAACGAACTGTGCCAGTAGTAAGCCGGGTGGCTCGAGGCAGGTGTCGTTTATTGACTACGAATATGCCACACCTTGTCCTGCAGCTTTCGATATTGCCAACCACTTTGCCGAATGGGGTGGCTATGATTGTGATTACAACATGCTGCCGACCCAATCCATGCGCCGTCAATTTCTCCAAGACTACCTCAAGTCGTACAAAGCCCACAGCGACACCCGGGTCCCCAGCAACATGCTGGATGTTTTGTGCGATGAGGTTGACCGATATCGTGGCATGCCAGGCTTCTACTGGGGCGTCTGGGCTCTGATCCAGGCCACCATTTCCGAGATCGATTTCGACTATGCTTCGTACGCCGAGGTCCGACTGGGCGAATATTATGCCTGGAGGGCGGAAGAAAGCGGCAGTCGGGTCCAACAAGGGCATGAAATGCCTCTGCGAGAAAGACGGTGGGCAGAAGAATGAGCGAGATAGATTTCAAGGGTTTCCTGGACTGGACATGACCGATTAATATACGAGGATGGGGTCATCGCCATTCCATCGTCATCACCACTACGGTCTTTATCACCATCAGCATTGTCCCAAAAGTCATTCTTGTCACATGGTTTTCCATTTGTACTTAGTTGCATTCTCTCGTCTTGTCCCCTTCGCTCAGGGTTTCCCCCAATCCTGGGACGTGCTATTAAGTAATAATCAAAGGGACCAGAGCGAGCACCATTAGTCCCTTTCATAGGACAGGATCCGAGTCCGTCGCGGTGGCACGGTGCTTGTGGTCCCCATTTCATAATGCAGGCTGCTTACGTGATTTCTCCCACTGCTCCAGTTTCGGCCCCAACTTCCAAGGCAGCGAGGCAGCGAGGCAGCGAGAGGGTGCAACACCCTCGATAGTAATACTACTACTCTCCTCCTGACTCGGGCCTCCCATTCCTTCCCCTGCTTTAATCACTCGCGGATCACTATGGATCATCACTGAGTTGGGAAAAGATTCTCCAGAAGTCCGCGGACTCTTCTCAGCTTTTAAAGATCTGACACGAACGACCAATCTCCTGCTTGTTTGATCCTTGCTACCGGTAAGGCTTAGCTAGACTGGGGGAAGAGCTGAGCGCCTCTGCATATATTAAAGCTTGAAAGGTTGAAGCAATTCGAATCGCCGCCTCCTCACCGTCTCATTGCGCAGAAATGAGCGCATGGCCTGAGCACTGTGTTACGGGGGCAGCCGTGCGTCAAGACCAGGCTGGACAAATATTGCATTGATCATCTAGCCTTCCATCTGGACCAGCTGCTGTCTCCTCAGTTCGATCCCAGCAGGTTTGTTCACCTGGCCCGAGGACGGCCCCGGCCCCAAAGAGGCCAATACCAGATGTCTCCCGCGTCTCAGCATAATGTTTTCATCACATACAACAATCCCACCGAACTGAAGAGCAGACAGAACCGCCGTGCTGTCTCGTCATTCGCATCGAAAAGCTACCGGCCGACCTCCAAGCGCATTGTCCTGGAGCGGACGCACTATCGTCCGTTTGTGCGACGGTCCGATGGAGAGATACCGCCACCTACAGATCCCAAAACGAAAAGGAAGATACCTCAAAGTGGGAAGCAAGGACCTGCCTCGACAAACCCAGAAGAGGTCTTAACCCCTCGAGGAGTTCAGCCGCGGAATGATTGCATTCTGGGGAGCCCTGTGGCGGACCCGTTCACAACTTACCCTATCAACTACACACCCTACGTGCCATTTCTGGTAGATTATTGTGGGTGTTCCCAGCTCACGTTCAGCCGAAGGGGGAACTTCTTTGTCTTGGAGCAGCTCTGGACACCATCATGTTTGCGCTTTTGCATCTACTCCCCGCAGCACAATAGCATGGGTTCGTGTGCAACAAGCAAGCACTGACAGACTCTCTCCCGCTGCAGTTATTCGATTTCTTACTCCTCGTTTCAGCCCTGCGCTCGCCGTCGAGACCAGCCGCTATCTTATTTGGTTCAATGTGGCCATGCATAACTCCGAGTTGTTCCACGCTCTGATCGCCTTGAGTCAGGTGTACTACAACATCGACGTCAAAGGGTTTGGCAACACCCACTGGACGGCACTGTTCCACCGAGGCGAAGCATTGAAGCAGCTCAGGCACAAAGTGGAGACGGCCGAGAATGCGGACGATGATGCTGCCATCTTGACCGCTTTGTGGTTGATGGACGTCGATGCAAGTACCTTGGCGAGGATGTAGAATGCAATGTACTGACAGTATAGGTGGCACACGGCGATCTGCATGCTTATGCAATGCACAAGCGGGCTAAAGAGAGAATGGTGTTGACCCGAGGTGGTATAAGGAAGCTGAGCGCCGAGCTACAGGACGAGCTGTTAAAGTCCGCGAATCTGTTCCACCCTATCTCCAAGATCGCTGACTAACAAATACTGTCTGTAGAAGCGAGTTCTTCTTACCACTTCTCCTGCATGGCAGGTTCGTGTGTGAACTCACCCACGACGACGACGTCCTGGTCAGGTTCAAAGAGGACCACCCCGTCAAGTCGACCCAGGTGGGAGGATTCCAAGGACTCTTCTCGGTCATTGCCAGTAAGGGTCTCATCACAACCCAGGCTGTTGAGATAATGCAACGGATATTCAAGCAAGTCTCGAGGGAACCGCAGTTCGTTCGGAGCGGCAGGCAACGCGAGGGAGGCGGCGAGGACGAGGAAAACGGCAGCAGCTCGCAGCCGCCTCGACCCGTCAATCAAGTGTTCAATGAAATGAGTCGAGTCCTCGGCATTACTGACGAAGTCCGACCGCAATCACTGCATCACAGGCTCTTCCTTGCCTTGCTAATCTACATCTTCAATTTCCACAATCAGACACAACTGCTGCCTCCGGCAAAGCCACCATTTTCTTCACCGTCGTCGTCATCGTCTTCGTCATCGTCATTGTCATGTCCTTCCTCTTCATCCTGCAGCACAACGAACACCAAGCTCCGCCATCCCTATCTAGAGATCCTATCGAACGTGGCGCTCGAGCTATCCCAGCCCAGCAATCCAACCGATCCCAACTCAGTCACTGAGCGCGAAGTAACGTTGTGGACCATGGTGGCGATCGGGGCGGCGTCGAGCTTCAGCCCGTGGCGCCTCGAGATCCCGTTCATGGGGCATTTGATCGAGTGGATGGAGAAGGACCACGAGGATGGTGATGGAGGAGAAGGAGAGAAGAAGAACCTGGAGAAACTCACGGCGTGTCTGAGAGGGTATTACCTCTACGGTGCAGACAAGCAGACACTGCGAAGTTTACAGAAATGGAAGACGCCTGACGCGTCGCGGGAGTCGCCACGACCGCCACGGCCAGCTCCACATCATTCACGAGCGTGAGGGACGCACGAATATGTGCGCGAGCACGATCGAACATGAAACTGAGTCGAAGGGAAGGGAGTGAAAAGAAGCCAGATGAGACCGCATCGCATCGCAAGGTACAGCACAGGACCGCATGGCACAGCATAGTATTGCATGGCACTGCACGGCACGACACGGCACGGTACTGTCCCAGTGCTAAATTGCGCGCATCCCTGTCTCCATCACTCTGTCTCCGAGTCTCATCTTCGAGCGAGGTATCGTACAGTATTTGTCGGATCAAACGGTCCAATCCAGTGCAGTCCAACCTAGGGCCGATCATCCAGTCCGGTCCGGTCCGGTCCAGCACAGGCCCCGGCATAGTATGGCAGACTATTTGCATTCATCCTGATACATAGGACTCTCAAAAGCAAGTCAAGCCCGGGGCTCAGCCTGGGGCATCAGGCTCAGGGCTCAGAGACCAAACACAGCAAAAGGCTAGTTACTACCTGATACTTCTGTTAAATCCATCCATTGTTCTGTTCCCTTTCTCAGCTCTGTCCCGCATTCCACGCGCCCGCGAGTCCTCTCGCATCCACTTGTCCGTCCATCATCTATCCACCGAAGCGAGGAGAGCAGAGCAGACGAGAGGATCAGAAAAACAAACAGGGGAAGGGGCGGGGAGAGTTCACTAGCCGGCGAGCCGGTTCCTCAATCAGTACAACAGTGGAATCATGCGGGAAATCTCTCTCTATATATAATCAAGCTTAGTTCGTAGCGTCTACTACCGGTGATATATCATATGTCGAGATATATATTCCCCCTCCTCCCGGCCCTCCCCCTATCGAGCACGCGGCTCTATTCAAAGCTACCAATATGTCCTACGACTCCTCCGCCCTCCCCTCCCTCCCTCCCTCCCTCCCTCCCTCACTAGCCTGCCAGTCTCAAGAGGTGTCAGGAGTCACATTTCCACAGTGCGCGAGTCATTTCCCCCACACGCGCGTTTGCAACGGGTACATTTCCCCCGCCGGACTGGGCTACCGACTAACCAACTATGCAACACCTCTATTTGATCGGGCGGCCAAAATGCCTTTTATGGAGTATTTTGGACTCCTGACTTAGGAGTAGTCGGTGCACCGAACCGCTCAAGTCCGCTGAACAAGAGGGGGATAGTACTATGACTCACTCACTAGCTCACTCGCTCACCTACTCACTACACATATAGATAGATACACACATATATATGTACCAGGGTGATATAGATTTACTACGTGCATTTATGTATGTCTTAAAAAAATTCCATCCGCAAATACACCTGCCCACCTGCGAGAACGAAAGCAAAGAATACCCCCAGATATATAGGGTGGGTAGGTGTCCAGCGAGGTAAAAGGTAGCACGGTCGAAATATTTCGGCAATCAACGACGCCTAAAGGTACATCCTATATCGGACATCCCATATCCTATCCCCCCTTGGCCGGCAACACCTATCCTGCAGGCCACCACCATGACCCTCCACGTCCATCAACTCTCGCCCTCCAACCCGGTCGACCACCTGTACCTCCCGGCCATCGCGCGCGTCCATCTCGCAGCATGGCTGACCGTGCCGCTCATGCGGGCCATCTACTACGGCCCGCCTGATGCCTACCCGGGCTATCTCGCGTCGATACTGGAGCGGCATTCACGGGCGTTTCGCGAAGAAAAAAATTGTCGGTTTGCCGTGGTCTTGGACGACGCGTTGCCAGCCGACGAGGGGGTTGTGGAGGGAACGACGGGGAATAATGGGGATGCTCAAGGACAAGGGACGCCAACGACGACGCCAAAGGGCAAAGTCATCGCCGCGATCAAGTATTACTTCATCGGCACCGATCCTTTCCCCCCGTCCTCGGCCACCACTAGCACGGCAGAACCAAAGCCAACATCCTCCTCCTCCTCAAACGCTGAACGATCATGGCCACCGTACTCGCACGCGGCGCTCGCATCGGACACCTGGTCGCATCTCGTCCGCTCCCGCACGCGTCTCAGCTCTGCCCTTGGCTCCCACGTCCTCGTGGACAACCTGTACACCGACCCCGCCCACCACCGTCGTGGCGCAGGCGGGATGCTCATGCGTCTTGCATGCGAAGAGGCAGACCGCCGGGGGTGGCCCAGCATGCTTGAAGCGTCACCCAAGGGCATCGGAGTCTACCAGTCTGTGGGATTTCAGAGATTCAACGCCAGGGCAGAAAGCGACGAACAGGGAGGAGAGGAGATATGGGCTGATCTCCAACGGTGGGGAAATGGAGGGGATAGAGGAGTTGAATTTTCGGAGCAGAGGCTGAAGCAGGGTGGTGGAAGGAGGGGAGAAGGGTGGTATTGTCAGGTTGTCATGGTTAGGCCTGCTGGGACGGGCGGAATCGGTGCCAGCGGTGGCAAGGAAGTGGCCGAGATGGGCAAGGACGAGGCTGCCGTTGTAGAAACATAGTGGCATTCCCCTGCATAGCGGATACTTGGACCGCACACATTTGCTGAGCTTTGGTTGGAAGCTAAACCTGGAATCTGATTCAAGCATCCCATATGCCTCCCCCTAGTAAATCCTCATGTTGCTCAATGTATTTGAAGCTCTTTGTCAAGTTGGTCAAGCTCACGCCTGGCCATGGGTACCTTTCCATCCATGAAGGAATCGACCCTCTGCAAATGTCTCTTATCCATACATGTCGTGTTATTCTTCTGTATCCGAATACTTCCTCTTTTTGGGAAATATCCCATAAGATCTCCTGCAAGGCTTCTAAACTGGCGGGAGGCACTCGTCAGTGATTGACCCGCCCGAATTCCGGATACACCTCAAAACGTCGCCCACCAAGTATAGGCTCCCGGCGATACACAACCGCAACGACGAATCGTCTTCCGACGCTCTCGAGGCGACGCTGACCGCTTGCCTGATAATGATTCTCATCTTCTCATCCGGAGTAGGTTGATCACCGTGACCGACAAGAGTTTCAACATACTCGTCACAAAGAGCCTCAACCACTCCATTGGTGTATCTTCTGGCGATCTCTGCTAGCTCAATGGCTCCCATACTCTTCACCCACGGCATTCCATCGACCGGGCCGAAAGAACACGTCACGACATTATCGGTGGGTTGGAGCAGCCGCTCCAGTATTTCATCAGCATTCTTGTCGCTCTTGACAGACAAGAGCCATGTGACAGGTAGCGGGTCCTTGGGCCGAGGCTGAGGCTTCGTCTTGGGATCAGGCTTAGAGAGCTGCCACTGCATCTTGACGTAGCCGGCCAAAGCTGCGGCTCCCATTGGATTGTGCGCGCCGTCGAGGAGGACCTTCGCGTCAATGCGGTCGTTTTGCAACCTTGCCGTCATGTCTTGGAGATTCTCAGGTAGTAATATCGGCGGAAGAGTGAGCCATTGGAGGCGTCCAGGGAGGGACATTACTGCCTGTTCGACCAGCACTGCGAGAGATTCCCTCACCGCTTCAGAGGGCCTTGCATTCACGGCAACAAGCGAATCTCCCGATGGTGGTACAATCGGCTGAGATGGGTCAGATGAGGGAGGAGGCTCCCTCCTCGTGTGATGCGGTCTGTCTCCAAAAAAAGCAGCGAGACACTCCTCTGCCTTTCGAAAACAGGAGTAGGCAAGATACAGGTTCTGACCTGAATGTTTTGACAGGCCCATATCCCGAATGGCCTCGTCAAATTCATGTCTTCTTTCCTCGGCAGAAACGTAAACACCTTCTGCCCCATTTTCTCCCCAACCCAGCTCTTTCAACTGGTTTTCAGCCACATCGATGACGCTTCTCTGATTGGTCTGGTCAAGCACGACTGGCACCCCCGGCTTAAAGATTCCCACTTTTTCCCTTGTAATGGCCTCGAGCGAGTCGCCCAAGAAATCAGTATGATCTAGTCCAACCTTGGTTAAGACGCTGACCACCACATCCTTGGGTCTCAACACATTGGTGGCGTCAAGGCGGCCGCCGAGTCCACATTCAATGACAGCGACATCTACCTTCTCGTCCGTGAATAGCTGGAAAGCCGTAGCCGTGAGAATCTCGAATTCCGACGCGTTGATGTCTTCATCAATGCTCCGTTGGCGGAAGTCTTGCTCGACACGGAGGAATCTGTCTTGCTCGACGACAACTTTGTTCAGGGTAATGCCGTCCCATCGATCGATGAGGTGAGGCGAGGTAAATCGCCCAACCTTGTAACCCAAGTGGCCGAGGAAAGTAGAGACCATAGCTGCGACACTGCCTTTGCCATTAGTCCCGGCGATGTGGACTGCTTTCCAGGGAAGGGTCGGATGTGCACTGAAAAGGGGATTGAGCAACTGGGTGATCCGTTGAAGGCCTAAGTTGATCATGCTGATAGAATACGAGGGGTACGAGTTGAACGACAGACAGCAGGCCCAAACTGAAAGAGAGCGAGGCAGTAGCAATGGTGACCGAAGTAGATGCGTCGATGGTGTCGATATGGTTAAGAAATGCAAATTCTGAGAGAATGACTCCTGCTCGCTTCTGTATCAAGTGGGCAAGATTGGATGCTGAGTATTATCACAATGCAGATTTGTGGTTGCAAGTCGTGGGAGAAGAAAAAGAAAGACGGAAGGTCTTGACAGAGTGACAGAAGGCGTGGCAGAAGTTGCGATGATGATTGAATCTCACGACAAAGTCAAAGCAGGAGCGCCACGAGCCTTGCGGCAAAATGGGCTGGCCAATCATAATCCCTGCTGACCACCATGAACAAGGCTGGGCAAGGCTGGGCAAGGCTGGGCACCCGTATATTGTACTTGTATATTTGACAAGGCTGAACAAGCCACAGCCACTCCCGTTATTTATACTTCCCTTTCCTCCTACTAACGCTATCCAGCGCCTCGCTAACATCAATCAGCCGACAGCCTGACCGAGTCCTCCCATACGCAGTACAGCCGTTTGCCCAAGTGAACTCACTCACTCATCTAGACCCAAGTGTCGCCGTAGAGACAAGTACCGCTCATACCCGAACAACTTCAGCTCGACCCTCATGAAGTTCAACCATGCACGTAAAAGCCTCCAAAAATTGTGCGGACGGAAGAAACTACCCCTCCGCCGAATCATGTCCTTTTCATCCTGCCAGACAGTCCAACTCGCGTACTTGGCCAAAATGAGCATTGGCCTCATCGGCTGGATCGAACCCAGTGCCTCATCCAGACTCCTTGTGAGGTCGTTGGTCTTCAGTATCAGAAGGATAATGCGAGGCACATGACCCAGAAGTTGAACAAGTTGCGCAAGCAGATCTTCCCCAAAGACCTCGCCGATGGCTTCCTTTTCAAGGTCATCTCGCATCGAAGTGGTGATCTCCTTGCGAGTCAGGACCCGGTAATCACGGCCTGTGATGGCGGAGGCGAACAAGGGAAATTCTTTGTCGCCGATCCCGGCGACCTCGTAGGCGTATTTCCGCATTTTCTCCTCATCCGCATCGATCACAGCAAGCCAAAGCTTTGCATAGTCCCTTCTCAACTTGTCATCTGGCATTCGATATAAGCCGTGGTCATAGAGAATGACGTCGAAATTATAAGGATACCTCCTCTTGGGATTGTGGCGGATTGCAATATTGCCGGCGTGCGGATCGCAATGCAACGGCGCGCCTCTCGAAAAGATCATGACATTGAAGATCCTCGCTAGCGTCGCCGACACTTCGGCCCGCGAGATGTTGTGCTCTTTGAAGTAGGGTAAATTATCCACCCTTGCTCCCATGACATATTCCATGACCAGAATTCTTTTGTTGGCCGATATCACCTCAGGGATAACGAGGGGAAACCGGGTATTTCGTTGGAAATACTGCTTCGCGTACATCGCATTTTGTCCCTCGAGCCTAAAATCCAACTCTTGCGGCAGGGAGAAGTCCATCTCATTACTCAACCATTCCAGATCGTAGTCGGGAAACGCTCTCTTCAACGTGCGGAAGGTGAATCTCGTCAAGGCCAGATCCAGGGGCACCCATTCTTCGAGACTGGGGTGTTGCACCTTGACCGCCACCGTCTGACCGGTGTCCTTCAATATGGCCAGGTGCACCTGCGCCAATGAGGCGGCACCAATTGGTTCTCTCGAGAAGTCGTCAAAGTGGTCCTCTATTCGGCGACCCGTGTCTCTCAGGTACATCTCTTCAATCGACTCGTAGGATGAGACGGGGCATTTGTCCTGCAGCGGGACGAAGGTCTCGGTATATTCGGTAGGCAGCAGATATCCCATTGACGAGATGTGTTGGCCAAGCTTTATGAATATCGAACCATTTGCCTCCATGGCCTTCAGCGTTCGGTCGGCGCATCGTTTGTGGCAAGCTTTGAGACTTTTGGTGCGCTCTTCGGGGTCCTCGTGCTGTTCGTTGAGTGTGACACGGTAGCTTATCCTCGTCAGTCTTTCTTGTCTGAGCTGTCTGGGAAGACAGGAGACGCCATACTCATTTATACACACCGCCAGCGTAGAAATCACCCTTCCGGTCCTCTCTGCGGCGAGCCAGCCATGCTTGATATCATCTCCAAACAACAACAGACTTGCACCTGCAGATCCACCTGCCGCCGCCCAATACACGGCCTGGCGCGGCCTCACTACTTTGGCCGGTCTTCGATGGGAGTGGAAACCCCTCCGTGGCTTGTCGAATGGCGTCTGTAGGTTCTTGCAGCGGGGACACGTCCAGGTGGCACGGCCTCTGAGGAAGGCGAGGGGGCTGTTGTTGATTCGCATGAACGAGATGTTTGATGGCTATCGTACCGACATGGACTGCAGGATTCTGTCTGTTCTTCGAGGCGGCGTCTGATCTCTGCGATAGAAGATGGGGGCATCGAGCTCAGGACCAAGAATGATTGATCGCTTGACCCTTGACGCATATGGTCACCAGATTTCGGGGGATAGAATCACCGATCACACGATGGCAAAGAACGAGAAATTTGCGGAGTCACCAGAGTTGGAGGAAGCAATGACGTACGCAGCACATGTTTTTGGGGCCGCAAGAACTTTTCTTTGCTCTCAACAAGATATACAGAACATATTAGGCGACACAACTTGTGGATAAGAGATACTGCGATTTCTACCGAGTAGAGATCAATACGTGAAAGGCACACGAATTCATGCGCCCCCATTGACGATCTTTTCCATCGGCTCCCTGACCAAAGTCTTTTTCCCTTCCAACCTGACCCGCTCCACCATCGCCGGCCTTCGCATGTGTAGATACTCGCTGAAGAAGCTCGGGGTCTGAATCCTGACCCTCTCTCTTCCCTCATATCCCACTTGCTTGTACAGCAGTTCGCCTTCAGGAGAAGCTTCAATCCAACACGGCAGCATCAGTGCATCAGCGACATCATTTCCCCATTGCATCATCATGCGCCCGCAGCCTTTACCCTGATAATCTGGGTCTGTGAAGAGCAGGAAGCAGAGGACATGACCTTCGGTGCATTCGCGCCGGCGACGAGTCAGGAAGTCCTCCATGAGAAAGGCGGCATCAGCCCGTTCCTGCTCTGTTTCGAGGTAAGAGAAGGCAGGCTCTTTCTTTGCCTCTTCTTTCCTGGCTGTCTCGGTCTCACCATTCGTTTGGCTGTCGGTCGTCTTGGCTGTGTCCTGCTCCTCCTTGGGTGGCACGTAGGTCGGGTAGATCTTCCAATTACTCGCACACACGATTCTTTTCCTGCGCTCCGTGGCAATTGCATTGCCCTGCTCGTCAAGCACATTCACATCGACCTCGGCATCGAGGTCCTCGATCTTGAGAAACACGTCGGCCGGGTCATTCTGCAAGCCGTTGAGGAGCGTCCTCTTGGAGTATGCATAACTAGCAGGTGACTTTCTTCCAAAGAAAACATTGGCCAAGTCGATCTTGCGGAATGACTCGAACATCATGGGGACTATAGCGTCGAGGTCCCGCGACTCAAGGCGCGAGAGGACGAGATGCATGATTAGTTGATTGGTTGTCTTGGATTGTATGCCAGAGTTATCGGTTGTGGTTGATGCTGTGAAGAGCCTGGTGATTTGTGATGCTCCTCTGATTGAAGCGAGAATCCACGTTGTTCTGGGAGAGATGAGGCCCTCACCGCCAAGATGAAGGTGAGTTCGTGCAATCGTGCGGCGTTCCCTTGGTGATTAAAATCCCATTTCCTCTTGACGACGGACAGGAAGTTCGCTGAAGCAGGCAATGGAATGCTTACTCTGTTTACCTAGAGCATCTCCCGTGTAGGCAGAGAAGTCAAAAGGAGCTTTATGTAGTGGCCAAAATCCCCATGAAACACTGGCTTGCAGCTCAGAATGTGACGAGCTGCCAGATTCGGAAACGGCTGTATGCAAAGCCCACTTGGAATGAGGGAAAAGATGTTGATAATGCAGCATAGTGGCAGTAGCTCGGAAGTGATAATGCAGGGTGAACCGGAACAGGCCCCTCATCATCCTACGAGTCGGTTTTCCTTTTTTTTCTCTTTTCTTTCCTTGCAAGGCTGTGATGTCGTCGACATGCTTAGGGACACTAGGTGCGTACTGTACTTGCAGATGATTGACCGCTCTCGCGTGATATAGAACATTTCGCCTCAAATTATTGTTGTTCACCACATACATGTCAGGTGATCGAAGAAAAGTGGCACGTTGGCAGCCTTGGAAGTGAGTGTATCCGATCATCGTGCGGCGATGAGCGTTGCAGATCCCAAAAAGCTTGGGTTGAACCTCAACCCCAACCTGAACCTCTCTCCCTCTCTTTTATATCTCAGACAGCTCTGTCGTGAAGAAACAAGGGGGCACACACACACACAAACCAATTATGCGATCCCATCAAGTAGAATGAGCCGGCATATCGACAGAAATAAATCATGGTGCAAATTCTTGCATTGGATCAGCTCCATAGGCATTGCTACCTAATTGAAACCCCTATGGTATGTACCCTTTTCTCTAGTATCTATAACCAAAAGAGCGCCTAAAATCCCCCTAAAAGCCAGCCATGACGATGGAAAGACCGATACGGCGGTTACCAAGAAGAAAACAGATGTTTCCAATTTTCGCCTTTTGCACCGTGGCCGCCTCGCTTTGGGTTAGGCCATATGCATCTTTTGGTTCTTCGGTCATAATTCTCGTTACAATCTCGTCATGCTGGAAACTTCAAACAGTGTGCCCAGAGCAGTTGCGCTGGGGTTGATTTTTCTGACAAAAAGCTTCCCGGAAGCACTTTGATTGTGGATGTTGGTTGTCGACTTGTCAAAAGTCTCTCAAACTGGTGCAAGAGTTCAAGGTGTCGGTTCCGGTGAAGGAAAGGCATGGTGGATGAAACTTAGTTCAACCACCACTGGATACCGCTCACACGGCCATCACCTGTGCCATCGGTAATGGCGTTGAACAGAGCGTCGGTGCAGTCAATGGCCCGACCAACGCAGCCCATGCACTTGTCACCCACGGTAGCCTGGACGGTGGTGCCCGAGGTGGGGTTGTACAGGGTGACCGAGCGACCGCAGTATGGGTTGCCATTGGACTGAGTCCCCATGAAGGCGTAAGGGAGTGCAATTTCCATATCGCTGTTGGTATTGACGTTCCAGCCGCACGCGCCAAGACCTGGAGAGTGAAGTTAGCCAAGTTTCAAAACCAAGCCGATAATGAGCATCACTTACCACCATCCCAGTGGGTCACATCACCCTGGCACGCATCTCCTGAACCTTCGCAAGTACCATCGGTCCCGACCGTATCCTTAGGTTGGACATTGACCATGGACGGGGCAGGAGCAGAGGAAGGAGCAGCAGGAGAGGAAGCCGGTGGAGCTGGGGCCGAAGCCGGAGCGGAAGGTGCAACAGCGGGAGAAGAAGTAGCTGGAGAAGGAGCGACGGGAGCGGCGGCAGAGGACGAGGACGAGGACGAAGGAGCCTCCACAGGAACAACAGCAGCTGTCGCCAGAGTGGATGGAGTATAAGTGGCCGCGGCGAAGACTGCTGCTGGCACGGAACTGGTAGTACTAACGGCAGGGGCAGGAGCCGGAGTGGGATTGGACGGGTCAACCCAGATGGTGGTGGTTTCTTCGACCGTCACCCATGCGATCTCGGTCACCGTGTTGGTGTAGATGGCGCGCTTGCCGAGCATGGGAACAGCCGCAACCAAAGAAGTCAGCAGCGAAGTCGCAAGGATGATGTTCTTGAGGCCGGCCATTGCGACAAAAGGATGTTTCGAAGTTGATATGAATTGACTGGAGATCTGGCTCGACAGCGAAGAAAAGAAGTCCCTTGGGAAGAGCGCTAGTTCTGAGAAGGGCAGTATCTGGACGACTCTCGAGGAAGTCCTGGATGGCTTTGGTCTCTGAAGGAGTGTTTGAGCGCCGGGAATGATACTGTCGGTCGACGACAAGTCTATGTCAGGGAAGAAAAGGACTGATATTGAGGGAGAGGGACTGGCCCGTGAGTCAATGGCTCAAAGGAGAGGTGGTTCAGAAGGACTGAAAGAAGGGAATGATATTTCCAGGTCCTGGGAGGAAACAAAGAGGGACTGGGTAGATAAAGAACAAATGAGTGACGGGGGTGGAGGACGAGGAAGAGATTTTTTGTTGGCGACTGCGAATCCTCTTCTGGAGCAAGAAAGAAAAAGCGAGCGTGAAGGGGAGAAAAGAGAGTGAAGAGGTTGTTCGTTCAACAAAGTTGAGGTGGTCGTCACCGTGCATCAGACCCAGACTTTTACCCAGTACAAGAATCCCCATCAGGCACCGCAGGGAGAGCAAGGGATGAGCATCAGTCGCGTGCGGTTATTGGCCATCCCTTCATCTGCCCGTCTGCAAGCTCTTTGTGGTCTTTTTTCCCCATCTCCTTGCATTGCTTTGTTTGTTCGCTGGTCGCCGAGGTCGTGGGTCGCGCGTCGTGGGTCGTGATGAGGACTGCGGTTGCTGTCAAGGTGCCACTTTGATACAGGGGAGGAGTGAGTGGCATTGGGTGGTATTGACAGGGTGCATAGGGCTTCAGCCAGGGCTCGCAGGCTGTACCTCGTAGGCCATACTCCGTAGGTACTTAGGTACTGTAGCAGGTGCGGGATGTGGATAGTACTGGAGGCTGTTGTGCGAATTTCCCAGAGACAACCAGGAGCAGGGACTAGCCCCAGAGACCCACTGTGCCTCTGCTTTCAGAGCAAATAATTTTTTACTTACATTCTCGTAGGTGGCGCCCTGTCGAAACGCCCATCAGCCAGACCCTCACCCCCTTCGGCTGAGACTCAGGGACGCCCAGCGAGAACCCAGGCCCCCCCCCCCCGGCTCCCTGTGGGCTCGTCTGCACCCAGCTGGGCGCAATGACATCCCCCGATTTGCTGGCCGTAAACGTGCCTTCAGGAACAGCCGGGCCTAGTCCCTAACGGGCCAAGCCGTGACCACATCTTCACCTTGTTCCTGGTGTGTGTGTGTGTGTGTGCGCCTTGTGCTTTGTGCCTGACCTCTTTGCCGCTTTGATCTTCTCTCGCTTGTCAAGCCTGTCAGACTGTGCCACCCCCGAAAAAAAGCTACACCTACCCCTGGGCCGATGGGCATTCATCAAATCTATCCTCCAGCCAGCAAACGTGTTTCAAACCGGCACATCAAGACCTGTCTTTGTCCTCCTTAAATACGTCCTCCTCCTGCAACTCGAAAGGAGGTGCGTCCACGTCGCCAGCCAGCAGACTGCTGCCACGCGGCCTCTTCCTGTTCCCAATGTGTAATGAGCCGGGACGAGCCTCTGTCGTTTCCTGACCTTTTTAGCCGATCGTCGATTCGCCAAGGGCGTTCTACGTTCTACGAAGCCCCATCCGCATCCGAAAAAGAAAAAAATTCATTCAATGCGACTTGAAGGCGAAAGAGTGGGAACGGCACAGGCATGGACAAATCGACGGGTCGGCCAATGGCCATTCACTGCCGGTATGCAGGAACCGCTGGCACTTGCGCAGAGAAAATCCTTTTGCCTAGCAAAGGAACTACTGTGTACATACCCAGTACAGGGTTCCCTAGGGTCGACGAGGTACTCGGTACTCCCGCCATCCTCGTCTTGCATCCTGCATCCCCACCAGCATCCGGACTCCATAGTGCCAACTGTCACAAAGTCAACCGCATTTCTGAGCACTGACGCAGGCACCGAGCCTAAAATTTTCTGGATTGCCGTTTCGACGGGTTGAACTCGGGTCTGTTGAAAAGCCCGCGTCCAATCCGAAGCGCACTGACTGACTCGAAGCCCAGTCGGGTTTGAGAAATGCAAAAAGCTACCAAGCACCCGGATTTTCCACGTGCTGACTATCTGGTCTATCTTCTGGCGGGACCTCGCCGTCCGCGAACCAAAACTGTGCGCAGTGTCTAGAACGATAACACAATTTTCAGCACGGATACCTACCTAGGTGTCTTACTCGTTGTATCCTAGGTACATGTCTTCCCGTGCGGACTCTGGCTCATTCAACCGTTGCCAAATCGTGTGCTCGGACGCCTCCGTCATGGACTAGAACTACCCACCTCGATGGAATCGCTATCTACACACATGCCACTTCGGTATATTCACTCTGGCGGGATTGTTGTTGCTGTTCTGTATCCTACGCAGTCTCAACAATATGCCCCCGTCCTCCCACGGCTCTCACGCCACGGCGCATTTCCATTCTTCTGTCAAGAACACGAGTTGGATCGGCTCGAGTGCGTCGAATGGTGGGTGATTCCCCGGTCCCTAGAGCAGATGAGCCATTTTTCCACTGCGCCTGGGGACTCTCAACACACAGGGTCGCCGTTTTGCGCAAGTTTTTCGATTCGGTAAAAAGACCCTTCAAACCCTCGGGATTTCAGCCGGCCAGGGTCATTGGATTCCGTCTCGGCAGAAGTCCAGAGCCTTCAGAAATCTCTCGCTTCTCACGGTGACTGTAGCGTTGAAGTTTTGGTTCCTATCATGGAATGCAAGACTTTCTTGGAGAACGAGCGTCAAACCCGAGTTCTTTAGACCATTTCAGTGACGGTTGGGGCCAGACTCATGGTCCCTTGGATCCCATTGAGCCTAGACCATTGACGTCTTGAGGGCCGCTCACGGTCAGGATGAAGACATGGATGTGGCAATTTCAATTGCCCTTGGTCGATCGACAACGATGTGCTCGCGGACTCCATGCGTCTCTATGTTCCTTACTAACAGCAGGATCAAGAGTCACACAGGTGATGCGACACTCAACTCTCTCCATGATGGTGTGCCTCTTTTGTGGCACCTCCATCGGGATATCGTGCGTATAGCTCAATAAAGTCGCTGGAATCCAGCACATCCCTCGTATTCGACGTGAGACTGCAGAGCGATGAACAAAGAAGTCGCGCCGCACACGGAGTTGATCGATACAAAGCTAACTTGAAATTTCACCTCCCCGAGAAGCCCGCTTCGGAGGAACCCCCAAATCTCGAATCTTAATGAAGAATCCGTGACGCCGCTGGTCAAAACAGACTGGCCTCACCACATCAGCTCACATGAGCATGTCAGAGTTTCGTCCCACGAGAGACACAATGTACAGTATATCCGAGGTAAGTCAGGTCACGTGGATCGATTGAAAATGCCCTCGCTGCGTATTCAGGGTCTTCCATCTTCGCTCCGTCTCCCGTCTCACGTCTGAATCTCCAGTGAAGAGCGCCGTGGTGAGCGGGATCCTGCGCCGCGCGCCTCGAATCAGATCAGCTTCTCGCGCCATACAGCGTCTCGGTTTTGGAGTGGGCGGTGCTGCACACACTGTATGTTCGTTGATTCGAGGGGAGGAGTGATTTGACGTCTCCTGACTGAACAACTCGTTCATCACTCATCAACCAGGTAAAGCCTTGGTCGCGATGCTGCAGCTGAGCTGGCAAGGTAGGAGTGCTTCGCTGTGGGACTGGAGGTGGCCTGCCCTCATATTATAATGGGCATTTCTGGTTACCTTTGGAAAATGCTCTGCCCTTCCCCTCCGCCGTTAGTTTGATGGTGTGAGTGCTTCATCCTTGTCAAGCCCTCTTTGGCTACATTAGGTGTAGCGAGTATTTTGTGTCGGACTGTGTCATTTGGTATTTTTTCAATTCATTTGGCTTGCCGGTTATAGTCTCGGGCAAACGTTTGACTGCAAGTGAAGAGAATGCTCGTATTGACGCTTATGTACAGATTTTGTGCTCCATACAGGACAGCCAGACCGAGCTATAAGCCGTCGCCAACCAATATCGCTTGAACGCAGCAAAATAATGCCATCGCGAAATACACAATACCACCCTAGGTCTCTGGGACCCCTTTTCATATCTTCCGAACGATTGCATGATAGTCATCGAGGTCGTCGTCTTGACCTTGCTCCTCCCAGGGTGGCCGGTGTCGATGACTGACCACACCTGAATCATCATGCTTCACGTTGCCTGTGATTCCGGAGCTCATGTTTCTGCACTCGCCGGCATCCAGCTTGCCACTGGCGCTACTGCTGGCAGTAGCCTCGGATGCGTCTTCTCCCACAGGCCATAGAGCCAGTTCTGCAACATGACCCCCCGATTGTTTCGCTTGGACAGGCATGGGTCTCGGAAAGGAGTTCTTCTCATCTGCGAAATCCATTGAAAGGACTGGAGAAGTTGGCGTCTCTTCCAGGTTCATACTTTGCCGCTCGATGTGCTCCACAGATGGCGACTCGGACTGCTGTTTCCGTTTCCGCCGTGCGATGATCCCTGGTAACCCAAATTGTTGTAGCTTCTCGTCTTCAACGGTGCCTGGGCTCTTGTGCTGCGTTGCGCTTTCTGCGCGCCATTTGGCCCGATTTCCGTGGACCGGATCAACTTGCATCTTCGCCTGCGGAACCGTATTCAGGTAGATCGCAAACAGCATCCCAAATACAGAAACTGCCAGAGGGACACAATATGAATACCTCAGGTCGGGGAAGTCTGCAACCGCCCATTGAAGTGGTGGGAAGACTGCTCCACCAGATATTGCAGCCGTCATGAATGCAGACCCGATCTTCGTATGCCTGCCAAGTCCACGCATCCCGATGGCAAAGATGATGGAGAAAATGCCAGCCTCGAAGAAAAATGTGAGGATTCCAATGGCAGCAGCAGCATCTCCATTCAAATGCATATTAAGAGCCAGACAAGTAACGAGGCCCGCGTAGAGGCCCATCAGAATCCACCTGGGCTTGAGCACGTAGTTGAGAAAAGCGGCCACAAATCGTCCAACCGCAAAGACAGCGTGCCCCACAGTCTGAAAGTCGAATGGTTGCAGATCGGAAGCCGGCTTGACGAACTTGGCCAGCGCCTGTATATTGATGCCGACACATTCCTGCGCGCCAACATAGCACCATTGACTGAAGACAGCAAGCCCCAACGTCACATATACCACCTTCCATGGTCCAATTTTGGCAGCATATGCCTCCCTGCGCTGGTCGGCGAGCTCCTCCAGTTGTCCGTCTGAAGCTTCGGGAAGCGGGATGTAGTAGAAGACAACGGCCAACGCGAAGACAAATAACGCGATGCCCAGATATGTCCATTGCACATCCACTAGAGAAGGGGCATTGTTCACGCTCTTAAACAAAACTTTTGTTGCCAGAAGCGGGGAACAGACTGTGCCGATAGCTTGAAAGGCCTGCGAGAGATTTAGCCGGGCCTCCGCGTACTCAAGGGGTCCGCAAAGGGCGATGTAAGGATTGGCTGCAATCTCCAAGCACGAAAGACCAAATCCGACAATGCAGTTGGATACAATGAATGCTGAATACGATAGCAAGACTGCCGATGGCCAGAAAACCAGAGTTCCACAGCCATAGACCGACAGGCCTGCGATCATCACTGCTTTGAAGCCATATCGCTGGAAGATGAAGTGGCCCAGTGTCAACGGCCCCACGAAATAGCCCCCGTAATATGCCGCATGGAGACCCAGTGCCTTGGAGGTCGATATTTTGGCCATAAGCTGAAACTGAGAATTGAGGGTGTCCAGGAGTCCATACGCAAAGCCCCATAAGAAAAAGATGATCGTGACCACTGCAATTGGCCAAGCGCTTTGGCGGTTGGAAAGTTTTAACATGTTCCGTTTTCCCGACATCTTCACAAATCCAAAATCTGAAACGGTAGTGTTGTTCGTTGCCCTTCGGCAGAGTTTTGTGGTGTTTGATAATGAAGAGCCAGCATGTTCTTCGCCCGTCGGCTCAGCCAGGAAATTGAGAAACCCCATGTTGCTGCCCTCCTTGTCCCCGGAGTATTCTTTGACAACTGGTTTTCGGAATGCAGCCGGGTTGTTTAGCATTGACACATTGCCTCTAGGCAAATTGATACGCGGAGCCATTTCATTTGATTTTCCCAGATCAATGCTATTGCTGGATGTCAGCTCCTCCCCTGCGTCTCTGATGAAGCTCGGCAGAAAGCGAGCAAACAGAGGCTTCAAACTGGGCACACAAGCGCAAATGATGCCGATGCAAACCTCAACGGCCGACCACATGAAGCTGAGACTTGCATACCAGGAGAAGCCATCATCCTCAATGATGTGACTTGCGCCCCCGCCTCCGCCATCAACAGCCTTCAGACGATTAAGAGAAGCCTGCTGCAGATAGGCAATGCGAATGACGTCAACGACAGCGACAAAGGCGCCAAAGGAGAAAGTAGCAACCAAGATGATCTTTTGTTTCCGAGGCAAACGCATTCCGGTCAAAATCGGCATTGGAAGGAGCAGAACGGCGATGTCGGTGATGATATTGAGGGGGGCCGAAGAGAGATATAACGTCACGATGTCGGTGCAGCTGGCATTTTTGGGTCGAGGGTAGAGGTAGCCTGCTGCGACTGGGGAACACTGAAATATGTTGAAAAAGGTGAGAGCGGTTCCGGCAATGTTGACAACAGCAAGAGTCAACCAATTGCACCATTTGAAGACAGGATCGACATCCTTGCTCATGACCGATAGGAAGAAGACGATGATGGAGGTTTTGGTCAGCATGAGAGAGGGGTTGTACAGGATGGAAAAGGCATATTCAGCCTTCCGTAAAGTAACGAATGCGTCGTCGGAGATGTCTTGTTTGTGCTTTCCCAAGCCATATCTCACAGCGACACATATCGACGTCGAGAATCCCACGGCAAAGATCCATGCCACCAGAATCCACCAGTCATCCTGTTTGACAGACCTGAGCAGCCACGCTCGCGTGTAAAAGCGAGCCGCGACAAAAACCGTGGCCAGGACTGTTATGACAATAGTGACGGCCGAAGTGGCCGGACCTCTGTCTGGAACCATTGGCAGGGCAGCGGTCGCAGTTCGCCCACGCAGTCAGTCAATGGTTGCGCTCTGTGGGCTTTTGGCGAATGGACTCGACTGAGATACGTCATATTCGTCGACACGTTCGTCAAAGGATGGAGGTTCCTTGGGCTATTGTCCACATCGACAACGGAGTCGAAGAGGAAGAGACAAACTTCTTGAAATGTCGAAATGGTGGAAGATGAGGTCGAGCGTGCGCAGGAAGCGACCAGATTTGTGTGGCTCCTGCCGGATGGCACATGCAGGTCTTGGGCTCATGACCACAACTTCAGTTGCGCCCTTATAAGATGGGCAAGCCAGGCCACTCTTTGCGGAGGGGAAGGGGATTTTGGGGGGAGGGGGGGGGGGGGGTCAGAAGCCAGCAAAAGGCATTTCGCCGCTGGTGCCGTGGGTCTGTCCATGGTGGAAGGAAAGGGGCAGAAGAATGGCCCGACGATTGATGGCATTGGGGCATCCGCCAGCTTCCTCGCAAAAACACTGACAGGGCGAAGACAAGCGCTAGGTCTAAGAGGAAGGATCGATGGGGATCTCGTTCGGTTGGCTTTTCCACGCCTTGATCCGTTTGGTGGATGGGAGCTGTGGACAAGCCACGGGGTGGTCAAGGAGGGTGTTCAGCTTGACCAGACTCTGGATTGCGGGGAAATTCTCCCTCCAAGTTTAGGTAATGGCTTGTACAGGAACTACGGGCTCAGGGGGGGTTGTTAGGCGGTGAGTTGCCCCCCCTAAGTGCGTATACTTGTACTTGTGGGAGTTTCTCTAGGGCTGGCGCGGCTCCCCAGCTAGCTTATTGGCCGAGCAGCCTGAATTTCGCCGGGGCGCGGAGAAATTCAGCTCGGCACCCAGCTCCCTGGCTCCCAACAACGCAAAGCCGGCCGTTCACCTGTGGCTTATGTACGAATCTCCTCGCACACCAGCACCCAGTTGATGCTCTGGGCCGGACACAGTCGGCACATAGGGCAAATCGGCATTATCTGCTTTCCCCAGGTCCTCCCTCTGTTCAGCCTCGCCAGCCCCTGTCTCTGCCTTCTTGCTGATATGTCTCCCGCCCCTCTTTAGCCGCAACCTGTCCGCGGTAATGGGCTCTTCGCCCTTGGGCGGAGACCATTTGCTGCTCTTCCATGGCTTGACCTCGAGCAGGAACATAGTGTCGATCTCTTCCAAAGACCGACCTGATGTCTCAGGCAAGCAAAAGTAGACGAAGAACACGGCAAACAGATTGCACCCGGCAAAAACGTATGCGTATGCGTATTGAATGTCGCCCGTAATGAAGGGCGTGAAGAAGGCGATGAGGCTGTGAAGTTGTCAGCACGGGCACATTTGACATACGTGTTCTAGAGTTTTAAGACGCCCAAGTTGAAGAGCCAGTTGCTGGCGGCGCAAAGAGCAATACACTGCGAGCGGTAACGTGAGGGATAGATCTCAGCCGTCACAGCCCATGCCATCTATAACCATCCGTTAGCTCACATCGGCCTTGACGGATTCCAATGACGAAATGACGATTCCACAATGAACCACTTCCACAAAAATGCAACAAGCACTTACCGGGCCCCATGTGGAGGCAAATGCTGCAATGAAGAGGCAAGAAAAGATAATCATCACTTAACCGATCGTCTGGTTATTCGTACCGTCACCGTTCCGAAGAGCGAATTGTCCCAGCGACGCAAAGATCATGAAGCACATAAACATCCATGCGGCTCCGATCATGAGACATTTCCGTCGTCCGAACTTTTCTACAAAGTAAAGACCAGGGAAAGTCGTGCCAACATTGACGGCGCCTATGGGTTGATTAGTAACTGCCTTCGCCCAGTGATGGAACGCCCTTACCAAGAATAATTTGGATGACATAGGAGTTCGAGAGGCCAACGGATGCAAAGACCGTCGTCCCATAATAGAAGAAGTAGTTGGCACCAGTGAGTTGCTGAAGGGCCTGGACGATGCATCCTAAGATGACACGGTAGAGCATCCTCGGACCCGTGAAAATCTCCCAGATGGGATGCTCCCCACCCTCGATCTCCATCTGGAGCTTTTCTTGCATTTCCACCAGTTGGTCTTTGACAACCCGATGCCTTTCGGACACTCCGTGGAACTTAGCAATGCTTGCTGCAGCCGGGTCAATCTTGCCATTGCGATAGTCATGACGGGGAGTCTCTGGGAAGAACAGGATACCAACCCCCAAGACTATCGCGAACAAGAAGCCGATGCCCATGGGAATTCGCCAAGACGCTGTGTTGTCGATGCTCTTGGTTCCAAAGTTGATCAGGTTTGCAATTAGGATCCCGATGGTGATGAAAAGCTTGAGGCTGATTGTCAGCACATACGTACAGATGTTGCAAATTCCCAAGACGGTACCTGGTAACAGCACACAATGGCTCCGCGCACATGTCGAGGACTGCTTTCTCCCTGGTACGCCGGTACCATTACCGAAAGACCTCCAATAGCCAATCCCGCGATGATACGGCCAATCATGATTTCATACCAATGACCTGGACTGGACCCGATTTGAACAGCAACCCCGACACAGAAGACTATTGTCCAAGAAACAATCGAATATTTGCGGCCAACGGCGGGGATATTGGCGACTGGGCCGGAAATCAGTGCTCCCACTAGAGTTCCGATGGACAATTATCTTCCTGTCAACTTGGGAAGAAGGGAGTGTAGCAGATCTGAATATACTCACCATGCCCACGATCAAGCCAGACCGAACATTGCTGAAGCCTAGGGGATTTCTCTGGTCGGCAAAGTTACGAAGGAAATCCTTCATCTCCAGGAAACCCGAAATTTGACCAGTGTCATAACCAAAGCAAAGACCTCCAAATGAGACCAGGACGGCCATGAAAAACGTCCTCACAGTAAGAAACGGCACCTTGGACTCATCGTCAAAGGGACCCTTTTCGGTTTCGATGTCGACGGTATCTCCCGTCTCAACGAAAGAAGACCTCACAGAGCCTCCACGTCGAGGAGTCGGAGCGTTCTTCTGGAACAATTGCCTGATTGCCATGGGAGTAAGGGATAAGTTGATCTTGAGCGCATCTAGTTCGGTTCTCGATTACTTTATACGGAGTTCCTAGAAGAAGGCAACGAGGCCTTATGTACATAGATGAAGGTAATACCTTTCGGTCTTCGGTAGGAGTTTCCCACGTCATTGTTGGTGGGCATTGTGGCATTCGCGGCAAAGCTTGGGCGTTCAGGCATCGCCAGGAATAGTGGTAGCAGAGTGTCTTCGAGGAACCCACGGTGAATCATGGGCCCAACCACATCGACAATCCTGCAACCTCGACGTCATGTGGGCGAAAGCCTTGCCAGACACGTGCGCCACAAGGCTTTGTATTTGCCTTCACTGCTCCACTCAACCATTGAGATGCCATATTCCGTCTCTCGAATGTACCCGCATCATTATCGTTGCTCTTGCCTAGGAGCTTGTTTCTGTTCTTTTATTTTGGGGTGGGGGAGTAATATGCTGGCGATAGCCTTGCGGTCCTTCTGGCTCCAAAAGGGCTGAAACTTGCTCAGAATTTTTTGGGCTGGAATGAGATCCCTCCAGATGCTTTGGACTTTTTTTTGGCGACCATGTGATGACGTCGATGAAACGCAAATTCTGGAAGGCCAAAGCGACTGAGATCCACTCTGGCGTTATTGCAGGTTGCAGTCAAGGCCTTTGGTGCCTTCACCAGCTCCATCGTTGTTCGCAGTGTCTGATGATGGGGGTTATTCTCGTCTCGCCCGACGATCTACAGTACAAGCGCGGGTGTCTCTTCGCGATTCGCAAACGGGTGAAGCCGAAGCTTATCTTGTCACCACAATATCCATGGTTGATCACAGAGACGGGTATTCGTCTGCGCATACAGCAACGTGAACCCTTGGCCATTGGTGTCAGGGTGTATGAATGATGCTAGCCTCCAGTTCCCACGTAGTGGATTCCTCCAAAGCAGTCGTGTTATTCCACCTTCATCACATCTACTCCGTAGTCTCGCAGGGGTCAAAATGGGTTACCGAAAACTCGTCCCTCACTCCATATCAAGGTCGATGAATTGTCTGCCGAACACGATCCCTTCTTGCACTGATCTTCGCGCCACGAGAGGAAAGGCCGGTATGTTTGCTCGGCAAGAGTTGCGCTTTCTTTGCTTGGGATGAGGAGAACTGCGTCCGCGAGCTCCTAGGGAAAACTGATGGGGCTCGAACGAAACTCCTGGTACTTGCATCAGATGCTGGTATTCTGCGATCGATGCAGGGTTCGTGGTCAATCCATGCCAACCGCGTACTTGCAGATCAGAGAGCATCTTCCATAGAAACAGCACAAATGCCATGCTTATTCTCGTGGGCGCCCCTCCCTCAGCTTGTGCATGCCCGCTGAGCCTCGATAGGTTTCGAGCACACTTTCGTTCTCGGTCCGAGGCGTGCCAGACTCTTCCTTCTGTTCTGCACCCATGGGCTTCGCTTTCTTTTCTCCCATAAATTTCGACTCTTGTTTGGCATCAGCTCTGGCATCTCTAAAGAGCTCATAGCCTGATGTGCCTTGCACGGGTTCCATTAAACCGTGTCTGCGCAAGCTTTCACGTCGCATGTCAAGTTGCCCGCCGTCAGCTTCTCGGTGCAATTTGGCGTTCCGTTTTGCGGCCCGAATAGAGGTGACGGCGTAGGTATAGAGGAGGCCGGCCATGACTACTGCTGCGATAGGTGCCGTCACGGTCTGGAGAGCAGGATCAGCTTCAGAGGAAGAGGGAGTCTAACGGCGGATGGACGTACTCGTGGGTTCCAAACAGAACCCCTCGGTTTTACGGCACGAGCCATTGTGCCCAAGCTGATGGTGCAATATCGACGGCTAGAGCTCTGAGATTCAAAGTTCGAAATCAACGAGCACCGTTAATTGGGAAGAAGCAAAACTTCTTGGTTCAAGCGTGTGGATGGTGGAATTTGGGCCATGGACCATTCTCCGCATTTCGCAAAGCTCACACCACCCGGACGCCGCGCCTAAGGCCTAAAGGTCGCCTGGAGCCGGCTCCCAGTCGAGGTTTACATCAGCATCTGGGGAATCTGATAAATGCGAACTATGAACCGCGAGGAAATGTCCCAAATTGTGTGTTTGTTATGATCGGAAGAGGGAGAGAGAGATACAGCAGTCTCCTATAGGTAGGTACCTACGTACCGAGTACTTATGTACCCAATGGTGCTACCCACCATGTACGCAGTACCCACGTATCCGCAGCTCAACACCACTATTCACTATTTCACACCTTCTACATATTTACATTGTTCTGCACTCGGGGGCAACCTCGCGCACGACGATGCTTCTTCGACTGTCGGGTCACAATTGCAATTCCGAAAGATAATTCCGCCATTGCGATCGGGCTCACTTGCGTCGAACATCGCCCTCTCAGCTTTCTCTCACATGTGTTCCGCGGTCCTGATCCATGTCATTCCTGTACAGACAAACATTACAAGTAGCACAACTCCAAAAGGGACATTGAGAACGATAGAAGCCCCTTCGAGCCTTTCTCCCCCTCTGGAAGTCGACCGATCGGTGCCGTCTACCAGCGAAGGCGGAAAGAGCCAGGAGAAATACTTGCCTGCGGTAGCGGACCCCTTGAGCCGAACAGAGGAGCAAAGAGCAAGGATCTGACGTGGGCGGCTTTTGCTGACCTCATCGGCACGCATGGTTGGTGTTGTTTCGTTCGACCAACACCGAAGCATCGAATCACCACCTCAGCAGCGGATCAGCTAGGAATCTTGATCCCAGCACCTATGCATTCTATCGACAAATCGAGGCAAATCGAGGCCTGGCCGGTACCACAGTCACGGGTGTCGTCGGTCATGATTGCTTCAGTCTACCAGCCCAAAAGGACACGGCCACTGCTTCCGTCGCGTGATCCCGTCCCCTCTAGAAGAGAGTCGAAGTCGCCCATTACTATTCTCCTTGACACTTAGAGGGACAAGTTCCGTACGCACGAATAGGCACCAGGCACCTTGCTGCGAGCCAAGCGCGAAAAACAGACATCACGGGCGAGATCTTATCGTGGCTGTGTTCACTTTTTGTCACATCTCATACATATGTACTTGGGCAGCCATCTTTTATCACTCAAGACTCGCCGCTTCCCATAACAAGTTTCACCAACTCTCCCATCAAATTCCAGTTTTCTTGCCTCGCTCTGCCCCAAAAAAAAAAAAAAAACCCCTCCTCCACCTTCCTAAACACTTGGTTTATACATTGCACACCAGCTAACCAATTTATATTTCATCCTGCCCTCCTCCGTTGCAACTAGACCTTGATCTTGTCCCCTGTCCATACCTGACTACCAAACCCGACAGTGCTACGACATCAGCGCTCCAGAGCATATTCTTCAGGCGAGCTATTCTGCGACGACAGATATAAGCCGACTTCTCTCTCCTTGTCTTCTACTGTACAGTAGCATCTTATCCTGTCTGCCCTGGATCGAACCCTATCTTATCTTCTGGAACTGCCGAACCCCACCCTTCTCCAATTGCGGCGAGATAGCCCGAGGCACTACGAGGGTAGAGGAAGTCCGCCACCATGACATCCCTGATCTTTGGATCAATTTATCTGTCTCACAAGGGCTTCGTGAATCACCGTCGTGAAAAACAGCGGCAGAAAAACTATGAACGATGGGAAGGCCTTCGTGACGAGTATGATGAGCAACGAAAAATAACCCGGGAATCGCGATCTCTCGACATCCAACGCACCGGGTCAGTTGTTGACTATGACAAACCGATCTTGACTCTGCGCGACCAACAAGAAGCGAATGATGCTCGTACAAGCTGGCGGCCTCAAGAAGCCTGGGGCGATGCTCCCGAGAGACGAAGCAGCGTTGAAGTAACATCTGGTTCGGGCCTGCGACCGTTAGCAAGTCACAAAACCGGGTCTACGTGGGATGAAGGCTTGCCGCAACCCTTGAAGGTGAGCAGGCGGAATTGGGACGACTATGTATCTCCTGTAAGCAGGAGCAGCAGTCTCAGAAACCCCAGCGGGTCAAATACATCCCGAGATGGGAACGCCAGCAACGCCTCGTCGGTGAACAAACTGTCGCCTCGGCTGGACGTGCCCGCTCCTGCGAGCACTACTCCTCACCCACATGCTTCCAGGAGCACTAGCATGCCGGTGGACATGCTGCCGAATCAAAATATTGAACCGATTGAGAATTCAACTCCTGGTGGACGTATGGCGGAGTTGATCGAAATGAGCAACCCTCACCGTCCTGCGCCGTCCACTAACCAGTCGCCACAAACGTATACAGGGTACCCGACTCAACCCTACTTGCCATCAGTTTCTGCTGCCCGACCGAATGATGGAAGTATGCAGGAATGGTGGAACAGGTCTTGAGAGACGTCTCCTGGAGCCTGAAGTGCTGTGACTTTGGGTTGGAGTCAAAGGGGTAGCCCTAAATTCGTCACTCATTGCTCCCAACATTCATCCATATTTCCAGACCCTCGACGAGACTCCAGTATATTGGCTATCCACAACTGAAAATCGATCTTTACTCTCACGCCTCAGCGGCGGCGGCGTTTCGATGTTGGAGGAATAGACTCCTGATAAAAGCATTGAGTGGCTCGCCTGGAGTGGTCTTTCATGGAGGGAAAGATAAGAACGGAAGCTTCTCCAGCACCTGTCACCCCACTAGATTTCCCCCCCGCGAGTCAGGACAAATATATTCAGAGAAGAAACGAGAGCGCCCAGGAAGAAGTAGATTGACGGGGAGGAGGACGAGAAGGGCAAGACGAAGGCGCACCATTTCCGAGTCCTGACGAGTATGTAGTCGCATGGAAACGGAGGCGGATATATAAAAGCCTAAACGTTGTAAGAGCACTGGAGATGGAGAGAGGGAGAGAAAAGGAGATTACCGTATACAGAATGTGTTTCGCTAGGTAGGAATATTGGTGTGTAGATATTTTGGGCAAATTTCAGATCGTGCTCTTTATTAGTTTGCATCTCTGGCCTTCAATTACGAACCCCCACACTCATACTTCAGAATGCCACCTCCTTGTCCTACACCAGCAGGAGCAGGAGCAGGGCAGCACTCGGTCAAAAAAAGATCCCAACCACGACAAGAATTTGCCCTTTCTCGACTTTGACTTTTCTGACTTGACTTGCGTTGGTTCTAGACAAAGCCTCCCTCCTCGCTCGCTTCTTCCCCCGCGCCTGCCCCTTGGTATGGCATGCATGGCACGGCCTGTCTCGTCACTCTTCTCTTCGCTGCTTTTCATAAAGGTATCTGATCTGCGTGTCTGCCTGCGCCCCCTGCCTGGATGAAAATACGCGCATCATATCCGCCTAGGGTAAGTAAGATAGCTCTATAGGAGGATCCCTGTTCCCCCCCGGAAAAAGACCAATCCCTGTTTTTGCTTTTGGTTTCGTGAATCTCGACGAATCGAACCTGATCTTTTCATAGACAAAGGCTTGAATCTGTTCTATGCAGCATTTCCGGGTTTCTCTTCTGTGTCGATGTGCTATATGGAGAGACAAAAATTAGTAAAATGAAACCCCAGACCTTCAAATCCTGGAGGCATTAAGCGTGGAACCCCGGTCAAACCAGATCAGAGGTCTGCAATGGAGAGGCTTCGTCCTGAATGAAGAGAGAATGAAGAGAAATCATGATCGGGGAAGACTGAGAGACTTACCCAAACGACGTAGTTCGGTAATCCTACCACTTGATATCCTGCCCGTTTGGCCATCTTTGCGAAACCCTCAGTTTCGGCTTGGTTTTCAAAAGCATAGCAGGGAAAGTTGATCCCTAGATGCAGATGTTAGCGCAGGCCCATGCTACCACATATTTGGCTTCCCAAATCTCGATTTAACATGTCACAAACACTCACCAGATCGATGGACATCCGCCTTGACCAAAATATTAACTCCACCAATACCATCCAACTCAATTTCTTCGTCCTTATTATTCCGCCAATCACCCATCCTCGCCATGTATGTTCTTCCCGTATCGTATTCCTTGTACCCTTCTGCAAGCACAACATCTTTATCCAGTGAGGCTACAAGTCGACGGCCTTTGTCGGATTCAATCCAGCTGTTATAGTCGAACCGTCCTTCGATGTCTCGCCCGTTTTCGTATCGGTGGAACCATATATCTGTTCGTCGAGCATTAGATCGTCCGGTCAGTTTTTCTAGGAAACAAGGGGTCAAATCATACTTGGGACCAAAATATCTCGATCATGGGCGACAAAGTCCTCAATGATCTTTTTGGGTGAATCTACGATGTCAACATCGCGCCAGTAGACCCAGCTATGTTCGGGCTTCAATGCCGCGGACAACAAATAATTCCTTGCTCTTCCCATTGCCTTTCTCCTTGGGCCTTGGGCGGCGAATCCATGTCTCGATTCCACGCTCATGTCGAGGTTCGAGCCGAAATTCTTTTCGACGATGAGGACGCTGTGGAAGGGGATTTTGTCGGTCCTTTGTTGGATGCGGTTCAGCTCCGAGGAAAGCACTGCAAGGGTGTCATCGACAGAATCACCCACAAGGAAAGCCAGATCGATCAAGTCGTGCGGATACGTGAGTTCGGAGAGCAAGTCGAAGTACTTGATGAGGTAGGGCGAGGCGTCGCGGAGTGGCGTGAGGATAAGGATCCGTTCACGGTTGCTGAGGGCTCGGGGCGTGGAGACGATGGGATTCAAATCGATGCGATTGATGGTGCTGGCATTGACTTCGTAAGGTTCATGGTGGTTAAAGAGGACAGGCGTCTGAAGGTGTTGGTTCCAGGCGACCATTTCATTATTTGACATTTGTGTGGGAGGCTTTGAGGGGCCGAAGCAATAGAAACTAGCAGTCACAGCCAGTCAGTCATCCAGCCTTTCATCTCGGACAGACAGGAAACGTACTTTGACATCTGTTGTGTGGACACGCTTATCCCCCTCCATAATAAGACAATCAGACCCGTGAGGGCGACTGCGACCAGAAATCGGGTCCGGGTCAAGAACATTATTATGGCTTTCCAAGGAGGTAGCCTGGCTTTGGCAGACTTCCAAGTCATGCCGCCTTTTGGGAGAAGCATTTTGTGCGGGTTTAAGTTAATGTACAAGAGGGAATCGAATGTGCTGAGAATCGGAGGCAAAGAAAGGGAGGCACCGAGGAGGGAAGGAATGGCGCGGCAGTACGGGAGGGAGGTGGCAGACTCCTCGCTAGGAGGACGTCGTTCTTGTCGCGGCCAGATTGAATAAGGTGTTGCTGCAGATTGTGATGGACGAAACGAACGGAATGGCCTTGCGCATCAAGGCCCGATGGAGAAGGATCAAGGTGTAGGAGGAGAAGAGGTCGCAGGCACAATATGGAGTTGGGGCGAGGGCTGATACAACGCGATTCGGATTGACCGAGGGTTGCAAACGAGTTCCGAGATGCTGAATCAATGGTGATAGAGGCACAGGAGACCTAGAACGTGACAGAATTCGATGCAAGAGTTCGGGGATCGCAAGGGTCGAGTGGTGGTGGTTGAGATCTGTCTCTCTATCTGATCCTTTTTCCCCAGCAGCACCCAAGGCCTTACTTTACTCCTTGCAGTGCTGGTACGCGAAACTGCGGAAGAACCGAATTAGGTTTAGCTCCCTCCCCATTGGTTTCCGACCTCCGATGTCAAAAGGTGGTGCACGTGATCCTATACGCCTTGGCGACAACGTAGCCTGTGTAGCTTGCGTAGCTTGCGTACTTAGCAGCCTCATCTTGCTCCGTCGTCTCCAGCTTTAACTCACATTCCCATGTACTACGCAGCTAAATACTCCACATTCCTTACAATCATCACTGCCGACCAGAAGCACCCCGTCTCCAGAAAAGGTAAGGGATCCATAGAACTCCTCGAACACAAAGGGTATCTATATTCTCTACTCCAGTCATATCGGCTCGAGGACCTAGCGGGACGTCCATTAGCTAGAGCTTTTTCCTGAATCCGGTAACATGCTGCGACATGATACTGTTCCTGGTCCCAACCGGCCCAAAAAGCGAGACTTACCAACAGGTTACGAAATTTTATGTAACGTTTTGGAGCAAACCTATTGGATATCAATCAGAACACACGATGCCCGCAGGCCGCTCGGTTAGATCTTGTAGATCAGCCCACCCCTGGCTCAGGTAAGGTATATCTTCGAAATTACTCCACGCTGCTCAGTCATCTCTTGGGTCATCGACCCTTAGCAGACTCAAGCAGCTTCAAACGCTGTAGACTGCTCATAGGGTGATTCCCGGACATCAGTTGAGCGATATCTGCTGCGAACAACTTCGGGCTGCTCCACACAAGATATCGAGGCCTAATCATGGTCTTTGGTGAAAATGAGCACCATATTCCGAATCATTGATGTCAACCCCGACCCGAGCGGAGGCTACGAGCCTACTTTGAAGTCGGACCTCCTTAGCCATGCGGCATTCCATACTCACGCGAGAAGGAGACGACGAGAGGAGAAGAAGAAACAAACCATTTCAGGTACTTCAGGTGACGATGGTGACGGTGCGACAGAACTGTCTGCGGTGCGCCATACATATTCTCTCTCGACTCAGATATCAATGCTGAGTGATCGGATTCAAAGCATGCTTTGAACTTGATTCGACAACGGCTGCAGGACAGGAGCCTTCGCAGGTCTGGTTTCTCGTTGCACAAGGGCGATGACTGGACCATCAACCTCATATCCTCCAAATCGCAAGACTTCATGGACCTTAGACAACAGAGTATGTCGCTTTCCGCTCAGTCTCGTGAAAACATAGCGTTGTGGCGAATCTTGAGAGGGGTCGTTTTGTTTCAAAAGTCCACAATGCCATGTCTCTCGCTAACTTTGCCGGCCCCGGGAACAGTGTATTTGTTTTTTTTTCACAGGAACTTATGTTGCGACACTTGATCCCCGAAACGCAGCAACACTTTGCCCTCCTGTCTTCCCTGGCGTACATGGCTTGCTCAACCCTTGACGCATTGCGCAACCATGGTCAAAGTGTGACGGCGCTGACAGTGAAGGGGAAGGTCGTGCAGGCCATGAATCACAGGTTCAGCGACTCCAGAGCAAAAGTCGATATTGTCGACTTCGCGACCGTTACCTCTTTAGCAAGCACGGTGGCCGTGAGTAAAATATAACTTCCTTTCCTTCTTGCCTAAAATTGTTGGCTTCACTCTAACGAGGCCCTTGACTAGGTCTACGAGGGCGGATTCGGACCAGAGGTATGTATGCTATCGTGAGCTGATCTCGATAGGGAGAGCCTCGGAGCACCCGATTAAAGCCGACATTGAAGCTGACGGTCACGATATCCAGTACTTGATGCACCGAAAAGGGGTAGAGACCATGGCGGTAATCATGGCGAAGCAGGCAAATCCCGCCCGACAAAGCTCTCCTGTGGAATTGTCGATCAACAGAACCATCGCTCTGCACCGTCATATGGCCCCCGTGGCCACCGACCTCCAAGTGCCTCCCCCCGATTATCCCGACCCGGACTTCGGTTATGGCGACGAGTGTTTTCGCGTTGGCGGTGATTCTCGTGGAGGGAACACGAAACTGATTTTGGAGTCGCCCTTGTACTGCCCTGAGCCTGGTTTTCGTTACGTACAACGCTCGAAATACTGCGATGCGCGGCTGCTGCGACTTCTTTGCGATCTGCGCGACTACCTGGACCTCCTCGAGATCGAGCGCGACATCGAGTCTCGGGTGGAGAAAGAAGCGTTTTGTTTCGCTCACCGCCTTGCACTACGCAGTCGACTGCTCGCTCATGAATCAATCCATTCACCATCGACGTCGACAAGGGCGGCGGTGGGAAGAAGAATCATGCGCGAAAACGACTACGTCTACGAATGTGTCAGACTGTGTGGATTAGTCATAGTCCATCTCTCTGACACCTGTCTCCCTTGTCGCGCCGCCTTTCCAGTTATTCCACCGAACCCTCCTGACGCCGCGAGCGCGACAACGCTCCCGAATCTTTCACACTCAACAGAAGCACCACCCCCGTTTACAACGCCTCCACTAACTCGTTCCTCGGCATCCACGAGACCAGACATAAGCGTCCTCCCGCTCATCGACTCTCCCGCCCCGTCGCACATACTTCCCGCCCTGGCGTACAATATCCGCAAAGGCCCCAACGCGCTCGCCGGCTGGGACCTCGCCATGAGAGGTGTCCTATATTTCGTCACAAACGTCGCGGGAGCCATATCGGTAGGCCACCCCGAAGCCCTGCTAATCATCTCTCTGGGCTCCAAGGGCGTCTTCGACATGACCACGTCCAGCAACGAGCGAACCTGGGACGAAGCGTACCTTCCCTTGAAAACTTTCGCTGAGTTTCGGAAGTTGTGTTTGAATGAGCGCATTGTGAAGCTGACCACGATGGAAGATTACGACGCTTGAAAAACTGCGCTGCTCGGAACGGAGCTTTAGTTCTTGGCTTTCTCCTCGACAAAAGGGAATTTTGAGAAAAGAAAGGGTTCATACTCGTTTTCCTTGTCATTCGGTCTCGGAAAACGGCGAGATGGCTAAGTGGCACTGTTCAAGTACGCCCTTCACGCGCGTGCGTGTGTGTGTGTGCGCTCGCTCCGTAAATATAGCTATGCAGCTACCTCCTCGCCTAGGGTTTCTTCCTGACAGACACTACGATGTTTTTTACTTATCTCACGCAGAACGATTGATGGTACACATCAGACATACGCACATGACATAATATACATAGGGCCACGAGTGGTGGACATTTCCGCCACATCATCCCCTTAATGCCTGACTGTACCAATAAATCAAGAACTCCCACGGAAGCCTGTGGCAGTGTGGTAGATAGACAGCCAGCAACAACCCCGGCGACCACAGATGTAAGGCCACTCCAGCGAAGATGCCTTGCTGCAGCACCCGGAACGCCGGACTGAGAGCTATCCCCCCGCCTGTGCTGGATACTAATTTACAAGTACATATCCATTCTGGGGTTGTGGTACAAGGCTCCGTCCCATAAACGCCGGGATATGAAGAGTTTCTCCAAAAGCTTTTTTTGTCCCCCGTCTCTCTGCTTTGCCGGTGCTCCACGAGGAAACGAAGACTCAGATGTCCGCCGCATCTTGATATCTTTGCACTTGCGCCAAATCGGCCGTGGACCATCGTCGCGAGAATAATCGGGCATGGCCGAAAAAGGAGAAAGGAACCCTGCGCACTGCTGGCTTTCACGGGAGCTCCCAAACACCAAAAGAGGCTTGTATTTGCCTCACCAGGTCCGCGGCCACGTACGTGTTGACTCTCGCTCCATGTCATCCCATGTCCTCTTCTGTCCAACGTAGCCTGGCTGAGAGAGGAATGACTCGCTCGTGGAGGAGCCGCATTCGCTCGAGCTTCGTCGTGCTCCTCGATCCGGCAGCAAATCTTGTTGTTGGCGGATCAGAAACCGAAGCAGCAACTGCACTACCGTCTCCGCGCGCCTGCGCCGGTCGTTGATCGACTGCACCACCCTCCCCGCCATCTCGTGGGCGTATATGGCCGTCCACAGCTGATCGTCCTTGCCGGGCCCTTTGCCCGCTTGAGTCTTGGTTTTCTTCTCGGCCTTTGCGTGTTCCGCACCGCATTCTGCAGCCAGGTCGGAGCATCGACGATGACTTTCCTTTTGAGACTCGCGATGGCGGTCTCGTCTGTCATTTTCAGTGATGCGATGAGCCTCGTCAGCCTCTTGTCTTCTCTTTTCTCTCGCCAGCAACTCAGGGTCGAGGTCATCCGTCGCTTGCATCTCTTTCGAGGCAGTTTTCTTCTCTAGCTTCGGGCGAGGTTTCGACACTCGCTCGCCGTAGAGTTCGCGACTCTCGTCGCGACAGAAAAAGCCATCGACCAACTCATCGAGCGATTTGCCGGCAATTTTGTCTTCTAATCTCTTGCTGAACTTGTTCATTGGAGAGGTAGGCTTGAACCAGCCTTGGTTGTAGGCTGGCCTAATTGCAGAATCGTCTAGCAGATCACTGGCTGCCTGGACAACAGCAGCAAGCTTCGGTTCTGGCCGGTCGAGCAGGCTCCGGAGATGTGCCATGTCGACGTCTCCGTCCAGGTCTGTATCTGTAGAGCATACAGATGAGGAGCTGCTGGCGGTCAGAGGAGGGGTCAAAAGTTGTCCGTATGCTGGGAAACTTGAAATAGATTCGTCTGTCATAGAATTGATTGATGGCAGAGGAGGACCTCTGTAAGGCAGATAATGGTCGAGAAAGAGTTGGTCAACCCTCAACATGGGGAAGCTGTTAGAACGAGACGCATTCGATCTTTGACAGGAAATAGGTGAGGGCGAAGGTAAGAGTGGTGGCGCCGGTCCTCGCCCCAGTAGAATATCAGTGATGCTGGGCAACACAGCCATGTTTTGAGATGCACAATCCTCTCGCTTTGTCTGCGTGATGCTATTTCCTGCCTGTGTTTTGTCAGTCAGATAGCTGGAAACTGTCGGGCAATGGTTGGGCTAACCATGGTTGCAAGTGGTGGGAAATCGATACAAGTCTGTGCAATGGGTAGCAAGCCAGCCGTGGATCGAACGAGTTGTGCCTTAGCAAACAACTAGATAAACACCACCAGAAGTGCGGCACCACCTGAAACAAGAAGGGAGTCGCACCAAAGGAGGGAATGCTTGAACGAGACGGACCTGACAGGTCGGCAGAATATGTACCTCTTCACCTTCACTCCCCCGGGTTGTTGGACTTTGTATGAGATGGAAAACATAGCGCGTGCATCGTCTCCACTTTTCCATTTGCGTAGCAGGTAATCCATTTTGCCTCCTACATGCGCTCTACATCTAATAACTTCAGTAAAGACCAACATCAATGCATTAGGACAGCCTCTTTGCGCTAGACGCTGGCGGGGAACCACCAAATGCAAGCAAAAGAGAAGGGGAGAAGTGGTCCTCATTGGGGAACACAAACCTATCAAATCCAACCCCGGGTTGATCTGATCCATGAACAGGAGGGTAGACCCAAGTCCCTGTCAATCGATCTGGTGCAGTGGAGCGCCGCAAAGTCCAAATTGGGTCAAGCAGGGCTTTGAGGCAGCCACAGCAGTCGCAAACCACTCCAACAGGAAAGACAGGAGCAGGATCTTGATGTGTTACATCTTCCAATTCGCTTATCGATCAGAATGCTCACGACAGCGGGATGGGATCTCCCCTTGCAAGAGTCGTAGTGTTGAGAGAGATCGACCGATCCTACCGCCCCCCAAGAAGTAAGATATTCCAGGACCAGCCTCGTCTTCCAGAAGGCTAGTCACAAGAGCATGCACTGCAAGCAGAGCATGCAAGCGTTCGCCGAATATCCGATTATGAATCTCTCCGGACCGCCTTTTGCTCGATTCCCAATTTGATGGGCTTCGCGATCGTGGCAGATGTTCGCGATCGAATGTGGACTTGCGAGCGAGACTAGTGGATGGAAAATCCCTAGCCAAGAATGTGAGCTCAGATTTCACCTCATCTGCCAGTTTTATCGGGGTTGACCCCCTAGGGGTTGGCTGAAAGTCCCAACCGTGATTCACACTATTGCTGCCGCCCAGAGCCTTTGACAGGTGCGCTAAAACGGCTTGCTCGCGTCAAGGGGGTGGGATCCCGCTTGTCCGATTTCTGGCAAAGCTTCGCACAAGAAATTGTCCGCCAGAGAGGCAGTTGTCGGTTGATGTCATGTACTTGTATATTACATTGATGCCATATATGATGCAAGTCCAGTATAAAATGTTGGAGTATATAAGGTCGATATAGCGTGTGTCCATTCCTTCTCTTGCGCGCCAGCCATCGTCTCCCGAGCGTCAACCCATGTCTTCATAAGTTGGAATTCCAAGATGTCAACCATGTCGTATTGTGTCAAGCATCCAGGAAGAAAAAGCCGCCTCAATGAATTACAGGGTGGAAAATCACCCCGGGCGGCCCACAATCGTGGCTACTCGTCGGCTCTCCCCTCTAGGAGCTTTCTTGATTCGTCCAGTCTCCTCCTGAGTACTTTTGCGGCACGCACTTCGTGTTTCCTTTCCGACCTTAGGATCTCATTGCAGACGCCACCCACAGCCCGCAAGAGATCAAGGACGAGATCCTTGTCGACGTTGGAAAAAGTCACTGACCCAGGTCCTTCGCCAACTCTAAATTCCGGGTCCGCCAGTTTGATCAGACTCTCCATCAGGATTTCCGTGTTCGCGGGATGGTCGACCGGCACCTCATTTGGCGCATTGGTTGAACCCAATGCTCTTGGGGTGGGGAAAGACCCATTCGGTGAATGGACAGGAGGGGTCGGTATGCCATTAGAAACGATGCTCCCTTGCGTCTGAATCTGTCGTGGGGATCTGGTTTGACCCTGGCGAGCCCGTCCACTCATTGGAGGTGTCGGCCACACAGAAGCTGTGTTTTCGCGTTTTGGACTCATTGGTGGTTGAGGAAATGGCGGCGAATTGCCCCAGCTGAGAATCTCTGTCGGCATTCCATCCTCGGCCTCTCCATCACTGGCGCCTCCCCCTTCTGTAGCTGTCGCAAAGGTGGCGACAGTTGAAACAGAATCCATACTATTGCTTCGTGCGGCCTTCATCCAAGGTTTCGAAGGCGCGGCAAGCGGAGTGGGATCGAGTGGAGGCCCGGGTTTTAGAAATGTCTCTTGAATCGGTGTGTCTGCAGCTTCCTCTGTACCTGCTTCTTCATCAAGGGGTATCTCCGTGTCGTCTTCGTCTATTGTCGGTGTGTCTTGGGCCAGGCGCGTCGTTGTTACACTGCTGCAATCGCTCTCGCTAGGAGTTTCACTTCTAATACCCGTCCCAGTGTAATTTCCTAGTGCACTATGAAGGAACATGTTTTCGTAGTCGAACGCGTCTAACCTGTCTTCATGGCGTTCCGCGGCGCCTTCTGTGGGAAGCAGGTGTTCGGGGATCTCGGGGACATCAGGCTCGAGGTCCTGCAGGCTCTCCTCCAAAACTTCGTTCAGGTAAATTTGCTCTTCTTCTGAAGCGGCAATCGGTTCGTCATCATCAAATTCTTGCGCAGCGTCTTCATAAAGCGATTCTTGGAGCACCGAATTTGATTTCTCGACAGGCTCCGGCTGCAGATGAACCGACTTGTGGAGACTTGGAGTGTTCTTGTCTGTCCTGGCTTCACTCACCAAGCCAGAGTCTCTTGTTGCGGGCAGTTCGACGTTGAGTAATGTTTGTGCCTGTGGCGTCACTGGTGCGACTTGAAAGTCCAGTCGCTTCCTCGGTTGGGATGGGCTCCATCCCATACCAGCGTTCGTGTTGATCGGGCTGCCTGCCTCCTTGTATTCAGGGGCACTTGTGTACCACTGCTCTGGGCTGTGCGCATTTGCAAACGGACTGGGCGTCCTCATGCTTTGCAGACTTTTTCTCCTCATGCTGTCGGCCTGTGCTTTATCTTTCAAGTCGGAAATTTTTGCTTGCAAATTCGACATCTGCTCTCGAATCTCTTTGGTAGACCGATTTGACATTGCTGATGAGGAGCGAGCAAGAGCTGTGGTGGGGCTGCTTGTGACCACCGAAATGTCTTCTTTAGACACAGCTGCTAATGTGTTGATACCCAGGCCTCGCGGAGTCGACGAATCTGGGGTCGTCTTGATTGTGCTTGGGGGGCTTTCTTCCTCCTTCAACGCCCGCAGAGGCGAATTGAAGCTGCGATTGCTTGCCGGCGAGTACGGACCACCCCGCGCCGAGGGCGAATGAAACAACTGTTGGGGCGATTCTTGTCTGCGTCCATATTCCAAGGCGCTCGCGGATCTGATCTCGGGAATCATAGAGAGGCGTTTCAGTCCAGAGGCACCTGTCGTCGTATCACTACCGCCTCTGGCGTGCGCCACCGAGTTGTTTCTATTGACCAGATGAAGTGGTCTGGGCTTTCGCTGACTGGCGCCAGCCAAAGAGATCGAACGATATAACCCGCCCGCAGGTTGATGAAGTTCATTCATATTTGGCGAGGATCTCGACGACAGAAGAATGCTGTGACGTGCTTTACTGAGATTATCCTCCATGTGGGTCAGTCGCTTCCTGGCGTGCTCAAGGATTCTCTCTGCTCGTTCGTTCAGCAAAGCCATTTCGTCTTCTGCGCTGGTCGTAATCGTGCTATTTCTCTTGCTGTCGGGTTCTTCGATTTCCTCGTCTGGGACCTTGGCCACGTCTGCGGCCAGTCTCCCATTCATGATCTTCGAGGTATCGAAGTCCTCCCAATTGCCAAGGTCGGAGCCATTGCTCGAGGAGGAATGATTGCTTAACCTTCGAGCGACGCGCGCAAAGGGGCCCGCGGGGGTCGGTGAAGGAGGATCTGATATCATCGGGCTCTCGGTTCGCCGACTTTTTTTCGATTTCGGGGTTTCCTCCTCTCCAATGTCGCTCAGGGGCGCGCCGTGTTCGTAGCCATGGTAGTTGGTATTGATAGGAGGGACAGCCCGCGAGGGCATTCTGATGGTTGTCGCAATGCCTAACTCGACTGCAGGCTCAAGCTCGTGCGGAGAAGAACCCAGCGAAACCGCAGAATCTGGACGCACGGGTAGCGGGGACGAGCGTAGAATCGGCGAAGACGCGCGTGGACTGGGACTGGAGTCGAGGTGAGGCTGATACGGCAATATCATGTCCGGATTTGTCAACGTCGGCGACGGAGGGACTTCCTGCGTAAACAGGTCGTGCGGAATCGCAGGAGGAATTGGATGAGCGTGTGCGTTCGCCATGATGACCGAGGTTGTATCAACGAACTGCGCGATTGATCGACTCTGACAGAATGCGACGGCGGAGAGACGTCGGGCAGCTCAGCTGGCTTCGAAGACAGCACCAAGTTCCAAGAGCGTATTGTCAATGCATCTTTGCGCTCGACTGGGGGGTGGAGGGAGGTTGTTGCGTGTGCTGCGGAAGGGGCAGAGTCTCGATGCGACTTTTGGAGCCAGATCAAAGTTCAGTGCTGGAAGAGGTGCTCGCGCAGATGCAGGACAAGAAGAAACAAGGCAGAGAGGATCTGCACTTCAAGCCCACCCCCCGGACCTTGTCAGATTGTTGGACAAGGGGGTTTCCAAAGTGGCAGAGGAGTGAGAGCAGTGGTTCACCAGGCTGTGGCCGAACCAGAGATGGAGTAGGTGAGAGTGCGGGCTCCGGGATGAGGAGGTTTGATGGCGCACATCAGCGCAGGTCCCTCAAGCGAAGGGGAAAAAGGGAAGAAGGGAAAAAGGAGTGGAAACTGGGCCAGCAGGGCTCCTGGAGAACGGCACTGCTGACTGGCTGCGTCCCCTGCAGCAGCGCCAACAACGCCGAATCTTCAAGCAGCAACCCCACCCCAGTACCCAGTACCCAGTACCCAGTACCCAGCGAGCCAGCTTAACAGCTGCAGCTCACTAGCCCCCAAGAGCCTCCCGGTACCCAGTAGGCTGCGCCTGGAAGCCTAAAATGCCAAAAATTGGAAAAAACGACAGACCTACTGGTAGGTAATTTCTGAATCTTTGCTCACCTGACAGGGCGATCCCATCCCATCCCATGCCCATCCCATCCACATTCAACATCCCACATGCTGCAAGTCAAGTTCTCGGTAAGCGAACCCAATTTCGGCCCCGCGTCCCCCATGGTCCCTCGAATTCGTCAATTCTCGAAATCTGCAGCTGAGGCTTCGCAGTCGAGAAACTGTCGATGATGGGATGCCAGTGCTGACAAAGTCCGAAGCAGGAGTTGCAAGAAACGAGTTTCGACATTCTTGAGCCCTAGCCGGCTTCTTACATATCTAGGCAGTCTCCCTCGTCGTATGCAAGGGAAAGCGTCCCCAATAAACATTCTCAGGAATGCCAGCCTTCGTCCTCGTCCCTGCTTCACCCTCCGATCTCGAGGCCATAGCCCGCGTCCAGTTTGCGGCCTGCGCCTCCGACCATGGGTTCCCTGTTATCTTCCCAAAGGGAGCCACATTGACCTCCATCACCCATTTTGTGCACTCGTACGAAAGCGACTTGGAGAACGACCCAAGCTGCCACCTCATGGTAGTCAAGGAGGCCATGTCCGGCGAGATCGCGAGCTTTGCCGTCTGGCATTTTTACCCGCCCAAAACCCAAGAGGAGGTCGAGGAGGAAATGCTGATGCGTGAATTCCCACTTCCTGATGACGCCAATAAGGATCTGGGGAATCGCTTGATTCGCAACAGTATCAGAAAACGCCATGAAGTCGCCGCGTCAGCTGTCGGCCCGGATAAGCCCTATGCGTGTAAGCGACCCTACCCTCTCCCTGTCTTTGACCCGGTCGATGGCTCCTCCGATCTGACTTCGTGGCAAGATCTCGCTGCGATTGGAACCAGCCCAAAATACCAGAGGCAAGGTGCTGCTTCTCTCTTGCTCGACTGGGGTCTGGAGCGGGCCGATGACCGAGGCCTGGCAGCCTATGTCGAAAGTGCCCCGGCGGCTTTACGACTCTACGAGAAGTATGGCTTCAAAGAAGTCTGCAAACTACCCTTAGAGATGTCGCCTTGGAAGGAAGGGGAATATTTGAATGTATGCATGGTTCGGCAGCCTCCAAGCTGAATATGTCTTGACCTGCAACGCCATCCCTTTCCTGCTTTCGTCTTCACTGGCTTTCATTCTGCCCTCAGTTTGGCCCTAACCATCAAGGGCCCCTTCTTCTCTCCTATCCCCACGCTCTCCACGATCAACTCCTCCTCGGGATCCAAAACTTCCAGGTCGTATCGGCGCCAGAGAGCCGCCAGTACTTTGACAATGCTCATCATCGCCACATTCCTGCCTATACATGCTCGATGACCGGCACCGAAAGGGGCAAGGTCGTTCAGGGACAGTGGTTTTGACGGATCGAGCCATCGCTCAGGTCGGAAGAAGTCGTGATCCGTGCCCCAAACTGAGGCGTCGTGGTGGAGCACATGGTTGATCATCGAGACCGTGGTCTATATGAGAGCATATCAGCTTGAAGTCCCTCTCGATGTTGGGCTGTCTCGAAACTTACCCCACAAGGAACATAGATACCATCGATCACTGCACCTTCGGGATCACAGACTGTACGCGGTAACGGCATGGTAAACACCGGTGAAATCCGGAAATTCTCTCGGATACAGGCCGTCGCGTACGGCAGCTGCGCTTCCAATCCAGAATATGCCGGTAAGGAATCCCCGGCCGTATCCTGGAAAGGCACGCATGCCATGATCTCTTTTGTGAGCTTCTCGGACGCAGTCTTATTGTGCAGTAGATGATAGAAAAGCAAAGTCAAGGTGCCCGAAGTCGTGTGTGACCCTGCGACTAAAAACGCAAATGCTTCCGAGCTGACTGCCATCTCTGACAATGCTTCACCTGTTTCGGGGTCCTTTGCGCGGATTAACCTGGTCAAGATGCTGTGCTTGTCGCTGACCTTCTCTCTGGCCATTTCCCGGGCCACGCAGGCCGAGGTCCTGTCTCTCAGTACTTTCCTGCTCGCCAGAAGATTTTGGAGCCATGGCAGTGGAATATAATTTGCAAGCCTCATGCTGTATGGCAGCAAGGAAGGGAGCATGCCGAACAGACAGCCCAGGAAAATATGCTCATTGATCGGGGGCAACTGTGCAGGGTCTTGCGCCGCCTGCGAGCCGAACTCCGTGTGGAAGACCAACTCTCCCATGACGTCGTACGCATAGTACCCCATGAGATTCTTCAGGTCAAATGGCTTAGAGCCTTGGGCGTCAATGGCATCGACAAGGTTGTCGAGATGGCGATTGAAGATGGATTCCATCTGCGACAGGGACGCGAGGGAGAAGCTGTGCGCCATCTGGCGGCGTCTCTTAGCATGTAGCTGCCGTACCATTAGCGTTTTCGAATTCAGGAACCATCAGGCTCTCGGGGCGTATGGACTAACGTCTTCGTCACGAGTTCCAAATGAGTTCGGATGGAAGGTCGTGAATCCATCGTAGAGATTGCTCTTGATGAACTTCCGCCCGCCTTTGTAGACCTCGTCGAGGATCTCCACGCTCCGGAAGCTCAGCTCACTCGGGGCAACTCGTACGACTGGCCCGTACTTTTCGTGCACCTTCACCATGGTGTCTGGCATGCGCCTCGTCCACAGATGATAGACCCTCCATAGGTTCGTGTGCGCTGCCCAGAACGGTCCGGAGAATTTGCTCAAGGGATGGAAGAAGTGATTGCGCAGGAATGACACAAGGATGAAAATGGTCGGCAACGCTAGGAAAAGGAGGCAGACCGGCAGCATGGTGGTTGGTTCTTCTCTTGTGGTCCAAGGAGGGTTGGTTTGGGATGTTTAGCCAAGATAACCGTGCAAAAAGCACCAGAGATATCAAGACAGTTAGTTCACTACTCCCAGAGTAAGTTCCCTTGGGCTTGATATTGCGTTTGAGTACAAGGCATGCTTTATCCTTCTGCCCACGCGGATTGCTGACATGTTGGGCTCTGTACGTCAGTTTGGTTTTTAATCACGATTGACGACTTTGATGAGCCTTCCTCACCCATTGCCCAAGACGGAAGAGAATGCGCTTTCCGTCCCGCTATGAACAGCACAACCTGAATCGGAATGTACCGACTGTATCATTATTGGAAGAGGCGAATTGGAAGGATGAGGGCTGTTGGAAAGGTTCCCCAACGTGGACTGGAACTGACTTGGGTGAGGAGCCTGCGGTGTGCTTGGGGATCTGATGCTCGGAACGCAGCCAACGCTCAACACCTGAATTCCGAGCCCCTTCGCCTCCAATTGCTTTGTCCCTTTCGGCTAGAGCAGTCCGGGCACGTCGATCATTACCTTGGCCTAGAACTCCAATTCGCACGGGCAACCTTATGGATTGGAGGACCATCTAAGGACCGTGGCGGCTATAACGGTAGTTTGGTCCTCGTCATGTGTCGGTTCCGGTCCACATCCATCCGGTTCTCATTTTCCCCCCGTAGTCTTAGGTCAGAGGCGACTGCTGCCGACCAACGTCGGCAAGTGCTTGTCAACAGCATCATGTTCTAAGTCGGTCGTCAACCTTGAAATTGGCGCCTGGTGGACTCTGCAAGATGTGCCCTGAAGCTAGTAGATGGGATTTTGAGACGAGGTAAGAAGGTAGAGGAATGATCGGACGACTTGTGATGCTAAGTTAAGTCTGCTGTGGCGAGAGAATGGCCTTTGCACGCCGCCTTGGCCAGATTGAAGGGATGGATCGTATGTGACAAGTAGAATAGAGAAGACACGCAATGGCGGAATCCTTGCTGGAGTCTGGATGTCGTGGGATCGCTGGCCAACAACAGATTAGTCGCGGACTCACGTCAGATGGTTCTTGTAGTGTTCTTTGTGCGCACTGGTGGCACATGGACGTTGGAAGTTGGAAGTTGGAAGCTGAGAAAGCAATCATGCCCAGCTCGTTAGGGAACGAGCAATACCTACTAGCTCCAGGGCACCCACCAGCAGCGTAGGTACCCGGTACATAGGTTCGTAGAGTACCTACCAAGTACAACAGGTCCCTAGTAGGTAAACACAGGCAACTTTTAACCTTGTAGCTAACGCAGCTAGGCTTGGTCGCTTGGTGAGCTTGAGCTTGAGCTGGAAGCGCCAAACTCCCGCACTCTACCGAGTACACTTTGCACCCCACACTCCACACGACGCCGGGCCGGGGGAAATCATCTTTTCCAACGCAGACCTGCCTTGACCTGCCTAGGTACTCACACTAAAGAGTCAAATATTGTATCACCACCCGTCGAAACCTCGCAATTGTCGTTGTCGTTTCATAGCGCGCCACCGGGCTACTCAGGATAGAAACTGCTGTTGCAAGCCGGGAAGCCGAACAACAACCATTGCGCCGAGACCCTACGCTGTGTTTGATGGAACCCCCCAAGAAGAAGGCGAAGCAAAGCGCTGCCAGGAGGGCCCCTTATGCCGCTGCAGCCTGCGACTACTGCCATGGCCGTAAGCTGAGGTGCTCGGGGGATCGCCCTTGTCTTCGCTGCAAGAAAAATGCTATTTCGTGCAGTTATCCTGCGGCAAGGCCGGAGTCAAGGCCTACAGTCCAGCAACGGGATGGACACACGTAAGTCCACCAGACTGCGAAGACTTGTTCGTGTTACAGATTGGCCCTGACATCAACAGGAGTCCAGAAGCACTTTTCACTAGCATCGAAGATTTGCAACGAAAGCTGGACGAATTTAAAACCCAGCTTCATGGCGCTGCCGCTCCTGAACTGCCAGGGTCTGCCTTCCCAAGCCCGCCAGAGGCATTTCAACAGCCTCACAACTCTGACAGAAATGAGGGGGACGAACCCGCGCTCGTGAAACGACAACCAGATCCCGACACCCTACACGTATACGCTGGGCCAACTAGTTACGCTTTCGGAATGGTTACAGCTGATGCAAGACTTTCCAACCTCACTCCATCCAGCAGGGACTTTACCACGATGGATAGTCCCTCTCCTACGCCGATTGAAGATCGTAGCTCTCCGAATGAACCTGCTCAGCCGGCTGAAGCTTGGGAAATCCACAGCGAAACCTCGCTCGAAAGATTCAGCGTAGAAGACGCCGTGCAATGCTTGGACACGTTTCAAGATGTTTTCGGGGCCCTCCATCCCCTACCGCAGCTCGAGAAAATTAGGTTAAGTTTGCCTAGTCTTTTGCGGTCTGCCAAAAGATCACTTTGGAGTCAACCTACAACTCCAGGTCATTGTGGCCTTTTGGAAATGTTGAAGATAATTCTAGGAATCGCCCTGGTTGCGCAGACTGGTGGTAGAACCAAGCTGTCAGACACCCTTTATCGGAGTGTGGAACCTACTCTCGTTTCGGCGGTCTTTCAGCACTCCATCAGTCACGATTTTCGAGCGTTGTTGCTGCTCGTGGTATGGGAATTTGGCCATCGCAATGCTAATTACTAATTAAGCCCTAGGCCATGTATCACTTCAGCAATGAGGACCTAGTACTTGGATCCAGAGCCATTATGTACGCTGCGCGCACAGCTGTTGAAGAAGGCCTCTATCGAATCGAAAAGCTCTCGGTCATCGTCCCTGATGAAAAGGAGCGCCAGGCAATCATCCGGCAACTCTGGAGCTTGTTTGTCCTGGACCGCCAATTCAATTTCGCCGCCGGCCTACCGCATCATCTCAATGACGGCGACGTTGACCTGCCCCCTCCTGCAAGTCCACCCCCAATGCTCTGTCGAGCAATTCTGCTAATGGGTTAGGAACTAGGTCGACGAGGGCTATCTCGCTGCAATGGTCAATTATGTCATATTCGGAGCCCAAGCATGGAACTCGCTGGTCAATCGAAACCTGCTGGCGAGTGGTCAAGCTCCGTCAAAAGACTCGATGAACTTCTTCTACTACCAAGTCCATCAATGGCATCAGGACTTGGATCCTTCCGTACGTTTTGGCACCGCAATGATTGAATCCGATGATCACAACTTTTTCACCTCTACATCAGATGAGGTCGAGGTATATCGCAAGACACTCCTGTACCTCCGCTCAAACCAGATCCAGATCCTCGTCCTCCGCCCCATACTCATATATCCTCAGACTGCTCGCAACAATACTGCCATGGTTATGGAAGCTATCACCCTGGCCAAAAAGTCTATCCGGACGTTAAGACTTCTGTCGTCAGAGACCAATTTGTATAGAACAAGACAAGCACTCTTTAACCACTTCCTCTCATCCGCATTGGCAGTTCTCTTTCTGGCAGCAGCATACGATGCAGAAACCCGGGCAAATAAAACTGCCCACCCGGATAGCGCAGCCACATTGTTGGGAGACACAACGAATGAGCTTCAGCAAGGCCTCGATCTGATCGATTGCCATCGCTCTCATTCGCAGTCCGCAGCCAGGTTGTGGACACGCTTCAACCGGCCAAGACAACAGCTGATTCGACTGGATATCTTACAAAGTACTGCGGGGACAAGACATCAAAGAGATACGCATCTCCACCACGGCCCAACAGGAGAAGATCGACACGAAATATCGCAACAGGAGGACTATTGTCCGGATGGCACATTTGCCGACGCAGGCACTGAGACAGGTGGAGAAAGAGATCTGACCTCCCATTTGGACGCTCCCGTTTCCGTTGGCTTTGACCCAGCAAATTTCGATCCCGAGAATAGTTTACTCTGGCTGGATTGGTTTGATGGCGCGTTCATGGATTCCTCCGTTCCGTTTGGCATGCCGGCATGGATGTAGCGCAGAGCCTCACCATTTCAACGGTCGAGCCAGTGGTCGGTTTAGCCCCTTGAATAGGTGAGCAATCACACCAGTCAAGGACATGATGAAGGTGAAACAGGGCATAACTCTCTGACATGACTTGTTATGACGTCCCCTATGAGGCTAGATGAGAGCAATTCAAAAGGATCTTAAGACCTGAGAGCAGAGGGCTTGAGTTTCGAGACAGTGGTTGAGATGACGTGCCACCAACAGACCTACAGTCTTAGGTACTTCGCAAAAGGCTACAATTCATGGGGGGTTTGACCGAATTTGTTATCTGTGGATTGTAACTCAGTTAACCACCAGCTACCTGACTCGGCTTCACAGCTACCGACACGGCATAAGCACCGAGACACTTCCCGCACGAGTACCTGAAGGAGGGTACGATACAAGCCTAGACCATCTTGCCACCACGACGAACTGTTATCCCAGCAAACCCATTGGCCCCAGGTGCATACCGGAACTGGCTATCTTAAGACCCTGAATGTCCACCGGCATACTGTTTATATTCTCCACCGGATCCTGTGCCAGTTCTTTTCCCAACCACTTTGCTCCTGGTTCCTCTGGTAGAGATCTTCCCCCCCGCTTATCGACTCATCACGGGCCTGGGTTCTGGTGGGTCTGGTGCAGCAGATACTTATGTTGAGGTGATTTGGTCGATACTAGTCATCGAGATGATGTTACGACGTCCCAATTTCACGTTGAGAGACAATATACAACGACGAAGTAGACTTGCGATACCGGTCTCAGTTCCCTCAATGTCCCGACGGTAGGGCCCGCACCGTGGGCTGGTGAGGCTTAAAGCAGCAAGTGGGCGGTCATAGAATAGCGATCGATTCAAAAGCAGCGCGGATCCCCTCATTATCAGGCTTTTCTTGCTGCGTGGCTGCGGCCCTCAACTTCGCTTCTCACGCATCTGGCAGCGGTCAATCTGGCAGCCCGCACGTGGTCATGGACAGCTTCTTTTCAAAGCCTAATGATCCTCGCCCGCGACAGTCCCCGGCAGCTCGTCTATATGGTGCTGTTCGGTTGACACGCAGGGATCTATGGGCAGCCCCTTGAGCGTGTTCAGCTCGAGGTCGAAGCGCTCGGATCCGGGTGCCATGCTGGTAATTTGGGCCGAAGCGTTCCAGGCTCGAACAGGAATCTCACCGCCAATGGCCTGACATCCCTTCTCCCTTCCGACGGAGTTAGGAACCAAACAAACCACCTTTCTCCAATGCTGATAACGCCAAATCCATCAGGAATAGATGGGAAAAGCATGGTACCTCCCGTCCGGCATCAGCTGTCAGAGCGAACGGAGCCGTTCCCTGCCGTAACCGACGCCTCCCAGGGTTACAAGATAGCCAAAGCAGGTCTCCAGGTGGCCAGGCTCCCCGCCATCAACCCGCATTTCCCCAAGTTCTTTCCCCTGATTGATCCACTCCCGCAGAATATTCCACCGGGATCCGCACGGCTTCCACTAATCATGGTCTTTCCTACGGTATGTTTCGGTCTTGATATGAGCGAACAGCCTGATGACCGCGCATAGGCGACGATCCGGCAGTTGGAGAATGCATGGCGACAGGAGCATCCGGTGCGGCCTTGTCAGGTCCTTCACCGACCATTTAAGAGCTCTGACCCTCCCTGCTCCAGGGTTCCCGGTCTCTCGGAGTTCCTGCGAAGTCTTCCACCGCTGTCTAAGCACTGTCCTTGGCAGGCAAGCTCCATTCGAGCTTCTCAACCCTCTGGACTGCAGTGCCTCTATTACCTCCTTGATTGCCATCCTGCCTTGCCCGAAAATGGACGAAAAGGTAGCGAGGGCGGACCAAAGAGATATGGCCTATGACAGCGATCCGAGGAAAGATGCCGTCGAAGAAATCGAGGGAGTTAACGGCCTGAAGACGGTCGAGGTTGGCTTCTCAGCAGATCAAGTGATTGTCGAAGTTGATCACAAAGAGCGGACACGGATTCTGAGAAAGGTCGACTACCGCTTGATCCCCATCCTCGCCATCTTATACCTGTGAGTGACAACTGGCGAGAATAGAGAGGGTGCGGCTGCTGACCGTCCCACTAGATTGGCATTCATCGATCGTGGGAACATCGGCAATGCTAAAATTGCCGGCCTCTACGATGATCTGCATCTCCATGGGATGCAATACAACACCGCCTTGACCCTGTTCTTTGTGCCTTATGGCTTCTTTGAAGTGCCGTCCAACATTGTGCTTAAGATGCTACGACCTTCGATCTGGATTTCCATCTTGATGTTCTGTTGGGGTAAGATGCTCGACTCTGATACTGGCTCTTGAGTCTCCAGCGGCTAACGTTGCCTAGGGACCGTGATGACCCTTATGGGCGTGGTCTCTACCTATAAGGGACTTTTGGTGACACGGTTCTTCCTCGGCGTGGCCGAGTCGGGCTTTTTTCCAGCAGCGACATACCTCCTCACGATCTGGTGGGCAATCCCATCCCAGCACGTACTGGGGACAGCATCTCCGAAAGAATGCACGCTAACTTGATCAGGTACCTACGGTATGAGGTCCAACGCCGAATGGCTCTCTTCTACGCTGCCGCCTCGCTTTCAGGTGCGTTCTCTGGGTTGTTGGCTTACGGCATCCAGCACATGGACGGCGTTGCCGGCCTGGCAGGCTGGAAATGGATCTTCATCATTGAAGGCCTGGTTCCTGTGGCTGGCTCGTTGGTGGTCTGGTTCGTGCTCCCGGACAATCCGGAGACGGCCAAATTCCTCACCAAGGAGGAGAAAGAATTCATCATCAATCGACTCGCTCTTGAGACGGGTTCTGGGCATGGTCGGGTCACGAATGCCGACCGTATTAAGATGAGCCACATCATTGCGGCTTTCAAAGAGTGGAAGATCTGGGGCGGTGTTGTTATATTCTGGGCCAATACAGTAGGCGATTTGTGGTTTAGAGCTTTCTATCGTGGACGGGAGATAGACTGACTGGGAGTTTTGCAGATTGGCGTCTATGGCTTTACGGCGACGGTTCCATCGGTGATTGAGGACCTCGGATACACCTCGGCCAACGCACAGTTAATGACGATCCCGGTAAGTTGATCCTGGTGCTTGAGACGGCTGTTTTCGGCGCTAACTGGGGATTTGCAGATCTACGTCTTCGCCATGATCATGACGCTCATATTTGCATTCTGGTCGGACCGAGTGCAGCAACGGACACCATTCATCATGGCCGGGTTCAGCATTGCGGCGATTGGCTTCATCGGCGAACTTGCGATCCCTCATCCGCGGCTACCGGGGGTCACCTACTTCTTTCTATTCCCACTCGCGGCGGGTCTCTATTGCCCGTTCATCTGCCTCGTGTGCTTGATCGGGAACAATCTGGCTCCCAGCTCGAAGCGCGCCGTGGGCATGGCGCTGCTCATCTCCATGGTAAGTCTCTCCCACTTCGATTCTTGGGTGGTGCTCATGGCAAATTAGGGCAACTTTGGCGGTATTGCCGGCAGTAATATCTACATTGCAGCCCAGGCACCGAAATATCCGACGGGATTCGGTACCGGGTTGGGGATCTGCGTGTGTGCGATCATCATGGCATATGTGTTGCGAGTAGCGTATAGACGCGAGAATGCGCGGCGGGATGCATTCATGGCGGGCAAGACGGACGAAGAGATCAAGGCGCAATACACGGAACAAGAACTGCTAGATCTAGGAGACCGGAGCCCGTTCTACCGGTATACAGTGTGAGCAGCCGGGAGCAGGTGAAGGAGTAGTGGCATGGTACATAGTCGTGATGAGGTGGGGAAAAGCGTAGCAGTAGCAGCAGCGGTCAGAAGGTGAACTGGGTGGTTGTCGCGACATTGTTCCTGCACACTCCGTAGTGCTGTGTCAGAGCGATACCAAGAGAGCTACCCAGCTACCCAGCTACCCAGCTACCCAGTACCAAGGTATGTAATCGGGGGGCCTCCAGACTATTCCGACCCGCTGTGAGACATGAGATACTGTGCTTGTCCTGATGGCCTGTGAGCGCTCTAGTGTTGGTGCTGTGTTTGTTGCAACCACTTGGTTTCCTCCCTTTGGTTGAATTGACATTACTGCGCCCTGACGTGTACAGATCAGATACACTGTACACTGTACACTGTACACTGTACACTGAGCTCTGGACTCTGCTCGCTCTGGACTCAGTCCGTACAAGTACTGTACTGAGCATCCAAGTGCACCACAGCCCAAGCCCCAGCCCGAGTCTCCAGCCTCAACCCGCCACCCTCCAAGCCCAATGAAGCGAGGCCTCCGCCCAGCCAATCGCACCGCAGATTTAGACCACGTGTAGAAATCGACACTGCTGATTGGCCCAATGCGGAGCTCTGGAAGCCTCTCAATGGGGCAACGCGTCGCATGCGGTTTCGCTGGGCGTGCGCGAGAACGAGACCGAGAGACTGTCCCAAGTACCTCGTATCTCACCCGTAGCAGCCCGAGCACGTTCAGGATACGAGAAGCTTCACGCCGCGGAGACATCGCTGTCCTCTGGCGTCTGGCTAAGGAGGTTGAGTGGACGTCGAGAAAGAGTTCGATTAGTTCCGCCCCGGCGATGCTAGGGGGCCGCGAGGGATTAAAAGCAGCATTTGCTCCGCGGTGTTGTAAATTACGGAGCGTATCAAGATGGTAATGCGTTTAGCGTCCCCTTCTTGTTGCCCGCCGAGTTGGGTGGTAGATGCTGCCGCTTTTAAACATGGGGGCTGCACATGGCCTTCAGTTCGTCATGCGCATTCTCGTGTACCTTTGGGCGGGAATGGTGGTCCCTGGCCGTCGTATATCCGATACAGCGGTCGCTGTGACCTTGTTCAGCGCTCTCGAGGTCCATACGGCCTCGGTACCCAGTATTCCGTGACCAACTCTGCCACTCATTTTTGAATCCAGCTTGGCGGGTTTCAGGGGAAGTCCCGGGTAGGAGCTTTCTCTCCCTGCAATCCCCGGCGGCGAAATAGTTCTAGCTGAGCTTCAAGAGATGAGACCCGGAATCAGCCAGAACATGTCTCGTCTTGATCAGAACCTCACAGCTCCTAAATGGGAACTTATTACTGGGATAGACACACAAGGTACGCGGTTCTCTTGAATAGCAATCACAACATTACTACTCCGATTCAGAATACCCATGTTTCAAGCCGCTCGGACCGTCTTTCGACATTCGCCAATCGCCAATCCCTTGAACGGTGCTGCGATTTTCGAGTTCCCCGCTCCATCTGCAGCATTGGGCGAATAAACGGGCAACAACGAAATGCTGTCTTGGAACAGCTGGGTCTGCAACCTGCTCACGGTACAAGGTCGGCAGCGAGGAAGAAATTGTTGAGAGTCCCCATCGGCCTCAGACCAGTCGCCGAGACACCGGCGTAGAGAGGACGAGTCTACAAGCCACTGTTACCACCGACTCCAGGTCTGGCAACGAAGAGGAGACGCTCGAGGAGCCATATTGTGACGGCTTGAGACCATGAGTCGCCGAGACCAGGGCATGAAGAACACGAACCAGAACTGTATGAATAGATAACGATTGACATTGAGCAATTTTATGTAGCGAGCACTTTGTATCCTCTATGTACCGAGGACTAATATTGATAATGATGATGATAAAAATGAAAAAAAAAAAACAAAACAAAAAGCGGCTGGGTCGGCCGACCATGTCGGGTGAAGCTTGGCTCACCTGGCGAGCTCCAACTAGCAAGGTCTAGGTAGTAAATACGCCCACACCGAATACGCTACACAACAAAGCAACCCACTCGACACGCATACAAAGGCCAAGCCAGCTAACAAGGCAAGAGTCACGAGGCCATCTGCGTCCCCCCTGCATTGATTTACTTGCCGCAGGACAGCAGCAGTGGTAGAGAATAGTACGAGATGCGTCCGTCCCTCGCGCTCCGCTTCTCTTCATCCGCCAACACGCGCCGAGCACAGCTCCAGATCCAACTGACGCTCTTCACCCGCGCCAACTGCGGCCTGTGCGACGTGGCCAAGGCGCGCGTCGGCGACTTCACCACCGCCGACACCCGGGACAAACACCAACACCAGAACCAGCTCAAGAACCAGCTCAAGAACCAGCTCAAGAACCAGCTCAAGAACCAGCTCAAGGACAACAGCAAAAATGAGGATCGGGAGAAAGACAAACACGCAGCAGCAGCAGCAGCAGCAGCAGCAGCAGCACCCATCGTCAACTACACGTACGCCGAAATCGATATCATGGACCCGGCGCAGAAGCGGTGGAGAGACGTCTATGAATTCGATGTCCCCGTGCTGCACATCGACAGCTTACCCGTGAGAGACACGACGACGGGTGCAGCTTCTCAGAATGACTACGGCGACTACGTCCCAACCCTCGATGCCGCCAAGAAGCTCATGCACAGGTTTACGGTGGAGGAAGTGGCAAAGGCGGTTGACGAGGTGGTTGAGCGAGGTGGTTGAGCGAGGTGGTTGAGCGAGGTGGTTGAGCGAGGCGCGTCCTTGTGATTTTGGTTCCATCATTCGCCCACCCATTTTCTGCGCTCGCGAGTCCTGATCAGCGGGTTATTTCTTGTCCTGCGTCACCATGTTGACCGCCCCGTATGCGGCGCCCTTGACGGCCTGAGCGGCCGCGTGGCCGTAGGACCCCTTAGCCTTGGATAGCGAGTCGGCCATGAATACCGGAATGGCCGTCATGTCGTTCACCACGGAGATCTGCAGCGCGCTGTGTGTCAGCACCGTCGCACCCGGCAACGAACCCATCGAGGGTGGCAGAAAGAAAGGGACGGACCATCTGGAATCCCATGTCGGCATATTGTCGCGCCACCTCGCCCGACGGGCAGTATATCCCTGACTTTTTCCCGGCGGATTGTGCCGCCTTCAATATCCTCACAATGGCCTCCTTCAGCTCAGGGCTAAAGTCTCCTTTGACGGGGTACCCGATGTTGTTGCCCAGGTCCCACGGTCCGATGAAAAGCACGTCGATGCCATCCACCTTGGCGATTTCCTCGACCTAGGTCACACAAAAAATTGTCAGTCGCTCTTTCTCTTTCATGCCTTTTCATGCCCCATTGTGGTCGTCGACCAGTTGGGTCATGGGCGTGGGGGCGTGGTTGTACGCACACAATCCAAAGCCTCCTTGGTCTCGATCTGCACAATGGTCAAAAGGTTCTCGTTGGCGTTGTTCATATAGTCAAACCCCGACAGCTCGCCTTTGACGTCAAACGCGCCCATGGAGAAGGGGCTCCCGAAACCTCTCTTGCCATACGGCGGGAACTTGGCCGTCTGCACCAGCTTCTTGGCGTCTTCGGCGCTGTACAGCAAAGGGACGATGATGCCGTGGGCGCCGGCGTCTAGAGCTCGCTTGACCATCCACCCTTCGTTCGCGGGGATGCGCACTATGGGGCTGACGTCGCAGGCGGCGACGGCGTGGACAGACTCGTGCATTTCGTTATCTGGGCATCACATCGTGCGCGTTAGCATTTCTTCCCATCCGCGAAGACATGGGAAGAGTCGTGTTTCCCCAGAGAAACTCTTGACGTGGCCAAACGATAGCACCCACACCGAGGGTTTCCGCGCCTGCTACAGCGTGCTCACTCACCCGCAATATTGCCATGCTCGCAATCAATACAGATCCAGTCAAACCCTGCCCGGGCGATTGTCCGCGACAGGTGCGTCCCCGGCAGCATCTGCCACGCGCCGAACGAGAGGCCCGACCCGGTATTCAGCGCCTTGCGCAAGGTGTTTGCGTTTTTCATAATGGTCGCCATCCTGGCGGCTAAGGTCCTCAGTACGATATGGAGAGAAAGGAGTAGGAGAAGCGGTCGGCCGGGCCGGGTTGAGTGATGGGTGGATGTAATCAGAGAACGGTTGGGGGAGTGGGATCTATTCTATTAGTCCGAGAAGCAACGTCTGGTACTCTGAAGTCGGACCAGGAGCAGGGTCGAGACGAGACGAGACGAGACGAGAGGACAAGGGAGGCACCACCTTGGAGACGCGACACAGAGAGAGAGCCAGACAGACAGACAGACCCAGGTCCCTTTCTCAACGGAAATTGAAAAAATATATAAAAAGAAAAGAAAATAATCAATTGCAAGAAGGGAAGTCCTTCCCCGAGGGCCCCCATCTGATCTCATAAAAAAAACATCACAATGCCCCCCCCCCTTACGTCTCGTTGCGCCCTTCGCCGTTGTCGGCCCTCTCGCGCCCCCCAACCTGGCGCGGGGTATTGGATTCTGTCCACGACGCCGAGGGTGGTTGTTTTCAGTGGGGGTATACTATGGGACGCTCGGTCGGCGTTGACCCGAGCGAGGACACTGGGAGCTTTGAAACATTCGGAGTCCTGCCGAGACGAGGTGCCGGGTAGCTTGAATTACGTCCCGTCCAGCCAGGGCCCGTGCCAGACAGAACCCGACGGTACGGGAATCGGGACATCCGCTACAATGCCCGTGAATGCCTTAGACTTGGGCTCGGGGGTTGGGCTTGTTTCACCCAATTTATTCCGATAGATAGATAGATAGATAGATGGATAGATAGATAGATAGATAGATAGATAGATAGATAGATAGATATATCTACAGTATACCCTGAGTAGATACGCGAAGTTACTCGGTACAGACAGTTACTTGACTTTTTCCCAAATTTGCATTTGCATCTGCATAATAGTGTCCCTTGATCTACAAGGTATCCTTCCTCATCTCTCTCTCTCTCTCTCTCTCTCTCTCTCTCTCTCTCTCTCTCTCTCTCTCTCTCTGACCCACGGCCACACTACAGCTTACTGCTCCCACTCGGCCGCTCCAACGCCTTGGTCGCATTTCGGTAGTTCTTGACCAGCTGGCGGATGGCCAAATCCAACATGACATCCTCACTGCCGCCAGGGATCCTGGCGCCGGGGACCTCGCGGTAGATGCGCTCTGCGATCTCGCCCTGGCCCGTGCGCGTGAACCCGTTCCCTCCAAAAAGCAGCACCGCCGTCTGCGCGCACTCGTTGAACACCATCCCGGCCTTGGCCTTGGCCAGTGCCGTCAGCCCGCCCAGTTTGGCGTCGGCCTCGGGCTTGCTGAGCTGCGTCATTTGGTAGAGGAACTGCTCGACCCACGCTTGCATCGTCTCCAGCTCGGCCCCCGCCTTGGCCAGCCGGTGCCGCACCACGGGTTGCTCGATTAGGGCCTTGCCGAACGCCTCGCGCTTCATGACATACTCAAAGGCCGCCGACAAGGCCACGCGTGACTGTCTCGTCACGCCCACCGCGATCGTCAGCCGCTCGTGGTTGAAGTTGGTCATGATGTAGCGCATGCCCATGCCTTCCTCGCCAATGAGGTTCTCCACGGGAACTTTGACATCGTCCAGCTCGATGAAGGTGGTGCCGGCACTGATTTGGCCCGCCACCTTGAGCCGACGCATTGTCACACCTGGGTAGCCTTTCAGCGGGCACACGATCATGCTCAGCCCTGACGCGCCGGGACCACCCGTGCGCACAGCCATTGTGGCGTAGTCTGACCAGAACGCGTTGGTGATCCATTTCTGTACTTCAATTTAGCCGACCGAAAAAGAAACATTTCCTAGAGAACAGGGGTTGGCTGTGTACCTTTTGTCCATTGATAATGTAGTGCTTTCCGTCTGCGCTCTTCACTGCCGTCGTAGCAATGTTCGCCACGTCACTTCCAGCACCAGGTTCGGTAATGGCGATACATGCTCGTTTCTTGCCCGGAAGTAGATCGGGAAGGAACTTCTCGTGCAGAGCCTTGCTTCCGAACTTGATGATGGGCGGGATACCTACAACGCCAGACACGGCGAGTAACAACGGTCAACGGCACAGCTCGCGTCTCGAAGGGGGGGTGTGCATGTGTGTCCCAGGATTCAGAAGAAAGAAAAAAAAACCAATCACCCACCAAATGCGTGACCGGCTGTCATGGAGGCGCCCGGACCACAGACGCCGGCCCGTCCCATCTCGTCCAGGTAGATGCCCGTGTGCAGGTAGTCCCACTCTTGGATCGGGGTGCCCAGGATGTCGTAGATGCCCACCCTCGTTAACCACTCGACAGGCAGCGGCGCCGGCAGGTTGGGGATCAGCATGTTGTGTTTTCGGAACGTGTGGAACAGGTGGTCCGGCACCGTCTCCTCGCGCTCCCACTCCATCGCGTACGGCAGCAGGTGTTCCTCCAGGAACGCCCGGCACGCCTTCTGGAACCGCTTGTGCGTCTCCTTGTAGTACGGCGAGGGCAGGCCCGCAAGCCAGGCCGGCTCGGAGAAGGGGATGATGTTGTTGTTCGGGGACGACATTGTTGTTCTTCTCCTTGCTGTTGTCCTTGCCCTTCTGCCTGTTCTTGTTCTTATCTTGCTCACTGTTTGGTTTGTTGTTGTTATTGTCAGCCGAGCGAGGAATCACCGAGGAACGGAGGCCGACGAGGACGAGGACGAGGACGAGGAGTGTGGAAGCGTTGTAAGTTCGAAATTCAATACAGCAATCAGGCCCCTATCCTTGTCACGACAATGACCTTGGAGCTGAGACGTCGATACTCAAGGGGACACTGGCTGCATAATATGTGGTCAGAACAACTTCCCCAGACTTCATTATGGTCCAATGCGCCGCGTCGGCATCGAGGCATGTAGTGCAAAGAGGCCGACTCAAGCCGACAGATGCCTCGGAAGTTCGAAAGCAGCTTAATCAGGGGCCCCGCAGCACATCTCGACACCTATTAATGGCTGGTGAGGCTTCCACGTGACAAGGCTGCAGGCAATCAGGCTCTCTACGAAGCACTCCCTCCTTCATACCTCTTGCACTGCATCGATCCAGATACGGGAGGCGACCATAAATACAAGCTTGAACATGTCTTGAATCTAAATCAAAATTTCCAAATCCACCAGTATTCCTTAACGCCTTACCCACTGTACTCCAAACACCACATGTCCAAACCCCTTTCACACTCCCAGGAAATCGTGTCGCTGTTTTCGGTTCAGCTCCTTTGAATCTGACTAGTACCGAAGATAAGGAGGAGGGTTGACACCGACGACCTCTCTATTCATTCTCCTTGCCGTCGTCCTCATGGTGAACGCAAAGTGAATGGCTCTCAGGATCTCCCTGGGATCCGGCACCGTTGCCCATGCCTTGATACCCAATGCGCCGCCGTAGTATTGGCCGCCAGTCTCATTTGCGATGTGTCGGTGCAGATTGAACGGTTCCTGACTGCCGTTTTGGCCAGTCAAAGCCTCCTGTGAAGATCTCGGATCACCGATATACTGTGGTGGGATCTCGGACAACGGGAGCAGTCGTGGCTTCGTGATGTCGTACGGGGCAACGTCATAGGAGACGTGGAAGAAGACGGCAAAGGGCACCATGAGGATGCAGGTGGTCATGGTGTCGATGCCGAAGTTGACATCCGCGTAAGTCATGGTAGAGCTCGGTTTCAGTGTGCTGGTTGAGCGAAGAATGGTGAAGACGATCTGGAAATGTCAGATGCGGTTAGATAAGGTATGGGCCAATGCACAGTTTTATACATACATCTTGAATAAATGACAAGCCAATGATGAGTTTGAAAGACAGGAACTTGGCAAGTGGCTTGTGGTGCTTCAAATCCTTTTTCAAGGCATTGTAGAACCGGATGCATGAGGTCACGGCAACAGTGATAGAGATGTTGTGGATTATCGTAAGCTGCCCACAGCATAGTTAGACCCATTGACATTGTAATTCGAGGCCTTCGCGGCAAGGTATGTATAGAAGGGATCATACCCAGAGATGCGAGAAGTGAATATTGCTGCTTTCCAGGCAATACTTGTTAATGGCTTGGGTGATATTCGTGGCGACAGCAATCCCGAGGGATACAACGACATATTGGAAAACAAAGACCCATCGTCTCTGCAATGTGTCAGTTCGCGCCTGGTTCTTGCGCGTATACTGCTTGACAGGTGTAAACTTACTCTGTACCATTCCAGTCCATTCCCTTCGGCGGGTCTGCCCTTCTCTTTGGCCCTGCGAGATTGTGGAACTTCCAACGCTGCGAAAAAGACGTCGCGGAAATCCGAACTCGGTGACACAAATTCGCAGAGCAGGAGGAAGAAACTTCCTAAAGCGATCGCTTCCCAAAAGTCCCGCCACGGGTCGAGGTAGAGGTATGCATTCGGATAGGCGATTCCAAGAAGCGACAAAAGGCTGTAAAACGGAAGCAGGAAACAAATTTTCAGGATCCTGTGATAGCAAGCGTCAATCTCTGGATTGCATCCGTCGGAAACTAAAGGGAACACCACTCACTTGCTCTGTTCATTGGGTTTGCTAAAATGTGTGGCGTGTCTGGCCATGAGAATGAAGATTGACAGACAAACAAACGCTGTACAACCGCCTGAGAGACACAGGTTGAATTGTCGAAAGGAGAGGCTGCCGATGAATGGCTCCGGTGCATCTGAGTGACGCTGTCAGTCGAGGGTAGTTCTCCTGTTGCGCCGGTGTCGAACATACCGGCTGCCAGAGGGTTTGGCATGCCACACACAGGATCAGAGTCCCCATCGTCATTATTGAAGAAACCCATCTTTGTAGGTACCTCGTAGAGATTTTTGTCTTTGTCGCAAGGCTCTCTGATGGTCAAGGAGGAGATGCTTCTGTATTCTCCCGAGTAACAGTGCAGGAGGAAGGAAAGCAGGCCTACCAGGCTGGCCTTATAACATGCATTGACTTGACTGTCCTCCTGGATTGCATCAGAGGCTGCATGCTAGATCTTTGGATTTTCAGGCCTTCCATGACCTATTCCGGGCAAGAGTACGAAGTCAATCAAAGTATTCGACAAGCCGTTTCTTTCAAAGGGGGCTGTCCATGTTGCCGATGGCAGGTTGAAGATTGAATAGGCATCATCTCCATGTTGAAACATGTCATACTGGGTAGTTTGAGGCAATGCACGTCTCGGGTCTTGAGGAACACAATGGCAAGAGGGAACAAAGGCAGCGCTTTGTCGAAGGGGTTTCTACCCTTTCAGCCTTGGTTTGCCTTGGTCTCGGAAGCCTTCAGCCTTGTGGCGCAGCTCGAAAGGATTACCGCATACAGCTAAGCGTGGATAGACGCAGGTCCACAGCTTCATCTCGCTGAATCGGTCGCTCCGCAGTGTGACCTTTGGCAACTGAGCGGAGGAAGCCAACTGGCCCAAAATGTTGCATCGTCTGACCAGCTTTCATTGCTCCAAGGCAGGGAGGATCTTATCCTTCCTAGCTGGCTGTTGGACCTGGTCAGACAAATGTACAGTGCATCTACCGTTGCACTGTTCTTGACTGCTTTAATCCAATTTAAGTAAAATTCTCGAGCCCGATTAGGTTCTTTTGCTTCCCTTAACACTCGCCTTCACAGCCACGACTTGTTGACCGTCAAGCCATAACTGACTCCACTGAGCTTGCGAGCCTGAAGTATACACATTGAGTGCATTTTGCGAGGGTGGGAATGAATAAAATGGCGTTCATGGTCAGCCCAGATGAAGATGGCTGTAGCCAGAAGTCCTTTCGAAGTGTTAATTTAAAATCCAAATACTCTGTATATATTGTTTCCCCAGCCTCGTGTTCAGCATGCCGAACGTTGGGAGACCGAGCAGGGATTGCCATCTGTGCCGACAACGGCGGGTGAAAGTGAGTATCCATTCAAACAGGCCATGCTCGCACCTGCATTAACAATCACTCTCAGTGCGACTTGATCCAACCAGAATGCAACAGGTGCATACGTTTAGGGACGAGTTGTCCAGGATATCGGGACGAGTTTGACCTCATGTTCCGCGTTGAAAGCCCTACTTCATTCGCCGAAGGGGTGAACCGAGACCGCCGTCGCAAAAGGCCCAGTCCACCATGCCAGTCAGCTACTCGGCGATCATCCTCTGCAAAAAGCGAGGGGTCTGGGAAATGGCGCCAACAGGCAAGACAGTCGCTTACAGACCAGCTGGAGCCAGGTGATCCCCACAACTAGTCCAGTCTAGACTGTAAGCTAACGCAGGCAGATGTTGTGGTTTTCTCCGGCTGGTACCTGTCGCCGAGTCGCCAGTTGGCAGAATGCTGGGACCCTCGCGCCTTTGCGTTAGCCTTCAGCAATGTCACTTGTCCTCAGAGACATGCTCCAACCCTGGGATTGATCGACACTAACTTCCTGGCTTCCATGCTGTCCGACGCAGGGGAAGATTCTTCAATTGCGCTGGCCTGCCGAGCCATTGGGCATGCGTTCCTCACCAGTAAAGTCGATACCCCTGAAACGCGATCCAAGCGAGCGGTGACATATGGACAAGCCCTGAAAGCAACGAATATGGCTCTCGAAGATCCACTCATGCAGAGCCAGGACGAAACACTGGCGTCCGTGTGGCTGCTGAGTCTCTATGAGGTAAGAACAACTCTTGATGGACCTTCTGCTGCTGCCAGCAGCATGGCTTCGGGGTTCCACGCTTGCCCATAAAGAGAGACCAGAGCTGACCACATTACACTAGCTCATTGTATCACCAGCTAAAAGAAACCACCCCCTCGACTTTTCAGCAGACACTCATGGAATTGGTTCTTGGATCGTCCATACTCAAGGACTGGTGAGTTTGCTCCGGCTGCGAGGCACTTCGCACTTGAGGACACCCCTCGCACGTGGTCTGTTCTGGTTGATCTATAATTCAATAGTAAGTGACCGTCCTGAGTCTATTGTGCTTTGATCAGTTGTCGCTGATTGGAATCTCAGCAAGTCAGATGTTTCATCACCAACACGGCAAGCCCTTCTGAATCTCCGACCTGGTTACAGGAATTGGAAAAGGGCTTGACGCAAGATGAAATGCCCGCTTATCGGCTCTGCGTATATGGTCACCGTGCATCTACTCTTTGTGCGAGCATCCGACAAATCATCAATCAATGGACAACCACTCCGCCCAGTGCTGCAATGGAAATTATCGCTGAAGCCGAGTGCTTTGAGAGGGAAATGCAGCAGTCATGGGATGTCGGTACCGGCAGCCCGGGGCCTGAGACAATCGCCGACTCTGAGTTGAACATTCGGCTTCTATGTTGCCGCACATTTTTCCATGCATTTCGGTTGAAGTTCCAACTCACTTTGTTGGAGCTTTTGGACAAGATGCGAATCGAGACACTTGACATGCATGCAAGGATGCTGCAGGATCAATTTCAGCTACGGGTCGAGACCGTGCAAAGCGCCGCGGACGAAATCCTTGCTTGTGTTCCTCTGCTCCTTTCAACGGACACTTCCTCAGGCAGTTCCCAGAAGCTAACACCAAGACTCTGGAGAGATGGAGTCCGTTTACTTTGGCCATTGAGACTTGTGGCACTTTGGAATGCAACCAGAGATGACCAGAAAAGAGCTGCAAAATCGACACTTCTGCAAATAAGAGACGAGGTGGGAATCAACCCCACAGGAGCTTTTCTTCCTCCCATCGCGGCGGACTTTGCAGCAAAAGAGTCAGCCCTGGTGGCTTAGCTGAAAGATTCCGGGGGGCCTCGCTATTAAATCACTGATACGCTGGCACTGCGAATACTGAGCTCTTCATCCAGATGGTGCATTGAGTGAAGTTGATTCGGGGGTAGATGGTGAAAAGAGGGATCCCATCCAGCTATGGTGTGGAGTTCCAGTTAAGGCGTGACAAGCATCAGCCACACCGTGTGTGGTCAGTCGATCTCGAGAATAGACCCGAAAAAGGAAAACGATACGAACCAATCCTGGTTGAGCGATTTACTGGGTTGCAAGGCACAGCCATCATGAAGCATAGAGATAGTGAAAATCTGGTGGTCGAGTCCACACACACACATACATCGACAGACGGAGTTCTTGTAATCGTGCTGTAAGGTTAGTCTTCAGACTCTTGCTTCAGTGCTCGCACTTCGGTATTGAGCTTTGGTGAAGGGCCTTAGACTAAATGTTGCTGTCTAATTTCATTGTCCATGATCAGTACTCCGTACGTCGTTCATATCAGACACGGATCTTCATATACTCATCACTGCAACTGGTACAATATTCGTCATACCACTGTTTGAGGTCATCTGCAACATCCGTAGAGTTCTGCGTCGGGTCGTTTAACACCAATCCCTCCACGATCTGGCATCTTCGATGCTCATCCACAATCCACTGTTCCCAAGCGGCCTGCATCAGTTCTTTCTCAATGCTGTTGACAACGCGCACTGCGACGAGGAGGTCATGTCGCTGAGTCCCGAGTCGTTGACGTGTCTGCTGGACCTTCGCGGCTGGAGTGTGTCTCAGCCCAGCCTGGAAGTACTCCGGATCATTTTCGTCATGGAAGACACTGTAGCAGGCACTAGAATCGCGTGCCGGCAGATTTGCTTCCCGACCTAGAATGTCGTCCAAATCACTGAGATACACGGCTCGGCTCATGACAGTATTAGGCGAGATGCCTAGCCGAGCCATGAAATTCCCAGCTCTTCGTTCATGCCACCAGTCAAGCGAGTCTCGATAAGTGTGCCAACTATTGTACAATGCCGAAAAGACAAGCGCCACCAATATGAGTTTGTTGGCAGATAAAGTTTTCGCGAACCATCTCAGGATGCTCAGCAAGGATTGTAGTAGAGTAGCTAATGCGCTCTCTCCGCTGGAGGCAGCATTCTGGGCCAGCAGTCCGGTCATTGTCCGTGAAATTAGCTGCCTCCTCAGTCCGATGCTTAGAGAGGTTGCATCCAATAGAAGCTGCGTGGTTTCTGTCGAATGGCCAACTTGACCAAAGATCTGAATGGCTTTCTTAGTGCGACTGTGGAGTCCAAGCTTGCGGACTTGGTCCGCCACAAGATCCGCGAGATCTTGAGAATCGAGCTCGAGGTCGTACACGGCCTGTCGCTCAACGACTCCTCCCAACATCCAAGCTGCGCGCAACCACTCCACCTTCACAAAAACCGCGAGTTTGCATCTGGCCTTTGCAACATGAGTGATAACGATTTTGCTGATAAGGCGGTAGCTGTTTTGGTAAGGGAGATGCCATGGGGTTCGCTTGTCTGTTATGACATAGCACAAGTGATCACTGTTGACATCGATCGTTTGATAATCGTGAACTTGTGCATAGGATTCTTGACCGAGAAGATTTTTGGTGGGTGTATCGAAAGTGAACTCTCTTCGAAGGCGTCCTTCTCCGACGCTTAGCCATGGTCCTTGGGACACGTTCTTTGCGCGCCTCTCATGCTGAAGCAGTTGCCACAGGGCGCTTTTATCCCCAAACATCACATGGAATAACGCCTTGGCGCTAATGTCAAATTCTTTCTCAACCGCAAGCCGAAGATTGCCAGTGGGAGTGTAATTCACAGGTTGAGCAGGCAGCTTAAATTTCGATTCCCTGCGTCCCAACTGGGTCTGATGAAGGGCACGGTCAACTCGCAGCGGACCTTTTAACTCGGTCCCAATGGTTGACGCTCTGCCTCGATACCTAGGTCCGCCAGTGTCAATGGGCGTATTTGGAGACACGTCCTCCCAACTTTCCAAACTAGGACTCCGATCAGGAGCCTCGGTCTCCATTTTGATCAGTGCCTTCATCAATCCCTCGAGAGCGAGAGGCTCGTCGGAAGCATTGTTTCTTATCAAAAAGTTCAAGCGCCTTTGCAGAAGTCTCAAGGGTTCCAGAAAAGTTTTGATTGTGATTCGTCGTGCACTAGCGTCGCTTGCAGCGTCCTTGAGGTGTAAGAAGATGAAGTCACAGTCTCTCCCGGGGGCAGCGGTAGCTTCGTCAATGGATCCAAGAGGCACACTTGATGTGAGGACCAAGCCTAGATGATTGCTGTAAAGGTAGATGTCCCTGGATGTCACGTACACTCGGCCAGGAAATTCTTGTTGCTCGCTTGGATTCCAGGTAGCTCTGAAAACCATGACTAGTCTATCATCGCGCCTTACATTGGGGAACAGAAGGCGGAATTGGGCGTCCTGAGATTTGAGTTGCAGGGGATAATAGTTAGGGAAGTCAGGCACAAGAAGGTCGCTATTAATTTGTTTGGCGGTGTCACGATCCACGCTTATCGTGCTCCTGTGCTGCCTCTTGCTTGGCGACGGAGTCCGACTTCGGGTGTTCACTTGAGGCACACTCAGGTCGAGCTGGGGAATGCTGTTTTGTGGAGGAATAGCCGGCCGGGTGGGTGTGAATGATATTTTTGGAGGTGAATACGATGGCTGAAGAGTTGGGCTTCGCTGCGCCAGGAGTTTAACTTCAGTCTTATCGGTCGAGTCGGTTCGTTCAAGTCGATTCAAGAAAGCTGTACAAGAAGTGCCCCAGGTGTTGGCCAAAAGACCGGCGGGGAGTCCAGTCTTGTCCGGAGCAGGGCTTAAACCGCGTTCCCCTGTGATGATGACTGCTGACTTGCTCAAATTTGTAGGAGACGGTACCGAAGCCAAAGTGGAAGGTGCAAGACTGCTGGCAGGCATATCCCGAAGAGCAAGCGTAAATGTACTCCTTTGCCTGAAAAAATCACTCTCGACGCTTTGAAGCATAGGGACACTCGAACCAACAGACATTGAACCATGAGTGGCGGCAATCAAGCCTGCAATACCACCTGGGAGGGTCGGTGTTGACGGACTGGGGGAAACCTGGGTCGGAGCTGGACTCTTCCTGTGCAAATCAAGTTTCGAAATGATGCGTGAGGCAGTGTCACGATGACCGCTATCGTCCATAACAGTTGACCTTCTGGGCAGGTCCACACTGCTCTCGCGCCCATGTTCGCCCCCTGGAATTGGCAGAGTATTTGTCTTTTCCAAAGCAGCGATGTCCTCTCCAATAGCTCCCGGTTCTGTTGATCCAAGGATGAAAGTCCCGAATTCGGGGATTGGCGGCGCACTTATTGCAAACGCGGCACCGGCTTGAATGTTCCCGGTGCCAGAAGTGAAGCTTCGGAGACCATCTCCGTCATCAACTGCCTTCGATTTGGCAACGTGGAAGGCATCAATCCATTCAACAAGCTCTGATTGTGTTTCTGCTTGCAGGATGATCGTGTTTTTGTTTGTCTTGAGCTCAAAGCAAAAGCGACGTTCTTCGGCAGGCGCGGGGCGGACATTGCAGAGTAAAACACCAATACGCTCACTCTCCTCCACACCTCCTCTCATACCTTGTAGCAGCCAGCCAAAGACTCCATTGCGCACGAATGCCCACCTCTTTACCCAGACAGTCCTGGTAGGTTTTCCACTGTAGGTTCGAAGGAATAGCCAACCTTGCTTCTCGCCAGTTTTGGAGGTTGTCTTCTTTGGTGAGCGTTGCAAGGTCGAAGTGCTGGCGCTATGGCCATGACCAGCAAATTGAGGCACAGTCGACAGGGTGTAGTCCTCCAACTCTCTGGATGGTCGGGTTTCGAGTTCAGCGGCATCCTCCAGCTGTTTCTTCGCCGTTACGAGCTCCTTGCGGAAGGCCTTTTCGTTAGTCTCCAATTCCGACAGCCAACTCTTGATTCTCTGCATCTCATCGGCACTCCGTTGGAAGCTTGCAGCTGTGTTATCGCGCGAAAGCCGCATTTCGCGCCATTGGTCAAAAAAGATCTTGACCAGCAGCTTGTCCAGGGCAAAGCGAAACTGTGGAGCCATACTAGAAAAGTCCATGATGGCCTTGATGTAGAGTTTGCGCGCCTCGTGTAGCTGGAAAGCTTCCTCTCTCAGTGACGACGGTTCTTTGGACTTGCCTAGCCCCGCGTATTTGCCCTGAAGATGTTCAAAAGTTTTCTGGGTCGCCTCAACCGCTCGGCGAGCATCTTTGAATGGCCGCAGTTCATTCTGAAGGAATTGTCTTATGGGATCAACGACCATGGTAGAAGATCTCTTGACTACTGCTATCATGCTCATCCAGTAGTCTTTGGCCCCATCGGCGACCTTCTTCATAGCCAGGACGCTGTAGTCATGATCTAACATGGACTCGGAGATGGTCGTGGGAAGGACGGAGTGCGCAATAAAGTTGTTGAGGACATTCTCGAGGGTCAGTGATTCGGCAACGAGTCTAGTGGAGGCTTTGGCATAGTCGTCGAGCCATTTCTCCAGCAGGTCGACTTGCTCTCCGTAGTGAACAACTGTGGCGCGGGCGGTTGGCGAATCGATAGCGGCTTCCTTCAGGCTGACCGGTATCAGATTGATCAGTCTTCCTACCTGCTCGACCGGGTGCGATGCTTGCGCCATGGTCGCGTCGTTGTGCAACGGGAGTCACTCAAGTTTCAGCAGAATCATTCACTGAGCTTCATCTCTGCGCCAGCGCTCCTGGCAGAGAGCGTGCAGCAGAGAACGCACCCCAAATCAAGGCCGAGGCAATGAGATATAGCGAGATGATCAGGGATGAACGGTGCAGTGTGCAATGATGCTAGGAAACGAGCAAGGTAGAAAATTCATATGTATATGTCGCGTCTCGACGAAACCAAGTCGCGCAGCCAACTACGGAACTGCGTACAGTAACTCCAAGATGTCTGGGCGGTGACTGCGGAGAAACTGCCACCCCGAACATTTTTCCATCTTTCCCTTTGGGGGCAGGAGGGCCGTCGGTGGTTGCCTTCTCGATGCCTAATCCTACCTGAGTTGCGAGGCTGGTGGGGGCTCTCTCACCATGCTTATGAAGGCGCCACGCAGGGGTGATGCTGTTCACGCTTCTTCACCATGGAGGTGAACTCCAGGACTAGCTCAAGTCCCTAAGGACTCCCACTGGCTAATAAATTCTAAGCGAAACCGGTGAGCATGATTGCCAATTCTACCCAGCACACCGGTTAGCGACTGAGCGAATAGGCGCGTGCATACGCCTCTGGGGGGGTTCTCTACAATGGACTTTGAACCTCCCAGATGTTCTCCATCCTCAACTTTCCCCTGTCAAAACCAACCATCTCAGTCCGTAAGTGCTGTTAAACAGACCCTACGGACTACCAGACCTGTGCCATCATCCCTTGCCTGGATCTTGCTCCTCGAAGAACCCCCAGATGCTCAGATACGGCCGTCCTACCCTGGATGGTCTCCTTGGACGCGAGTGTCTCACTAGGCCTCCCCTCATCCATCCCAAAGTCTTCGCCATCTGACATGTTTATCTCGGGCATCTTGTGTGAAATGTGGAAATCGACCAGCCAATATCCCCATGGACTCCAGCAAGATTCTCCGCAGGTATTCCTGATCCCGCTGCACTGGGTCCTCGGCTTCTCGTTGTATTTCGGTTACATTACGATCTCCCGACCCTTGTAGTCACCCTGCCAGGGAGATCGCCGGCTACGAAATGGGGTGTGCTGCACTCGCATGGCAGCAAATGAGTCCTAACAAATCCGAAGAACTGCCAAATGTATACGTTGGAGCACTGGCCTGGATTCGTTGCCGGTAAAGACGGTTTCGTAACGGGTGAAGCCGACCCTCGCACCAGCTTAGCGGCTAGCCATTCTCTCCTCAATCCACCTCTTGAACTCTAGCTCTCTCGTCGAGTGCCTCCCTCCCCCTACTTCACTTACCTTCCTGTCGCTGCTCATCGTCGCCTTAATTTCAATCATCTTCATGGCTCGTCACACCCGTACAACCCTTTCGGCCACTCTTGCTACCCCCTTGTCGAGTGCTCACCATGACGAACACGCTGATGCTAAATCGGTCATGCCTTGATATGACCGCAAACCTCCTTGCGAAATCATGAGGCACTCTACCTTTGATGATCCAAGGTTGTCGGCGCTGAAAATATACAGGAAGCACTTCGCCAACCTCGTAACGATGAGGGCGACGCTAGCGACCCCGCCTCACCAACACCGCAACATTGATCTCCTCGAGCATGCCTTCATGCTCAACCTCGATCAAACCGGTCTGCCTGCATCTTGTCGACAGCTGAGAATCTGTTTCAGTCAATTGATCAAACGCTGCACTCGCCTTTTCAGAGCGCCCTACCCGCATTTGCCGCAGAAATGTCGGATAATTTTCATGGAGCTCACCAGGCGACGGCTCTGGATGGCGCATTTGGACGTGAGGAATCCGTGAGCTCTGGAGCCCTCCAATGTCCCGGATGTCGGAACACGTTCAAAAGAGAGTCTGAACTCCATCGTCATTGGCGTTTACCCATACCATGCCAGGTGCCAGGCTGCACCTCAACTTTCCGTGATGACAAGCTGGAAGGCTATATAAGTCACTACGCGAAATGGCACGGCATTGATGGCCAGCAGACAATTGATCAGGGCCGACTTAAGGAGTATTTTAACAGTACTATTAAAAATCCACTCTCCTGTTCTCAAGGGGCAATGTTTGTACTAACTTGATTAGTGAAAAAAAGGGAACATCGCAACAACATCCGCCCAGATCTCTGTACTATACGCAATCCGAAGAGTGCCACCACTTTTCTGGATGCTTCCGTCAATTGGTATCTGAATCCTGGAGAGGACAACTCGTCACCTTCGAGACCGACGCAAGGTGACAAGGTCGCTGGCTACGGGCCTGGACAGACACATCCCTCTCATGCAACTGGATCAAGCCTTAGCGGAAGGGTTCGTGGGCCCATTTTTATACATGGGTTCGTTAGGTTTTGACCCATCCTCGTAGGTATCAGAATTGAAGCAGGAACTGTCTCATAAGGTGAGTGGTACTCAGTAGGGTTGAGAATGTCGCATTTTGACAGTGATTTTAGTGCCAATATATTGACTATCTCAAGAATTCCGTCCTCAAAGCTGAGCGTGACAAAGAAGGCTTGGTTAGTGTCATTTTGACATTGAATATACGCAGTGCCACCAACCCTGACAAATAAATAGGAACGGAAGATCAAGCTCCTTGAGCATGCGAGCGAAAGCTCGTTACAGGACTCTCAGTGGATGGGTCTGATTACCTGGGAAGACGAGCCCCAAGAGACATCCGACATTCAATGAATTTTGGATTTCAGCGGGACACTACAGTTGTGGTCTTAACAACAAGCATCCTTCTGCTAGCTTCGAGTTCATGGTAATCTGTGGATCCAGAAGATGGTTCGCTCAAAATGTTGATTACATATCTTGTTGTTGTTTTTTTCAGATGTGGCGTGATGCTGTGCTGCCGGATTCGACCTGGCAACGACCTACAGCTATGGAGCACGAGTGTTCCTTCTGCCCGGTAGAGCTCAACGCTCACTTTGTTCATTGTCGTTGAACAGAGCTGGAAAGACTATCAAAGACGTTGGTCGACCACACCTGCTCTAGTCAGAACCCTTGAAGAGTCCTAATGCGCTTACACCTCATAAGACGCCTTTGGACAGAGAGAATAGCTCTGACGCAACACGACTTTCCTTTTGAAACGCTGGTTTTCAGTGGTCTGCATGATCATGGTGAAAATAGGCCACACCAAGATGAACCATCATAGGGTCGAGGACAGCGCCCCTCATTGGATGCCCTGTCGTTGCCCTCTCAGTCATCATCTCATACAACAATCAAGAAGACAACCGGCAAAACACACGTTGGATGAGTCCTGAGTCATCGAAGTCAACTTTGTTCAAATTATCAGCATTAGGGCATTCTTTATTGTACCGAGGAATTAATAGCTTCTTGATCCATCTACGTGCGTGATTCCAGAATCACCTATAATGTACCGAGGTACATATACAACGTACATGACCTCTGAGAGACGCACATTTCTAACAGTAAAAATACCTAGGTAACTAACTAGCTACGTTCTGACCCGAGATCTCTCTAGAATGGGGTTTCCCTATTTCAACGACTGAGGTCTGGACGACTCGCGCACTAGAGCCATTTGTCGCCTTGATGCCTGTTAGTCCTGTAAGGAATATTGGAAATAAATCCAGATTTTGCTATCACTGCTATTCAATGCGTATGAATCACCGCAAACTTGCCTTCCACATTACCATCGCCTTATTCAGATTGACTTCGCCGATGCATCGCTGTCCAGCAGATGTTTCAATCTGACCTTTTACCCCTGTGGCATGATTCGGACTTGCGATTGCACTAGATAGCGAAAATACTCGGGGAATGTCAATCTCTTGATAACGAAGTCCTCCAGACAGCCAGCCGTAAAGAATTTTGTGACAGCCTGGCAGCCTCGCTGGAAGCGACCAGATGCGGAGAACGACGCCAAGCTTTTTTGGAACATCTCATCTGGTGGGCATGCGGAGAAAATTTCGACAAACTATGAAGACCAAACCAACAAAACTAAACCGCTACGTGGTGCAAAGATACAATTTCTATTTTCCAACCCAAACCTCCCTCCCGGACCATGGCCCGCGACTTGCTAAGTAGCGACTCCTCCGACAGTGAAGATGGAGGCGCAGATGTCGGACCTAGTAGCGAGCTCAAAGTCAACGAGGCGTTTGCCCGCCGCTTCGAACACAATAAGAAACGAGAGGAATTACAGAGATGTACAACTCTTCTTCGGCCTGGCTAAGGGGAACATGTTTAATCTGACATTTCTCAACAGTAGAGGAAAAGCTCGGCAAGTCCTCCACTTCTCGCAAACGTAAACGCGGCGAAAACGAATCTCTCAGCGATGACGACGACGGACCTCCCTCGGACGACGACTCGACGAGCGAATCTGAAGATGAAGGGGAATTGGTCACCGAAGCTCTTGACTCGGAGATCATGGCTACCCTCAATGCCATTCGTTCGAGAGACCCCCGTGTTTACGACCAGTCTGCCACATTCTATGCCAATGACGAGGACGCAGGAGAGGCAGCGGCGAAGACAAAGAAGAAGAAGAAGCCGATGCACTTGCAGGACTACCACCGGCAGAATTTGCTAAATGGTGACGCTGAAGCGGAAGAGGAAGATACTGTGCCTCTGACATACAACCAAGAGCAAGAGCAGCTGAAGAAATCCATCATCGGAGAGATCAACGCAGCCGCAGCGGACGAGGACGAGGACGAGGACGATGGTGATGGTGATGGTGATGGTGATGGTAAATTTCTCATTGCAAAGACCAGGGAAATGAAATTCAAGTCAGACGTTGTGTTGGACGTTGAGAACGCTGACAAAGATCCTGAAACTTTCTTGTCAAATTTCATGTCCTCACGGGTCTGGGCAGCCCCGGACCCTTCTAATCTGCACCCTTTCGAGTCGGATGACGACGAGGAGGATAGAAGAGCGGAAGAGTTTGAAGAGGCTTATAATCTTCGATTCGAAGATCCTGAAAAATCAAACGAGACACTACGTTCTCATGCGAGAGATTTGGCTGCCAAATATTCTGTCCGGAGACAAGAGGCGAATCCCCGACAAAAGAGGCGAGATGCCGAGAAGGCAAAGAAAGAAGCTGAAAAGCAGCAGCGAAAAGAAGAGAAAGCCCGTCTCCGCAAATTGAAGATCGAGGAGCTTGAAGAGAAGGTGCGCAGAATTACGCGTGCCGCGGGCATCAAAACCCAAGATATGCGACCTGAGGATTGGTCTCACCTGGTCGATGACGATTGGGACGACGCCAAATGGGAGGAGGAAATGCACAAGCGTTTCGGTGATGAATACTACGCTGAGCAAGAGGTCCAGAGCGACGATGAGACAGGCGCAAAGAAGCGGAAACCTCGCAAACCCAAATTTGATGACGACATCGACATCAAAGATATAGTGCCAGATTTTGACGAAGGGGATAAGGCGGACTTCAGTCTCACTGATGAAGAAGCTCCCACGAAGAAAAAGAAAGCCAAAAAGTCTATCGAAGAAAGTAAGCGGGACGCAAAGAAAGAACGGCGGATCATTGAACAATTGGTGGCCGACCAACTACAATTGGAGTTGAACTCATCTCTACCCAACAACAAAACCGGTGGCTTCACTTACCGGGAGGCATCTCCCAAAAGTTTTGGCCTGACTGCAAGAGACATCCTTCTAGCTGACGACAAGCAACTAAATGAATTTGTCGGGCTGAAGAAACTGGCATCATTCCGCGACCCGGAGAAGAAACGCAAGGACATGAAGAACCTGGGAAAGAAGGCGCGGTTAAGGAAGTGGCGATTGGAGACCTTTGGCGATGAGGATGGACTGCAGGCCAGCAACCTGATTCCTGCACAGCCTGAGGTCGGGAATGACAGGGCCGAAGGAGATGAAGCTGGGGTAGATATCAGAACAGATGCAAAGAAGAAAAAGAAGAGAAGAAGGGGCAAGAAACCAAAGACAGACGTTGATGGTGTTGCTTGAAGAATGCTGCGGAGATCGATATGGAGATTTTGAATGTCTGGACCTCGGAAGAAAAAAAGGGGAACAAACCTGGCCCAGCGCTCTCAGCCTTGCCACCTTTTTTGGATGGCTGGTACGTTGCAAATGCGGCTTGGACCAATTGCCTGTGTTTCGGTCAACGAGTTTCAGTATCCCAGGACCTGCGAGGCCCCGTCCTCACGATTCCTAATTTGAACTGGGGTACTATCAGAAAATCATGAAATATGAGATCTTGTTCGTATCATTGAAGAGCCTCATGCGGCAAGGTTAAGGTTCAGTGAAGATCTCTGGAGAGGCTGTGGATCGTTGGGAGGGAGCAAGATAGCTCTCCGGCAAAATGGGCGGAAGAATGGGCACGTTTGAGAAAATTGTTTAGGCAGCCGACACAGCCGTCCAGTGGCTGGACAGAGCCTGTCACCTCCCCCCGGGCAAGCGCGATAGGGGCCACCGGCGAGCCGGTTGCTGTGCAGTGAGCGACCCTTTTTTTTTCGCTCAGCGGAGACAAAATTTTTGATTGCGGACGATAATTGCCCGGGGCGGAAAGCGCTGAGATTTCGCTGGTCGGCTCGGGAAAAGCGACAGCAATCGACAGTGATGGTTGTGCTGAGACAGATCCGGGCCTTGCCACATCGGGTTTAGCACCAGCCGAGCTCCCAATCCCTTCCCTTTGAAAAATACCTGTCCGCTTCTGAACTTCCTCCATCTCTCTTTTTCGCATCTTTGCATCTTTTTCTTGCGTCCACCCATCACTTTCCTCCCTTCTCTCCGCTCAATCATAGTCCTCAGTTCTTCATAACCGCCGTCAAGATGGCCAAAGGGTTAGTCTGAACTCCTTCCGCTGTCAATGCACGCACCCCTTCGCCTCGTGTCATTACCCGACGGCCTCCCTGAGCTGCACGGGCAGCTCCCGAGGATCTCAATCAAACCTGGTTATACAGAAGCTGACTCTTGTCATCTAGAGACGTGGATCAAGGGGCCAAGACGATATTCGGCATGCCCGGTAAGGTCTCCCTGTTGTTGATCTCGATGTCCTGGGCTCAATGAGCTGCTCGGACTTGAGCAGCTCGACGATTGGACAAGATGTGAAGTCACGGCCAACAGAAACTGATTCGGACCCTAGGATTCGTGGTCGACTTTTTGATGGGTGGTGTTTCTGCCGCTATTTCAGTGAGTGCTGCGACAGTTGTGGTAGCTGTTCAATAGGAACTTGAAAAGCTGACAAAATACTTCCAGAAAACCGCCGCCGCACCCATTGAGCGTGTCAAGCTCTTGATTCAAAATCAGGTATGCCTGCCTGCTCCATCCCATCGAACACATCTCCAGGAGCCACAGAACGCCTTTTCCCACCTCAGGGAGGTCCCCGTCGGCCGTGGTTGACAATATTTTCTTATCAAAACGTGCCCACCGCAATGATAACACTGCGCATGGACTTGGGCTGAGCGCAAAAACTTACAATAACATACAGGATGAAATGATCAAAGCCGGTCGTCTTGACCGCAAGTACAATGGTATCATCGACTGCTTCAGCCGAACGATGAAGAGCGAAGGTGTCATGGCACTGTGGAGAGGTAACACTGCCAACGTTATCCGATACTTCCCTACCCAGGCGCTCAACTTTGCCTTCCGCGACACCTACAAGTCGATGTTCGCCTTCAAGAAAGAGCGTGATGGATACTGGAAGTGGATGGCCGGTAACTTGGCCTCCGGTGGTGCCGCTGGTGCCACTTCCCTCCTCTTCGTCTACTCTCTTGACTATGCCCGGTATGTTGTCTCATGCTTCTTGGTTGTATTTTGCGCGGTCTGCTCATACAATTTCCCACAGTACTCGTCTCGCCAACGATGCCAAATCTGCTTCCAAGGGTGGTGAGCGTCAATTCAACGGTCTCGTCGATGTCTACCGCAAGACCATGGCCTCCGATGGTATCGCCGGTCTCTACCGTGGTTTTGGTCCTTCCGTCCTTGGTATCGTCGTCTACCGTGGTCTCTACTTCGGCATGTACGACTCCATCAAGCCTGTCCTCTTGGTCGGTCCTCTCGAGGGTAACTTCTTGGCTTCTTTCTTGCTCGGCTGGGGTGTCACCACTGGTGCTGGTATCGCTTCCTACCCTCTTGATACCATCCGTCGTCGCATGATGATGACGTCCGGTGAGGTAAGTTATCATCAACATTCGCTGTCTTCCACGACCTGAGAACAAGTCTAACCTCAAATGTGCAGGCTGTCAAATACAAGAGCTCCTTCGATGCTGCCCAGAAGATCATGGCTGCTGAGGGTATCCGATCATTCTTCAAGGGTGCTGGTGCCAACATTCTCCGTGGTGTTGCCGGCGCCGGTGTGCTCTCCATCTACGACCGTATGTTCTGATCAAATCCCATCCCTTATGTGCGTGCTAACAAATATTACAGAGGTCCAACTTCTCATGTTTGGCAAGAAGTTCAAGGGCGGTTCCGGCTAAGCGCCTCGTCATTTTACTGCGACGATCCCGACAAGCGACAGTTCAATCACACAAAATGGAGTAACAGGGGAAGTGTGGTGTAATAGCGCGCCTTCAGTTGGGAGGCTCAAAAGGTGGTGCGAGTTTGTACGATGACATGGTGTTCGCAAGAGCAGCAGGGCGGGGGGCCGAGTCGAGAGAGACGAAACACATTTTGCAAATAGAGACGACACAAACGGGGATTGACGAGGGAAAATGGCCACGTTGAAACTCGTTGGGGGTTTTGTTCACAATATGCGATGGGGTTTCTTGCTTTACAACCACATCCTTTCGTTTCCTCCTCACCCCGGTCTGCAATTGTACTTTACTGCCCTGGTTTGTTTTGCAAAACATCTCGCTTCCTCTATCCTGCAGCCCTCTTAATTCTCTTTCCCCCTTTCATCCGCGAATCTCCTTGTACTGCAGGATCCCTCGACGCCTGCAAATGCGCTCCTAGTGCGCTTGGAGGCTCTTGATCCACCCACTCCGCCCAATGATATATGTATTCTGTACCTCGTACCTATGGAATATCTGCATGCATGCCCGTCCCTTTTTTTTTTATTTAATTTTCATGAAGCAATTGTGTTATTGTCGCAATTGATTGACTTGGGGAGCGAATGATGTTCTACAGTGTCCTAGATGCTGAATGACTGCCCAATCCCAATCCTCACAGCAGCGCCAATTCCCAGTGCTCAGAACTTATGGCTGATACTGCTGGCAAACAGCAACGAAGAGATGTGCCCCCCACCTATCCCAATTCGGATTTTGTGTCGTGAAATTCTGCTAGTATTCGCGTAATTGAGCTCGGGGTATATGTCCTGCGCCTCTGTTCTATTCGTGTCTGTCTTTCCTCGCTTTTCCTCGCCTTGTCTTGGGCCGTTTGGCCGTTCACACCATTCCAATCTCGTCCCAACCGATTCGAAAGAAGGCTTAGTCCACTTTCTGCGTGGTTTCTGGCTCGGTCAAGTATCATCGTCTCCATTGATGTGCTTCCAAATCTGGCGTTCCGTCTCACTCAGTCTTTTGCCCGCAGCTTTCGCCCACGACATGGCCGTCTTTACCACAGTACTATTCGAATCACCATTGTTCGACGAGCCGATCCCCCATTCTCCATCCAAAATGCCGCCTCTTTTCGAGTATAACAGTGGGGAAAGGGTAGCGCGGTAATCGTTCTCTCGGCATGATTCAATGGGTTTGTCGTCGAAGGAGCGGTGGTGGTCTTGTTGGTAACCCGGCGGATGAGAGAGGTCCTGATGTTGCAGGTAGCTGTAACTGGGGCTTGTGTCGATGGAACTTACGCCTGCAGGCGGGATGGAGCGGGTAGGTGTGTATGGCGTGTAGATGGTGGATGAGGGGGGATGGACAGGCAGCGGGTGGGAGGGTGTGGGAGTTTGTGCTGGTGCAGGGACGAGAGTCCGGCGCTGTGGTGACGTGTGCGGTGGCATCCATTGTTGGTGCCGGGGGATTTCGAGCGGACGTGGTGGAACGGGTACGGTTGGGCGTGGTGAAGGACTGGTGTATGGCGAAGGGACTGCGCCTGGCTGCGGTGGTGGAGGGCTGTAGTCCGATATGATTGCGGCGCTGTTTGAAATGGGTGTCGCTTCGTATCTACTGTTGTAACTGCTCGCTAGTGTGTTGGTTGGCTGCGGGACTGCTGGTGCGCCGGGTCGAGCAGACTGCTGCAAGAACGAGGAATCGGAAGGCTCTGTAGAGGTCGGCCTCCCTTCATTGTCAATCGGTGTATATCGACCTGCCGCAGCGCTAGGTGAGGAAACGCCGAAAGGATTCGAGGGCAGGTGGGTGTTGATTGGCGAGGCAGTATGAACTGGTATGGGAGCCATGGTTGCAGACACGGCACGCGTCCTGCGCTGTGTGTTCTTTCTGTTCCTACAGTTGTGGGCATCAAACGTCTTCTGTCTTTTAAGGCAAAGGAATAGAGGAGATATGGCGGAAAGAAATAGTAAGGAAGTGACAAAGTAAAACTAGAAGTATACTCTTTCTTGTCTCGTGCGGGTGATGCGGTTGACAGGCCGTGCGTTTGTGCTCCGACTGTTCAAGGGATACATTCACAAAGGACTGGCGTCATCAAAGGGCGAATGACGGGTTGGAACGATCAACGATCAACGACCACTCCCTTGGATCTCGAATCCCACGACGGCGGCGGAACAGGGTTTGTCACAGACAGCCTTTGAATGAGAGAATTGAACAAAGGGTCTTTGTCAAGCGCATGCGCCCAAGGCTAGATTCGAGACCTTTTCCGCAATATGCAGATAGATCATGTGAAGACAATAACTAGCAAAGATAGCCTTCTGTTTTCGGCAACTATACACAGTGGCTGAGGCTCAGCAAATCCCAATGCAGGGCTGAGCAGACGAGCAGGCTTGAATTATGTCTGTACACACAGATTGCAGATGGCAGATGGGGGCCATCAAGCAACGTTCACAGCGAGAGTGCCAAGAGTGCCAAGCCGGTAATCTTGATATTGCCAAGGCCCAGTTTCCAGGACAGCTCTGATTGGCTATGCGCGCACTGCATGAAATGCGGCCAAAAACCGCTACACTAGTGCAATCATTGATCCATCGAGCTATCTAATTACAAGTCGGGCACATGCAAAAGTCCCAGCACAATTCCATGAGAAAGACCAGGTGCTATGCGCGGACCACGGTGTCTCGTCTCATCTTTGTCTTCACCCCAACCTGAGGTCGTGACCAGACAGGAATCTTAGCTCACAGCAGGGTTACAGGCGTCTCCTCCAACCATCTGACAGTGTCACGACTGCTCTCCGAGGCACCGCGTGCTTGATTGGGGTCTCTTGATTCGCTCCTTCCGCCAGGCGCATCTCAACTCGGTTGTTGGACTCTGTTCCCCAACTGGTCCTTTTGCCATTGCACGAACACACGCTCTTGTGCGGTCTTGTGAGCCCTAAACGACCTTTGGCCCTCGCCTGACATCTGGATCCCTTGGTACCGAAAATTTCGACATGGGATCCTGCTCGCATTAAACACGTCCAACTCGCAGAAAGAACCTTCCACCGCTCTAACCTCGCCTTGAACGGCCACCTCCCACCGCTTCTTGCTCGCCCGATGTCCAATATACCGCATCTTCGACCATCGCAAAGGAGTCTTTCTATTCGCTAGCACTCTCGGAAACGTGTCGCCAGCCGAGGGGCAACACAAGAGCCTTGTCGAGGCCGCTTCTATTCCGTAATAGCGGCATTTCAGTCATCCTTTTTATACTCTCACACTTCCAAACATGTAAAGTTCTCTTCGATTACTCTGATGCCAGACACTAATCCGATCAGGAAATTCGGAAAACAAATCCAACGCCAGCAGTTAGATCTGCCTGAATATGCAGCCAGTTTCCTCAACTACAAGGCTCTCAAAAGGGTGTGGCAAAGTTCCTGTATTCGCTAGAGAAGACGCTGCTCACCATACCCTCCAGCTCATCAAGCAACTCAGTGCTACCCCTACCATTAGTGCCCAAGGAGGTCCTACCACTCTCGACGCACAGGCTGCTCTAAGAGCGAATAAAGAGGTCTTCTTTTTTCGGCTGGTGGGCGCATAACCATCTTCTGTGCTTCTCGCCCCGTCTGATGCAAAATTGTAGGAGCGTGAGATAGAAAAAGTCAACGTGTTTTACCTCCAAAAAGAGGCAGAGGTGTGGAGAACCATCTGACGGGAAGCTGGTGTCTGACCTCATCTAGTTTTCGCTTCGGCTAAAGACATTGCTTGACAAGAAACGAGTCATACAAGCAAGAATAGCAGCCAGCTCCAGACTCTCTGCTAGTTTCGCGACGTTGGTCGAGGGGTTTCAACAGTTTGACAATGATCTCAACAAACTCCAAGTGTGAAAAATATATCCTCGAGAGGAGATCCGTTAGCTGACACGTCACAGCAATTTGTCGAAGTCAACGAAACCGCAATTTCAAAAATTTTGAAAAAGGTCTGTTTGACCTGTCACTTATTTTGGATCAGGGACTGATATTCTGTAGTGGGACAAAACGTCAAAGGTGGTCCACCATCTATAACCACGCCTTTGGTCTGAGCTGACACAAGGACAGTCAAGAACAAAAGAGATCTACTTGCAACGAGCTGTCGAAATCCAGCCATGCTTCAACCGCGACGTGCTTCGGGATCTCTCCGACCGAGCCACAACGGCGAGACTCGATTTGGAAGCATGGGCTGAGGGTGAGAATATTCAGTATGAGGTTTCCAGGCAACAGGATCGCATGATTGGACAACGCGTGGGCACCGAAGAGAGTGACATTGACATTCAGATTCTCCAAGCCTCTGCCGCTGGCAACATTGGCGCCCTACGCGAATGGTTTGCGAGACTAGGCAACTCTCCAGACGCACGCGACCGTTTCACCAGAATATTCCTCGCTACCGTCTCTGAAGCACCTGATGATTCTTTGAATTTATTCCTGAACTCTGGCCTGGTCGATATTCATGCCGAAGATGACATTAACGAACGGAACTGTTTGCACGAAGCGGCAATTTACGGCAAAGACGTCGTTTTGGACTTTGGTCTCAATCATGGAGTCGACATGACCCGTTTGGATGTTTATGGTAGGGTAGCGTTGCATTATGCATGTCTGAGAGGACGACTTGCAATGGTCGAGAAATTATTGGCAGCAGGACCAAACACAATCGACATGAAGGATCACGACAACTTCACGCCGCTGATCCACAGCATTGTCCGTCACCGAGTCGACTGTGTTCGCCTTCTCCTCGCAAACAATGCACGGATCGACCCACAATCTGACGCAGATCATATTCCCTTGAACCTGGCCTGTCAGCATGGGTCTATCGAAGTTGCAACCTTGTTGTTAGAAAGAAACGCAAAACTTCTTCCTGATGCAGAAGGCCTTTTCCCTCAACATCTCGTGGCTCGATCGAGCCAAAAAGCCGATCTTCTTCTGATTCTCCGACAACATGGAGCAGATCTGAACCAGCGCGATAGGTTGTACCAATGGACACCACTGTTTCATGCCGCAAGCGAAGGCCGAGTCGAGTGCTTGCGGGTGTTGCTCGAAAATGGTGCTGATCCCGAGGCGCTTGACGAAAAGGGCCTTACAGCAATGTATTATGCGACATGGGAAGGTCACCTTGAATGTATGGAACTTCTCTGGGAGCAGAGCAGCCATCATCGGGCCGAACGCAGGTCTTCCACGATGCTAGGAGCAGTGGTCCCTCCTCATAGCCAGATGCTCGCAATGGAGATCACCCCAGAAGAGCCTACAGGAGTTGATGCCGATGGTATCCCTGATCTGTCGCTGCCGCCACCAATTATACCTCTGCGCCGCTATGGACACAACTTCCTCGACACGAAAACCTTCATTGCCCTCAACTTTGACCGTACGTCGAAAGCTATACAATTCTTCAATGAAGCAAGGTATCCTGCCGCTCGCTTGACCATATCTTCGAAGACGTCCGACCTCATTCCTCGCAATTTGATGCTCCCTATACAGGAGGACGCTAGGTCTGTCTACTTTCAGGTGGATAATCTCAGCACCTTCTCTGTGGATTTCGAAATCTACCCGACCTTTGGATCCAAAGTGATAGCCAAGTCGGTCGCCCTTCCGGATGTTTTTCGCGCCATCGAGAGCAGCGCTGGCACGTGTTGTCTTCCACTGTTTGACCCACGGCTCCGGTCGGTGGGTCAGATCCAGTTCGATTTCCAAGTCATCAAGCCGTACAAGGGTACTCCGCTTGAGATTACACAGTTCGCACCATACTGGAAGGCCACGAGCGCCTTAGACGACCACAGCGGATTAGTGACAGGCTCGAGTCTCTCTGGAGACTACCTCAGACTAACGATACAGCTTACCCGCGACGGCATTCCAGTGAGCTATCCATCTTATTTTGTGACATACAACAACCTCGACGTCTCGCTCTGTCAGCTAAAATACGAAGTCTTGATGAAACTTGGGATGGCTGGCGGCCTTCTCAATAGCGATGGGACGCCGATACTGGAAAGCGTGGATATCATCGAATGGCGAAACCGCCTCTCTGGCTCAGTTTTTGCCCTCCACGAGATCCTAACAGCGGTACCGCCGCACATCAATCTCAATCTGCACGTGCTTTATCCGGCAAACCATGAGGATCTCAATCTGGGCGTCTACTCGAACATTGATATCAACACCTTCGCGGATGCGATTCTGACCGAAGTCTTTGATCACGCCAGAGCCTTGCGCGCCCATTCCGCAGACCTGACTCGTTCCATTGTCTTCTCTTCATTCAACAGCAACATCTGTACCGCCCTGAACTGGAAGCAACCCAACTTCCCCGTCTTACTCTGCAACGATCTAGGTGGCGTGCAAAGCGCCTACCAATCATCCGCAAATCTGCTCAAACCGGCTTCTCGACGGGGGACGTCAATCAAGGAGTCTGCGCGCTTGGCACAGCTAAACAACTTCATGGGGTTGACGTGCTCTTCACGGATTTTGCAGATGGTGCCTGCTTTGACGGAAACCATCAAGCAGGCTGGGCTAGTGCTGGTATCTGATGCCTCAGCGGATGACGATAGTGGGGCCCAACAGCAGTCTCACTTGCAAGGGCAAGCGCAGAGCTCGGGCTTCGCCATGACACCGGAGGGCGTCAGCGGGGTTATGAAGGCGAACGGCATTCTACGATTCAACGAGACGGTCGACATGTGAGAAGAAGCTGCATCTTGGCGGGACCGGACCTGGAGAAGCACTTGGCTGCTTAGGGCGATTGATGACTTTTGTTAACGAAAAAAAAAAAACACAGGGGACACGGGCCCTCATGTAACGCGGAGGAAAAGCAATTTTTTCCTGAGGGAAGGGGCGGACCTCTGATGTGATTTGCATTTTGGCCACGGGCATAAACTCACGGTGGTGTGGTGATCATGATCATGTAAGCGGAATGAGAGCATGAAATAGACTTTTTCACAGAAATGCAGAATGGGCTGAAGTCATCTGCAGTTCATATCATACGGGGGGGTTACATACGGTGTCAAATCCCGTGGCTGCCATCAGGTCTCGGGTACCACGACCTTCATGTATTGTTGATTCGATACTCGAGATGTTAATAACCAGTTCAGGATTGCGGAATCTCCTGCAAGGCTGGCCATTTGGCATTAACCGAGTATGTATCCAACTTAGTCATGAAAGGAGAAGCATTGCGGAGGAGAAAAGAAGAAGAAAGAGTCCCCTCACAAGGAGCAACGGGGCTGATGGACGAGAATAGTACCCTTCCATCATCGGCGAGCAGCAGCAGAGTGGGTTAGCCCGCGCAGCACCTCAGGCGACGTCTCTGTCGACAAGATCAACTAATGCAAATTGACGAGAAGAAAAGAGAGAACCAATAAACGCAACGACCGATTCGCCGGGTTCGTGAAATGGGAGAGGGTGGAGATTTGCTTTTTTTATGCGCCTTCGGCAAGATAGACATGCCAGAGGAGGGTGACTATATAAAATACATAATGGCAGAGGACTCGGGCGCCATGCCAGCTTTTCCACCGTCGTCTCGCGTGTGCTATGTACATTCTCCCGTAATCGGCACTCACTCAGCCTGAGTGGCCGAAATCCCTTGTCCACCACCACCACTACCCGGCCGCCACTTCCTTTGCAGCTTCCCAAAGCTATCAGGGTCATTCTTACACCTGAACCAACCCGATCCCAATGCCCAACCACATGCCGGCGCCCGCGGCAAAGGCAGCGCCCCAACCGGGCCCGCGGAGGCACCAGATCTCATAGACGTCGACGGCGCAGAGGACCATGCCCGCGAGGATCAGGATGCCCATGTCCTGGAGCTTGCCGTCGACGCCAAACTTTGTGAGCGCGATGCCGATGCTCAGGTCGCGCGCGCCCAGCAGGGCCATCGAGGTCGTCACGGCGGCGGCGTGGTTGGCCACGTCGGCGTTGGCGTGCTCGGGCGGCGATGTGCTGCTCTTGGTCGGGTTCGCGTTCGACCCCGGTGGCGCCATTGAGCTAGATGTGGACGGCGACGAGTGCGGGTATAGCCCGAACCCCTTGGCCGCCAGAACCGGACAGGTCAGCGCGAATGTGCCTAGGCCGATGTACGTCGTCGCCACTGACAGGCCGAGGACGCGCCATGTGGATAGAGAGATGTCCATTGTTTCTTCGCTTTTGATGATTCTCTTCGGTTTCCGATCAGTCGAGGGACGTCCGGCGAAGCGGGGTTGCTGACAAAACGTACACGTATATCGGATGGCAAAGGGGCTGTCCCTGGTGTTGAGAGATGCAACCCGTGAGCTAGTCTTTGTTTGATCGACGTCAATGATGACAGCACACAATCTCTGAATGGGTTTTCTTGGATGATTGATTGCGTCTGGATGTGATTTGACTTGGGGAGTTTTGTTCGCCAACTACGTCAGACAGGGACTTATGCCACCAGCATACTCGGTATACCGAGGGAGTTGACCTAGATTACTCGCCAACGACAAACCTAATTGCCACATACGGTTTCATCCTGGAGGGTCAGCGAAGGCCGCTTTAACCTGAGCTTTCACTGAGATTTAAGCCGAACATCACCGAGCGCTCCCTGAGCACTCCCTAAGTAAACACACCTAGGGCCTCACTACCCTCACCAGCCTAATCGGGCGCCATAGGGACCGGCTAAACCTGCCTCTCACTTCTGCTCAGTGTAAAATGGGCCTCCATACTAGGCTGGTCACTTCCATACTCGGCATCCAATCACCCATGCTCAGTCTCGCGCGTGCTTGCGACGTTTGAAGTGAGCCCAGGACGGATTCTAGCCAACTACTATGTAGTTAGTCCGCCACGGACTCGACAGGGCGCTTGTTCAGTTTCGGTTCCGAGCCTGAGGCGAAAACTGTTTTCTGCATTTCAATCGCTAGAACAACATATCTTGACGGGATCCCGTTCATGGAGCCTTTTTGACTTGAAAGGAGCTAAGGATTGAAATCTGGTATATGCACCATCCCCGAAATACCAAGTCAACACATGTGTTTCTTTTCGTGATGCTTAGGGACACAAGGCATGACGGGATTCACACAAGAAATTTGTAGGCTTCAAGGTCAAAAGGGCAAGGGAAACAAGGCTGAGATGTTCAAGTTCAATCCAATTGTGGCCAGCTTTCATCTGACGAGAGCTCTACATAGTTTCTATAGCGAGAGACAATACCACCTCCAGCGGCACATTCGTACTTTCATCGATCTCTTGGAGCCTCTTTCCCAAGCTACGATGCACAAATTGCACACAGACAAATCAAGACACCCAGCGCGGCGCACGCCGCAACAAATAACCCAAACCCCGCCCAACCAGTATACTTCTTATGATGGTGAACAATCTTACCGTATGTCGTGACCAGCGGCATGACTCTATCGCGCTTGGAGTCTCCCTCGGTGACATAGCAAGTCAACTCCTCATCATAGTAGCCCGTTAAATAGCAGCTATCCTGGAAGGTCTGGTAATGTAGTTCCGAGGTGTCGCTCACTTGGTAGTACACAGCCACTTGTTCGCCGCAGTACCTGGAATTCGCCCACGTGGTGAGTCGCGTGCCTGGAGTGCTGGTGCCGGTATGGATGACGCCGCTGCCGTCGATGGCGGCGAAGGTGCCGAGCCCGCTGATGTCGTACCGGCGGATGTCCAGCAAAGCAGATTGGAATATTATGTGTGTGCGGTTGTTTTCTGCTGCAGAGAGGGATAGTAGCGACGTGTGTGGGTGCAGTGGATCCGCGCCTTGGACTCCTAAGTCTTGTTGTCAACCACTCAAACCGTCGTGTTACAGCCCGTTCTTGCGAAAAAGGAATCCCTCACCTAATGTCCAGTCCTGTCCAGCTGCTTTTGACCTCCACCACTGTTGCAGCAGCCCACTCTGGGTGTCGGCCATCCAGAGGGCCTCATAGCCGCCCATGAACTGACACTCGACCTCACGGCCCAAGCTAGTGACCGGCGGCAAGTCGAAGAGTTCCTTCCACGTGGCTGACAAGCGCGAGTACCCGTATTTCCTGATCCTACCCGCTGGTTGGGATGCGAAGTATAGATACAGATCTGCGTCGTCGTGGTAGCTGTACTCATCGCTGTCTGGGACGCAACTTCTAATGAACATCGAATCGGCGACCTTAAGCTCCAAGGAACTAAGCGTGTAATCGCTCCATGAGCTGCTGGAAACCACTGCTCGGATCTTGTTATCCGTGTCAATATAGAAGACGTATATCTATTCACCGTTAGTCACCTTCATTGGCAATGCAGCTCTGCGAGTTGTTTGACGTACCTCCGAATAGTCACCAGCGGAAGCAGTCACGAGCGAGGCGGTAATGGGGCTTCCTGGCTTTACGTTGCTCGCGATCGCCGTAGGAGTGGATCTTTCCCAACCATCACCGCCGTCGTAGATATGTTGCACAGACCTACTTTGATCGGTGTAGAACATGTTGGTCTGGCCCGAAGCAACGACCGCATCAAAGCCGCCGAGGTAAAAGGCTGAGCTGGTCGATGATGGCTGAGCCGAGGAGGCCGTGTGCGTTGCGAGTATCACGGATGTCGTTAAGGTTGTGTCTGTTTCGGTCACCATGGTTGACAGTGTGTCTGTCGTCGAGAGAATCGTGGTTGAGGTCAACGTGGAGGTATACACTTGTGTCGAGTCAGTAACTGAAGTCACGGTGGTCGTGATTGTGGTCGAGGTGGAGTTCGAGACTGCAGGTCCATCGGGTCTGTAATGCCAATTGAATTAGTGAGACGACGGGGTACAATATTGAAATATGACAGGTACAAGTGTCATAGAGGACCGAAGCTTATACCTTGTCAGTAGCACAGCGGTGGTGATTATTCCTGCCAACAACGCTATCATCACGCCGATGATGAGAACAACACAAATTACACATCGCCGCTGTCGACGGATTGACTTCTCGCTTGGTGAGGGTGGGCTCTCAGTCTTTGTCGGAATAACAGATGGCTCTTCTACAAGCGCTTTACTTTTGAAGTCTTCATGCGGAGCAGGTTCTTTTTCTCCAGGCCAATACTTCTGCTTGGTATCACCCTTGCCATCGATCTTTGCGACATCTTTGTCCGGCGCGTAGGCCTTTGCAAGTCTTTTGATTTCACGTCCCAGGTCCGGAGTGATGTCGTTGGAAGCATCTGATCTCTCGGACTGACCAGTGTCAGATGGGGGGCCGGTTGAGTGGTTTAAGCCTGATGTTCGTGGTGTTGTGAATGGAGATAGCGAAGTATAGGACGGGGGCTGGGTGACATGTGGAGCAGTAGAAGACTGAGGATCACTCGAAACAGACCCCCCGCCCAGGTGTCCAAGCCAGGTGTTCTGGATGTTCCGGAGCCAGGGCATGACGACCTCAGAGACAAGACGATATGCTTAAGGAAAGTAAGCCATCTTGGGATGCTCAAGACAGGCCATGGCTTTATAGACCCTCAGGCACCGTCGCTTTGGGTACGCGGGCGAGGCGGAGTTGCATATCTTCTCGAACTGTGATAGTCAAGTTCTGAAAGACTAGACCCGTGAAAATACGAATTCCTGATTGTCAGAGAAGGAAATTCCGACGCTTAACTTCGGGAACCTGATAAAGAGCATGCATACTCGGTACCAGGGCGCGCGATGCACAAAGGCTGGCTCGAATTGGTAAGCGAGGATGCGCCCAAAACGCCTTGAGGACATCTTTGAGCTGAAATTTATACTTCAGCGATGGGCAACATCACCTGCTCAAGGGGCGGTGCGGGAAGGCTGCTTCACAAGCCCAACCCTGAAGGCCTCAAGACTTTCAAAAAGCATACGCAACATGTTCCTCAGGTGAGCCGTCAACGCCAAAATTGGCGCTCTAGACTGTGTAGTTCATGAAGAAAAGAGAGACTCTTCTGTGGTGGTGAGCTGGGTGCTTTCGCCCCCAACGCCAAGTCCAGAAGGTGCCCCGCGAGTTCGCCTATCACATCTAAAACAGGGCGAAACAAGAGACTGTTTAGGCGAGGCTCGAGCGTGTCTTGCAACATTCGTGCTTCTGTTCCTGGCCAAAAGTTCCATTTGTGTCCATCATGGATCAATGCCAGCAAGGCTACCAGGCCACAGATCAAGCTGTGGTCAGCCTCGTGCCGCAGGGTTGCATTCTCGATGATGTTTGAAGTTCGGCGTTTTCCTACATGTGAGCGGGACACGGCATGTAATTCGCCCCTTATAAGAGCCTTCTCTGGCTGGTGACGATGCAGTCTTGTGTCCAAGCATTCTAAGAGGGGGAGCAAGCTTCCGATTTGGACTGCAAGGTGCGTAAGGCTAACTTGGTTTCCCGTACGCGGCCAATTCGGCACAGAGCCGATCTATAGGAACCAGTAGACTCCCATAGTATCATAGGAGGCAGGAAGACAAGCTCGACTTCGCAGGTGGCACGGTGTGTTTTTGCTGCTGGCGGCGGTTGCCGTAGTGAGGCAGTGGCCAAAATGCAGATATGGCTACCTATATTACTTGCAGACGAAAAACCTATTCGCCGTATTGAGGCTCGGCCCTAACTAATGAGTGAGCGAAGGCCGCTTTGATCTCCGCTTTGATCTGAGGTTTAACTGAGGCACCAACCTGCCTAAGCACCCGCTAGGCAGCACCTAGAGCATTGAGCTACAAGGGATCCCTAATCTGGCGCTCCTCCATCGGCTACATTTGCCTCTCAGCCAAGCCTCAGCGGATTTTGCAAGACCCTGCCCCTACGCTTCCGCCTAGAATTCCTTAGGTACTTATGGATCTCAAAAAATCTATCGAGGAAAATTGTGGCAGGCGCCCAAAAAGGGCTCCGCCAGACCGTGCCTCATCGTGCCGCCCCAAGGTTCGACACCGCCCAACCTTTTAATTGGCTCTCGTCAACTTATCCCACTTTACAGTGATGTCGTCAGGAGTTAGTGATTCATCTCCCGCTGGAACTTGCACATATACAGAGTATATCGTCTTTAATCTTGCTGGGTATGGAGAGTCTAAATAGACTATCAAACATTAATCGGTTATCCTACACCGAAAAGGGCACTTACTCCTAACGTTAAAGACGAGGCACGTACGACTTCTCGAAAGTTTGGATGCGATGTCTGCAAGTCAGCGATGAGGTTCGCTTTAGCTCTTCACTGAGGCGCAGTTCAACTGCTCAAAAGCTTTTCGGGGGGGGCAAAGAGAACGAAGTCGAATGCAGCACTCGGGCGAGTAAACGGCCGCGCAGGTCTTAGGGCATGTCCAACACCAAAATAGCTGGAGAAACCCTTTAGGCTCAGGAACTACGGACCAGGTCGATTTCTAAATCCTCCGTAGGAGCAGACTTTTCCACCACGACCTATGTAGTGTCTGGTCTTAGGCCTCCGCAAGATGCCAAGGGTAACTTGGGACACTTCGTTAGCATTCATTTTGCCCCTACGATTGGTATCCTTCGGAGTACCTTACCTCCACCCGCTCCAACGACAATAGACGAGAGTTCCCAGGCTGTCTGAATGACAGCCATCCGCGTACCGAAATCGTCAGCTTCCGGCATACGGCCCTGCATGTAACAAATCCCGACAGCAAGGCCCCCCTATCACTGGGAGCAGACCATATATGATGATCTTGATTATCGACCATCTGGGCAACAACTCGAGGATGTAGTCTCCTTTCATCGGATCAACGATGCTGTGGTTCAGGCAGCCGTGGATCCAGCGCATCCAGTGGTCTTCCATCCTGGCCTCATTCTGCTTGTACTTCGTGTAGAATTCAAAGAGCGTCTGCTTTGTCCGATCGTCCATTTCTATCGACATATGGTGGCCCGAATCAGTGTCGTAATGGTAGAGGTCGAAGCCGGGAATGCTCTTCAGTTAAAACAGTCGTTTGTACAATTGCCACACCTTGTGAGCGCCAACGCGTTCCACTTTCACCTCTAAGTCACCAAGGGGTATCCGTGTCCCGTATCGCAACGTGGTGATTGCAGGGACGGGGTTTCTGCCGTCAGGTGAAGGCTTCTCTTCTCTTACTTTTTCGACATTGAAGTACGGGCCTCCAAATGGGGTCTTGTAATTTATCTTCCACCGTACTTGGCGGAAAGTAGAGTTCCTCTCGGATTTCACCTCGCACCTTGCAGCTGCTACCATATTCACGCCGACAGTAAACCCCAAGGTCTCTGCAGAAATAGTCCCCTGGCACGTGATAACTTCCCCTTCAAGCTCTTCATCGATTGACAGACACAACAATGAGTACTCTATATTCTGCATCATCCCGATTGCAGGTCTAGGTGGTAGTAACATCCCTGGGTTGTCCAGCTGCTGATGTTGATGTCGCACACCTTGCGCACACCTAATTATGTAGCATCTGTATCTGCTGTACCCATGCCACAATGACGCTCTTGAAATTCATTGAATTTTGTGATTGGCCGGGGCTTTAGCTAGCCTAGCCAATTAGGGTGTGTTGATGCTAAGTCGGAATAGCTTCCTGATTTGAACGCTTGTCGACGTTACCCCATCGATCTTTGCACACTGCGTTCTCTTTTGCTCGAGCCGCTCAGCAGAAACCGGTTGTACACCTTCGCATGCCACATTTTCGCACGAGGAACGCAAATGCATTGGCCTGCTTTCCTCGTCAAATAATTCTATTTCTACGGAGAACGACTTGTACAGTTACAAGTCTTCGGTCGCCACGGTATACATGGAAGCCTGTGAGACATATTGCCAAACAAGGTCGATGCGGAAACCTCCAATACTGCTATATTTTTGCGACTCCTCCCAAGCACTGGTCCTCCTCCCAAGCACTGGTCCTCCTCCCAAGCACTGGTCCTCCTCCCAAGCACTGCAGACATAGATAATGCCACTGTGCTTGCGGACCGATCTTCCAAAGTTGCTTCAATCGGGAATCACGTTGTCATCAAATAGGCCCACAAACATGCCTCCGTATCCGAGAAGGACTCAATATGATCCTCATCAAGCAAAATATTGCCACCCTAAGCCCATTAGTGTACGCCTTGTAAGAAGAGAATGGCAATGCGTATTTACTCATGCAATCCGTCGCCGGCTGACGCTTGATCATTCCTGGCCGAAGTCTTCAAACATTGTGAGCGTCAGCTAATTCTGAGCTAGTCACATAGAAAGCCGGCAAAAGAGGGAGGAAAAGAAGACAAGCAGTTAGAATGACGCCGCTCAATATACAGTCGGCAATGTTGCAGTAACAGACAGTGATACAAGACGAGTTGACGAATGTCTTGCAGAATCAAAAGGCTGTGAGGGCAAGGCTGTACCAAAACAATAACAAGCCCTGTGATCCATGCTGGGGAAACTGGCTATTAATCTCATTCACCGTCTCATCACGTCGCAATTGTCATCGCTGCAGCGATATCAAATAATGAACAACACCCGTACCGAGCTGCGTCGAAAGAGGGGTTGAACAATACACACGCTCTGCTCTCATTCTCGTGAACAACAATTCATGATTCTTCTCCTCGCTCTCGCGTTCAATTAATGACGACTGGATGGCGAGCAGATACAGCACTTCTCACCCTTGTTAACAGTTCTCAAAGCTGCTTTTGCCCAGGGTGTCATGCCCGCATTATTGTGGGCACCAACTCGTCCTTGTGTGAGGCGGGCCACTGAACACATGCACACCCCTAATGTTATCGATCGTGCTCTTCACCTCCCTGGTTCCATGTACTTGATTACAGAAGGCGAGTAGCGTAAAATATAAGATGATCGACAGTGCTCTCGTTCCCGCAAGGTACTTGTACTTACCTGGTGATGGCGCTGACTGATAGCACCACATGTCCGTTCTCTCTCTCTATATATATACATGAAGGCCACACACAATTCTGTCAGCCCCGGGTGTCAACCCACATTGCAAACGCACGTTAAATACTTCTCGTTGGGGTGACCGCTACTCGATATCGCTCTCACAAAACTAGATCCTCGATACCACAACGCCAAACTTTCCTCTTGAAGGTTCGATAAAACAGCATAACCATATTTTGTATTCAGACAGTCTTTTTCAGCTATTGACGTACTCCTCCAAAAACTCCAATACCGGTACCACGCCAGACTGGAAATTCGCGTCCTCTTCGTCTATGCCAAAATCAAACCCGTGGTCACCACCTTCTACAGTCACTAGCTTTGTGGATACCCGCAATCGCCTGAGCTCTTCATACATCCTCCGGGAGCAATCCGGATCGATAAAGTGATCCGCAGTTCCGGTTGCAAAGATAGTTGGGGGAAATTCTTCCCTAAAGTATGTCGCCGGATCCACTCTCTCGAAATTGCCATCCTTCACGCATTTGGCTAAATGATTACCCTCCTTAAAGCCCAGCACCATCCACGCATCGCGGGGTTTGCTCAGATCAGGCACCGGCATTTGGCCAGGGGCCAGATATTGAGTCGTTTGAAATTCTGCATGAGATGTAGGTGGCTCCGAGTAGACCTTGTCGGCAAAATCTCTGTCGACAACGGGCATCATGGCAGCACCAGGGGAAGGCGTGCTCCAAACACTGTCTGCGAAGTACGCAGCACCATAGAGGGCGGCAATGGCTCGCGGAGGATTGGGGAGACCTCCCTATAAATCCGTGGACAAGGTCAGCTTTTCACTTTCGGAGAGGCGTGATTTTTTGATACACGACCTCCTGCTAGTTTGTCAAGGAATACAGGGACAGTTCATCAACGCACCAGAAGCAACGCCAGCGTGGCCCCGGAGCTCTGCCCGAATACCATGACTTTCTCACCGTCAATATCCACTCCGGCATCCTTCTTCAAAAGGCCTGGCAGAGCATTCCGCGCCCACTGCAAGGCATCTCGCGCGTCCGCCATAGGCCCTTCCCAGATTGAGACATGTGGGCAAAGACGATAATCGACGGATACCACCACAAAACCACGAGCGCAGAGCGATCGGAGGGTGGCTGCTGGAACAAGGGTACGGGAGCCGAGAGTGTAGCCGCCCGCATGAAATACCAGCACTGAAACAATGAAGCCATTAGCAAGACACCCAGTGAGGGAAGATGCAGAGTCATCATGCATAGCCAAGAAGCAGCAGCGGCGATTTGCCCGAGTATATGGGAAAATCAGTAGGTTTTACTCACCAATAGCTTTATTTTCGTTGTTGTGGGAGCTCTCGGTGAAATGTACATCGGCGAGAAGATCTTGCCCGTCCTCTGCCACCTTGTAGATGAAACTTCTGAATGGCATGATGATCAATCACTTTTGACGTGCTGATTCCTCACAGTTGACGCCAAAAATTTCCCCGTTTGAAATCTTTGTCTTTTATAGGAAGAAAAAAAGTGTACGCGCGCTGCGTCGTGAGCGACGGGTGGGTTAGGGTAAGCGTCACAACTCACGACCTGCAGCAGACTTCACACAGCCGGCGTACCAAGTGGGACCAGGGATCATCTCTGCATCAGGAGGGAGCGGCGGCAGCTGTCTGAAAACTATACGCAAAGTCACCCATATCAAGGCACGGAGTCAATGTGAGTGGTGCTATCGTTGGTAGAAACACAACCCCTAGCGAGGTCTCCAAACTTGACAACAAGCTTTGGCAATCGAAGCATCTGGACCCTCTACGTGTTAACGGAGCGCAAAGGAACTGCTTTCACGTAAAGCCTCCGAGGAACTGCGAACAGCTTCCGCGGGCGTGAGTTTCCGCGGCTGGTGCAGCGATACACAATCGGTCGTATCGTCCTTGTCATCAGCCAGGGATTAATGTCACGACAGTGATGTAAATAAACACTGTCCTTACAGGAGATGCATCTATAAGACTGGGGAAGCAAAAGTTATGATTCTTGATATATGACAAGCCAAGAAGATTGTGGATTCGACACTCCATCCCGGTCTGGTCATACTTGGAGGCGAAAGCATGGACGGGAAGGATAGACCGTATTTCATACGAATTGTCAAGTGTTTTGACATGTCAAGACACCGCGCTAAGCTTCAGGCCATAAATGTTTCCAATCTCACTCGTTCATGGAGTTTAGAAGCTCCCGGATTGGAAGTCCCAATTGCTTCGGGTACACAGTACATCCTCCATCCATTTGTGATATGGATATATGTGATTAGAAGAAATGCAAATTGTGCAAACCTTGTTTCCTACAGTTCTTCGCGGTCCCAAGCCCACAGCTAGTTTTGAAACGCACGAGAGATGTAGAGTGTTCTCATTGTTCTCTCTTGGTGACTTTTACTTGGAGTTTCTGCTTGACGAACCATCCACTACTCGTCGTCCACTCACTATCACGAGCGGGGACAAAATCAAACTTGAGCACGAGTTGCGGCAGGAGTTTTGTCATTTCAAGCAGCGAGATGTTCTTGCCGATGCAAGTTCTGGCACCGGCACCAAACTGTAGAACCGCATCAGTGAAGGGGTTTCGTTTAATAAAATGTGATGAGAGTAAAGAGCACTTACCGCCAGGAAGTGCTGGTCCAAGAAGGCAAGTCGCTCTTTGTCAACCAGCCAACGCTCCGGTCGAAACTCGTGGACATCCTTGCCCCAGATACTTTCGTCGCTATGGATCACCCATGCATTTATTCCCACCACGGTCTGTTAGTGGTCGTACAATTAGTAGTTGTTTCTTAAAGAACGTATTGTTGGATTTGCTTGGGACCTACGCCTTCTGGGAAGTGCCTCCCCGCAAGTTGGGCGCCTCCTTCGGGAACCACTCTGCTGAGAATCTGGCCGACGGCTGCATGCAGCCGCAACGCCTCTTTGATGGTAGCTTGCAAGTATGAAAGCTTTTGACCCTCTTGAAAGGTGACGGGATTAGAAAGATTTCCTTGCCGAGCGGCAGTGTCAACCTCTTCGCGGAGCTTCTGCAAGCAATCGGGATGCTTCATGAGGAAGTAGATGATTGCAGTCATGCTGATGCCAGTGGTGTCGGAGCCAGCGCCGATATTGGAACCGATCACATTGTTCATGGTGAACTGGTCCAGCTTGCCAGCCTTGTTCGATTCGACACATTTTGCTAGGAAGTCTTTGCGATCGCTGAAACTGGCGCCCTGCATTCTGGCACCAATCTCCCTCAGTATAACCCGTTGCGTGACATTCCAATGGTTTTCGATGGGGAGAACCTTCAAAACCCGGAGATACCATGGATGAATCTCAGGGACGAGCCCCACCATGGACCCGTAACTTATGGATCCGACGTGAACCGCATGCAGAAGTCCATCCTTATCGTAGCCAGCCTCGATGAGACCAAATGATCTCCCTAGGGTTATCTCGCCGATCACGTCGAATGCGTAAAATTGCATCCAGGTGAACAAATCGAATGCGCGCCTGTGCTCAGCATGGCCGGCCAGCGCGGCCATAAATTCGCCATTGACCTTGTCTACGAATGGCTCGTAGGACACCAAGGAGCTCATGGCGTACATGTTCGAGGTCTTCCTCCGTTCGAGCGCATGCTTCGCGTTGCTCGTCTCAGAGAAGACATCCTTGTGCTCCATAGAGGGTGCACCAAACGGAATGTAATAGTTGGATTTGTAGAATTTTGAGCCGGGGCCGTAGATGGTCCGGATCGCTGCCGGGTCACCAATGCTGAAACGATTGGGTGCTAGCCGGACGATAGGGCCTCGAAGAGTTTAGTATCAACGTAATATGCTGTTGGGCGGATCAAGCTACCGTATCGTTTGTGTAGAGCGACGGTGACCTGTTCCAATCGACCTTCCCAATTCTGGTACAACTCCCACAGGCGGGTGTACCGCGCGAGCGCAGGACCTTTGACATCTCGCAAGGGGCTGAAGAGAACTCTGAGCAGATAGGACAGGATCAAGAGAGCGCATGACACTGCGATCACCACGGGCACATTGTGTTGCAGGTCTTGGAGTTGAGAAATCATCTTGCGATATCTCGATGCAAGTCGACCTTCGGACAACCGACGCAAGTTGTAGTTGACCGTGCCATGGACTTGATCATCATTTAGCTATATTCACAGCTACCACATATGCCCAGAGGATTTCCGTGTATTCCGCGGTGACAACTGCCGCTAACGGGAGGTGTGGGGGGCGAGAGGGAATAGGAAATATGAAGAAAGCTGGATTCGAAAACCCACGGGGAAGACTTGGCGAATCAATGACCTGAAGCCGCAAAGCACATTCGGACCGCCATGCGGAGTTTCGACCCATTTGGCCAGGGGTCTGAGCAGTGCTCCGCTCTACGGTATAGCATAACCTCCTCATCCCCCCATCAACCGACATTCTACGCAGCAAGGCTCTCTCTACATGATCTATGCCCACACGAATCTGCTGGGCAAGCCACGAGAGCCTCTACCATTCGTCCCAAGATCGTCACCAAGGTCTTTTTCAATAGTGCCATTGTTTCATTCATCTCGTACTGCGCTGGTAGTGGCACAAGGATAATCAGCACTACCTAGATTCCGAGCCACGGATCGGACATCATCGTCTCGTCCACAAGCTTATCTCATTTGGATTCTTCTTCGCGACTGCAATCACGTTCCGACTGCAAGGGGATGTCCCGGGCCGGGACATTCAAGATGCCAACAAAGGTAAAGGAAACGGAATCAGAACTCTCTTGGTGTCTGTACGTAGCTATGCGACCTCCAGAGAGGAGGGAAAACAGAAGATAAGCACTACGTGGATGGCCGCCAGCTAAATGGACACGGCTTTGAAGCAATCGGCGACTGTGAGGGCCCCGGTGGTGTTGGGGGCACACTCTCTTCATGGGATATCCTGTGCAACTCCTCGTTCGAACCGTCTTTTTCCATTAGTTTTCCATGTGGTTTTTGGCATTTTTGGGGGCTGGTTCCCTGTAAAAATACGGGTTCAGGCCGATTGTTGCCTGTACCTCTTGTGTGAGGCATTCGCGCCCAGGTGCCAACCTAGGTCAGATGTGTTTGTACAAGGAGCTTTGTCCATTGTGAAAAAAAAATGCACATTATGACAGATTTTTGAGACAGCAAGTTTATCGATGTAATCTCTGATTCAAGTCCGAGGCCGAAGCAGCACATCGATTATAGTGTAACAAGGCAAGGTGGCTGTGCAGTGCTGGGTTGGTGGACTGGCAGGGCAGAGGCCTGTCAGGTCACATGTCAAACCAAAATAGATTGAGAGAGTAGGACAGTTTATAGTGCTGGCAGTGTGTCATTCGTCACAGTTTGAACAGAGTAACAGTTGTCATGGTTCTTTTGGTGCCGTCTACCTATTCTTGACTGTTTTTCAGCCCTGTCCCCCTCATTAAATGCCGCCAACTAGCTAGGCGTTCGTTGCCCTAGCTGCCGCCTCTCTGGGTGGTGTTGGTGGTGTTGTTCTGTCAGTGTCAACTGGAAAGGCGTTCTCGATCCCCGACCTGCTGGACAGGCCTCTGTGCGTTGTTGCACGTGCATGCCGAACCCTGAAGCGCTCTGTTACAATAGATCTCGGCGTAACGGTAGCGGAAGGATCAACTTGAATCGACTTCATTGAATGACTCAACAGTTCCGAGGATAGAATGCGAAGTATTGAGTTTTGGACCATACTGCAGCGTAGCCCAGAAGCCCTGGGAACTGTAGGATATCTCGGTGAGTCGACCATTCAGATACACTGAATACCAGATTGCAACACCACGTGACCCATGCCTGTAGCCTTTCCAGCACTATTGCCATGCCATGGCCATATCAAAGGTCGGTTCAAAGCGATGAGGGCCCCAGTACAAGATCAATTTTTGCGGTGAGCCAAGTCTGAAGTAAAAGCATGACAAAGATCAAGCTGAATCTTCAAAGCCTTTTTCATGCAACTTCGCTGTTACGCTGAGCCCACCAGTGCATCGGCGACAAGCGCTGACAGGGCCGAATTAGGGATCAGACGTTTCGAACGTCCTGGGCATCATTAGTACGTTAGAGTGACACTTGGGAGTGATATTTGCATGACAGCCAGATATTCTCACGAACTGAATTTATTGTCCAGTCTATCTCATCGCAGGACCTGTCAAGCAGATTTTCGAAGATCCCGTCTCCATCATCGTACAGAAGTACCTGCTATACGAGCGTCCAATAGAGCGGAAACGCCGTGTTGTACGGCGTCCACGGCCTCGGGCAGCATTCGTGCCACTTCCTCCACGGTATCGACTCGGCCCACCCAGCATTTTCCTCCTGATGCACCCTTTGCAATGGTCGCGTAATCCGGATTAGGCGCAAATGAGATGTTGAGCTCTTCGTTGCTGACTTTGGACCCCAATCCGTCCGGGTGGACAAGCAGCAGAGACTTACGAGGGGCGTTCCAGCCTGCGAGAAAAAACATTTGTCTGTCAGCCCAATAGCTTTCACGATGCACAACGCAACTCAGGGACTAATATTTGGCTCGGTCCAGCTTACCATTGTTATTGAGCACTATGGTCAACACGGGTATCTCGTACCTCTGCGCAATCCAGTACACGCTGGCAGGGATGGAGAAGAGAAAGCAGCCATCGCCGACGATCTGGCACACAAACTTGCCTTTGCCTCCGTTCTGGGCAGAGGTCGCCATTTTGATACCAAGAGCTGCACCTCCCGACCAACCCAGGCCGCCCGCACCCGCGCTGAACACGCTTCCCGGTAGTGTTGCCTGGAGCTGATCGGACACGGTGAATGTGTTGGTGACGGCTTCGATGACCCAGACGGTGTCTTTCGGACATGCCTTCCGGACTTGCGAAATCAGGAAGTCACATCCGAACGAGCCGTCCTGGTTCGGCTCGGCCTGTGAAGCTATCGCAGCGAGCCTTTGGGTGTATGACGCTTGAAGGGCCGACCAGCGTCTTGTGTATTGTTCCTGGTTTGCGTTGATTCGGTCCGCGAGCCCGGTCTTTAGATACTGGACGATCTGGCCAAGAGCAACGGCGATGTTGACGCGACAACGTAGTATCGCGTCGATGTAGAAGAGAGGCATTAGCTGTTTTAAAGGGTCGACGTCGAAATGGATGATCCTGGCAGCATCGGCGGGCTTGCATTGCGTGTTGATCCACGGCACATCGCAATCGAGTACTATTATCACATCGGCTGTACGTATGGCCTCGTCCGATCCGTACCTCACTCCCAACCAGCCAGGATGATCTGCAGGGAAGCAAAGGTCCGAGCCGGCGGTGTCGAGAACACGTAAGCCCTTGATAATGTTGGCCAACTCCACGAGTAAGGGTACTACGGCAGTATCTCGTCCGCAATAGCCCGTGATAACCAGAGGTTCTCGCGCGGAGACCAAGGCTTTAGCCACGATGTCGAGGTGTCTCGGTGTTAGGCCACCAAGTTCCACGGGGCTCCAAAACTCCTGTCGGATCTCGTACGGCTCAATGACCTCTTCCATGGCCTCGCGCACCCCTTGCAAGTAGACTGGCCCACGAGGCTCACTTGTGGCGAAACTCAACGCCCGGTTCACCACCTGTTTGATGTTCTTGCCTTTTTTCACTTCGGCGGTGTAGCGACAGTATTGTGACACTATCGCTTTCTGGTCCGGGACGTCTTGTAGCCAGTGAATGAACTCGGTTCTGCTCCCGCGATATTCGCCTTCCAGCGTGCATGGGGATAGACCGGCAAAAATGAGCACAGGCGCGCGGCCGACGCTGGCATTGTGTACGGCACATCCGAGTGCCTGTGTTCCAACGTCGACGTGCACAATGACGGCTTGAGGTTCTCCGGTGACACGCGCGTAGCCGTCCGCAATCGACAGCGCCACCATTTCACTTGGGCAGGTGATGAACTTGGGAAAGCGGTCCGGCCTCTCCCGCTTGCCTTTGACCATTGCCTCCATAATGCTAGGATGGTCTGATCCTAGGTTTACGAAGCAATATCGCACGCCAGCCTGCACAGATGCATATCAGTAGATCTTCGACGACCGGGGAGCTTCCTGTAGTGTCCTGGGTAGGTGCTCACCGCCCATAGCGCCTCGAAGAACGCCGCTGATGCTGTATACTCCCTGATGCCATGGTTAACGCGTTGCTAGTCAGCATGAGCACTCTCTCACATTCTGCCAGGACGTCGGAATCAGATCAAGGAGTCAAAAGAAGGAGCCGTTTCAAGATGTGGCTCCCCGAACAGCAGAAGGCCCTGTGTATCGGTAATATGCAGAAGGAGCTTCGCTACGACGGTTTGGGTGTTAACGAATGAGCAAGCCCAGCCACTCTGGTGCCCCAGATGTGTATATGTTATAGGCATACCTCACACACTTTAATAGAGCAGCAGGAATGCCTTTCTACGTTGGCTCTTGCGGAAGAGGAGCGGTCTCGGCATACAACAGAGGCACGAATTCTTTCGGGTGTCTTCACAAGACCGGCAACGACGAGTTTCTGATGGAGCTAAGGCCCGGGTTTGCTTGCGCAAACTTGCAATACTGAGGATTTGCAAGGTCGCAGTGATTCCGCGGAATTGACACTTTCCGCCGCGGGTACTAGCGTCCGTGGGTGCCCGTTTCGTCGTAATAAAAAAGGGACTCGAAAGACGTGATAAAGCATGGAGCCAGGTATCATGGCTACGCCATCGACTTCAAAACACCTCTCTTTCTTGCGATTCCTCTCCCGGCGCAAGTAGAGCTCTATCTGATTAACTGATATATTTTTTAATCAACCGCGGGGAACTTTTCGGTAGACATGGCGAGCATCGATTACATCTTCAAGGCTGTAAAGTATGGTGCGCAAACAGTAAACCTGACGGCCACCGTGCACTTGCCTCGCAACACTAGCTCGGTAAAAGGACTCGGTAAGATTCTTGCTGGAGAATGAAACTGCTCGTAGAACACCTTGCTGATGGGACTGGCAGCACTGTATTTTCACGGAGGCGGCTATGTTGTTGGTAGCCGGGCAATGCTCTCGGCTGCACATGTGGAGGCCTTGAACGAAGCTGGCTTCGTCGCCGTGTCTTCGGACTATCGTCTCTGCCCAACAATTTCTGTGCTGGACGGTCCAGTCGCCGATTCGGTGGCCGCGTACGAATGGGCGCAGGACGAGCTTCCCGGACTGCTCGAAAAAGAACATGGCATTCGGGTGGACGGCAAGAAGATCGTCACCCTCGGTCACTCGTGCGGTGGAGGCCTCGCGTTGTTGATGGTGAGTGTTAATCGTGCAAACTGTGAGAGGCTGATCAATATTGAGGCATCGTGCACAACTAGGCTTCTCGCGCTCGCCCGCCCAAGGCCATCCTTGATCTATTCGGTTTCAAATATCTCCGTGATCCCTTCTACCACTCCGGGAGCAGCGCTCCGCCCCCGCCCGGTGCACCCGATCCACCCTCCGCTGAATTCATCGAACGGGTCTTTAACGAGTTTCCCCCCCCGACCGCCGCGCCCCCTCCCTTCGGTCCGAAAGGGCCCGATCTGAGCACACCGCGCGGAGCCTATCTCGTCACATCTGTCAGGAAGGGTGTTCAATTTGACAAAATCATCGCTGAGGATGAGTATGATCGGATAGATCCAGAGACATTGCTGAAGAAACGCGATTTCCCACCAACATTCTTCGTTCAAGGGACGGCGGATGTCGTTGTCGATGCCAAATTTGGACAATGGGCCCATGCGGAACTGCAAAAGAATGGCGTACAGACTGAGTTGTACCTAGTAGAAGGTGCGGCTCACGGCTTTGACGCTAGGTTAAGGCGTGACGGCACCGCCTTTGAGCCCATCCAGAAAGGCGTGAATTTCCTGGCGCAGCATGTGGACAGATAAAGAGACATGAGTTCGTCCGGCCGCCCTTCTACCGACGCCGCCGGTGGCCGGTTATACCGCTTTAATGGTCTCGACATATCACACGGCAGAGCGTTTCGTGGTTTGAAAGGGGCTTATAGATGGGACGTTTCTCGCTGTCGCGAGCTCCAGCTGCATTGATCGTTAAATACAGAGTCTAACCACCTTTCATCCCACGGTTGCATTTGCGTACTCATGCCTCCGATTGTGAATGCATCATCAGTCAGGGTATTCCAGCTCTGCTCGAGATTTGTGTCAGACGTGGATGTATCATGCAAGGCGAATGCGGTTAACGGCTCAACGGCAGAGTCGTCATCGATCAAAGAACCATCACCGGCCTTGTTGTTGGAGATACGGACCCTTCGCCCCAGATTGCGCAGCTTCGCGAGGGAGTATCGATGTCGTGAGTCCATTCCGCGCGGCGTGTGGTACCAAGCTTCGAGCATCTCAAGTCCTGCCTCGAATGGGCGCCGACACTCGACGCTATATCTGCCGGGATCGTAGATAGCAGCAAGGACCATAGCTGATATGGCCGCCATGAGGAAGTGAACAAACGTTGGTCGTAAAAGCGCAGGAATGGATCCACCCTCCCACGCGGTCTTGCACACCCACACGTTGTCATCTGCGGCACCCACCAATGCTTGGAAAAAGTGTGGTCGAGTGGCCGCTATTCTCGCCGAAGCCAGCAATCGGAGTTGTATCGAGATACGAAAGTGATTAGCCCTCGTTTGTATGAATAGTTGTACGGCTCTTGGAATCGCACAGTCCTGGTCCTTTTCTTCTGACCAAACCTTCTCTAAGCCTGTCGTGCGTTCCATGTTCTTAAGTCGGAACTCCAAATAATCCGTCCTAGTTCCAAGAGAGTCGGCGGCCTGATCCGGTTCTCTCAGCAGAGCGAAGATGTCCGCTCCAATGCGGTCCATCTCGAGCATGGCACGAAGATATTTGTGAGTTCGTGGTTGCTGCAAACAAGGTCAGTACTGATCAGCCAGCGTTGTAAACGACCGAGCGACATACCAAACAGTTGAGGTGATCTGGTGGTAGCTGAGTTGACAAAACACGAGGAAGGCCTGTCAGGAAGCTGCTCCAACTATCCAGGTCATAGACACAGCAGAAGAGTAATCTGCGTCGAAGGTCGTAGGAATCACTTTGTTCGAATTCGGAGGTTGTCTTTTGCACACCGCATACTTCATGGGGTTCGTGAATATCGAGACCTAATTCCAGAGCTGTGCGTGCACCAATACCGGCCATTCTCCACGCTTTCTGGCGTTCGTCTCGATGAAAGAAGTAGATGCACTGGCAGCATGGTCAGCAAAAACTGTGACAGGGTCAGATTGGGAAGAAGTCTGACCATCAAACAAGACATAACAACGTCCTCGATCTCCACCGACTCCTGGCTACAGACACTTTGCGCGGTCCAGAGCAGACTCTGCTCGAGGGTTTCGGCCAGACTAGACGGCTCCGAAGACTTGGCAGCGGCGCCCACCATCATGACGGCTTTGAGTATCTCTATGTCGATAAGCCGCAGGTTCGCAGTCGACCCTCGACCGGAGCTGGATATCAGATGGTAAAGATGGGTTAGATTGCGCCGAATGGTGGCCATGTCGACGCAGGGGTACATAACGCCAACGTGAGAGGCGAAAGTGTCGACAAGAGAATTGGCAGTCGATTCGCCAAGAGCAAGGATGGGGTGTCCGGCATGAACGAGAGCTCCTATAGAATCTTCCTCCGCCGTGGCAGCTTCACATGAAGTCACGCTGAAGACCTCTTCGTTGATACTCGGGATTGTGCCATTGTCTGTCAACGAGGACTGGGCCAATTTGAGCATACTTTCGAAGCTGGACGGACTCGCCCGTGTGACCGTAGAGCTCTGGCGACGTCGCATCGACAGTCGTGGATCCCTTGTTGCTGAAATTTCTGTAGTCATCGGGCTTGAGAGGATCCCCTGGGGATCGCCGGCGCCGCCCGAACGATTCGAGCCAACAGATTTAAGTTGGGACAATCCATCCTGCACCGACTGCACGAAACGCTCAAGGTCCTGCAGATAATCAGATGAGATGTGGTCTTCACGATGCGCGCTGCCACCGATATCAGCGTCTACCATCTTCCCGGAGCAACTGTACCTACTTGGCTTCAGTGCGTTCGTGGGTTGTAATGGAGTTGGAGTAGGTGCATTGGCTTTTCGCGTCCAAGCAGCGGCTGCAAGGCATCATCCCACTGCATTTGACTTTGCGAGCTTTACAACCATTACTGTTACGCCCGTCAGCAGGTGTGCGAAGGTGATTTCTTCACGGCCTGGGCAACTTACCACGCCTTCCGGGTATAATGGTCTCTCCTGCGTTTGGAAGGCCGTCGATCAGCCTCTGCCCCAGTCATGGCCGTGACTCTTTCCTTAGATTCTGATGGGTGGTCGCGGTTTGAAGTTTGCGAGAGCGAACAAGAATTATGGTCTTCCAAGTAGGTGAACCTGGCCAGGTGTCGTCGGATTTGCAAAGTCTGTCAGGCATGGCGAGGGTTTATCGAGTTAACCAAGTCCGGATATAGCCCCCGTAGTACCCCGCAAAGCCCGAGGGGCCCCACAGCTACATCGGATCTGTGCTTACCCCATGATCCAAGTCCTCGTGATTGGTAGCGCCTGAGGTCGCGGCACCTGCTACCGGCATTAATATCCACGTGACCCGTAGAGGACTAGACTCTCAACCCAGTACGTTGGACCGCTGACCCCAAGTCAGCAGTCGCTAAAGAGCATCCAACTCGAGGCTACTCTTCTTGCAGGACGCCCCGTCACGTTATTGGATGCAAGGTGTTGCAGATGCCCCTGACTTCCCCCAAGTCCCAGCCCTTAGCACAAGGCTCCCGACTGTATCTGCCGACATTGCTAAGACCTGGGCTCAGGTCGCCAGTGTGAAACACGGTAGCTGAGATGAGGCGCAGACTCCAATTCTAAATACTTTGAAGCCATTTACGCTATGATTTTCTCCAATGAAAGGTTCCCCTCCGGAATGGACCACTGCGCGGCCTTGCCACGATACGCCGGTAAGAGACCTTTTAACTTTGGTGGATCACGGACTATTGTTGTTCCGGGACTGAGGAAAGGCTGGCTTCCGCGGACATCCGCGGAATGGAAGCGAGACAGAGACTACCCGATCAGGAACGATCCATGGAGATTGTGGGGATATAGCGCACTCGTCTGGGGTACGGTAGTTGAGACAAGAACGAACAGTCGGATCCTGGGGTAAAGTGTATCGGCGTGAACAAAGAACTCATGCTTGTACACACAGCACACCTCTCCTTGTTTGTTTTTCATGATCAATAGTACCGCCTTGGACGCTCGACTCTTCGAATAGCGGTCCTTTGCCTTAGCACATTGATCTTCGACCGGCGTGAAACCAGGGGACCAAAAAAAATGGGCTGCTTCCCTGCGGCAGTCTCCTAGTGGCATACCCGCAAGATGATAAAAACGAACGGCTACTCGCCCGTCTCCCTGTCTGCATCCCAGTGGGCGAGCTTCATCAAGCGCCAGTTAAAAGTGGCACGACGAATCCGCTTGCCCCACACATATAAGGGGATCCACAGCGCCAAGATGACGAAGCTGAAAGCTGCCATGGCCGCAAAGGCTCCTGCATAGCCGTCCCGATTCACCCATGGGTTCGCGTAGAAGGACATGAGAAACGTGATGACAGCTAAAGCATCCTTGGGTCAGCACTGAGGCTTCCGAAGCCTGTCCAGAGGGGTGGATCAACTCACATTTGAAGACGACCTGGCTCACAACGACCTCACCAGCAATGGGCTTGTAGCAGTCAATAGTATAGACCACGCTGATACCGATCACAGAACTACTACCGAACGAGACTGTGGTGAAAATGTCAGCAAGCTACTCCATTCTTTTGACACATGCAAACCGAGTTCTTACACAAGAACACGCCCAACGTAGGGACAATCCAGTGCACTTTATAATTGATCCCAAGGCCATAGAGTAGAAGGGATCCTGGATAGGCGATCATGGCGGCGCTCACAGCAGGAAGGCGCATTTCCGGCTCCCGAATGCCCCCATTCTTCCAAGTTGCGCGGTTGGCTACCCAATCTGAAAAGTAACCGCCAAACGGTATTCCCAGCACGTTACCCACTATGCTTGCGATCCAGACCAGTCCCACTTGCCAGACTGTGAAGTGGTAAATCTGTGAGAGAGCGGTCGCGGCGGTCGTGCTCATGACGATGAAGATCCCAATTCCTACGCCGAAAGACACCGTGGACCAAAGGACAGGTGGTAACAATAGGACCGGCAAGGGACGGAAGGCAATTTTCCAGATTGACTCATGAGTGAGAGGAGAATGAGTGATGGCTATGCGTTGAATGAAGGATTTAGTCGGAGGTAAGTTAGACCTTTCGACGCGCTCCACTCTGGACACATTTGGATCCTTCTCGTTCAGGTCTGCCGTTGTCCGTTCCTCTATTCCACGTATGTCCCGTCGATACGCAGTTTCGGGCATGGTGAAGAAAATCAAGATCGTCGTAGTCAGCACGAGAGCAGCGCACAGATACTGAAACTTCCTCCATGTTTGTGAGATTGACATGAGACCAGAGATTATCAATCCAAGCCCGGCACCAGCCGAGAGCGAAGCCGAGTACATCCTACCAAGCAGCGGTCAGTATTCGAGACTCGTGACAAATTGTGCATGGAGAGCTTTACGTACGCCGTCATTCTACCCCTTTCATGAAGGAAAGATACATCTGCAATGGTAAGGGGAGCGACGCACTCAATGCCGCCCGCAAACCATGACCCTATGACCCTCGATGCCAGCAGACTACCGTAAGAGGTTGCACGTGCCGACCAGATGCAGCAGAGGCCGAAAACGAGAAAGGTGAAAGTATATATCGCGCGACGGCCATATTTGACGGCGAGTGGGACCCACACAAGGTTGGACACACCAGCGGTCAGAGAAGCCGTGGAGAAGAGCAGAGCCGCCTTGCTGACCGCAGACGAGAATGCCGCAATCGACGCTGTGGACAGAGAGGCGGGATTACGTGGGTCGGGTGGATACGCGCCGAGGAGGTCGATGACAATTTCCACCAGGACAGTGGCGGAACCTGCTGCAAAGAAATTGACACAGATCAACGCCAGGCAAAGGAGCAGGACGATATAGACCCTAAAGACTTTCGACCTGCGAATAAAATCTCGGAATTAGCAGCTTGCAGCTTACGCTGGCCAAGTAAAAGTGTGAGGAGGAAGCCTACCAGTTGAGTGGGTCGTTTGGATCGGCCGACGGCTGGGGCACAAGGAGCATGGCGCCTGTGGTCGCGTCTTGAAGTCGAACATGACCAAGCGTTTCCTTGGGAGCATGGTGGGAAGCAGTGATGTCTGAGCTGTTGAGCCCATCTTCTTGATGATAGGGCATCATGAGCCACTAACGTCTGGGTGATGGGTGCGAAGATCTCAGAAAAACCCGGCAAGATCGAAGTGCAGAGTAGGGAGGTATGTAACTATCTCAGGCCCTGGGAACGTGATATGATATGATAGCTTTATGCAGATGGGCCATTATACTTCGATTTGGCTGACACCAACGGTCTTCCGCGGAGCATAATAGCATCAAGTATGCGCGACAACATCCACTTTCCGCTCCTCCACACTTCCCTACGGCGCCGGACAGGGCAGGATCTCGAATCCGGTGTATGAAGTCTTCCGCGGAACGTCCTTGCTCCAACCACCTTCACACTTTCCGCGGCACTGCGATCATGGTTATGAGCAGAGCTAGGATCAACTGCAGGACAGCAGCAACCATCATGCAGGGTGCTCTGCTTCGTATATCATAAAGCTTCAACCGGGGCACACAAAGTTTCTCCCTGAACGCTTGATACACTTCTCGAGACCACATACACTCACAGGCTACGTGAAACCGCAATGACGACGCTAGGGTCCGAGGTCGTGCAGACTGCACTCAGAGTATCGAGCAAGAAGAGCCAGGATGAGCCCCGCTTCGGCCTCACTTCGCCTTGGGAACACTACTACCATCCTATCGAGACTGCTGCCCAGGGTCGATTCGAATGTGAGCTGGACGAGATGGTCGTTTTTGGCGATATTCCCACCGAGATCAGTGGAACCTGGTATCGAATGCTTATAGACCCTCATTTCTGCCCAAAAGTGGGGACTCCCTTTGTCGACGGGGATGGGCATGTCTGCGCCTTCCGCATCCAGGACGGCAAGGTCTCTATGAAGATCAAATATGTTCACACCGAGAGATGGCTTCTGGAGCGCAAGTACGGTCGTCGCCTCTTTGGTCGGTACAGGAATCCTTACGACATCCACCCGTGCGTGCGTCTTGCGAATGACACCACCGGCAATACCAATATCATCTACTGGGGCGGCAATGTCCTCGCGTTAGCAGAGAGGGGTCTCCCGTACGCTCTGGACCCGGACACCCTGGAGACAAGGGGTGCGGATCCATATGGTGGTCAGGTAGCTGCGAAAACCTTTGCAGCCCATCCCAAAGTCGATCCTCACAAGAATGAGCTGGTTACATGGAGCTATTCTGCCAAGGGTCTCAGCACTCCGGACATTTGCACTTACTCGGTCGATCCCAATGGACGCATCTCCAATGAACACTGGTTCAAGCAGGACAAGCCCGGTTGGCCACACGATGGCTGGATCACGGATAACTGGATCATTCTTTCCAACATGCCATTCGGTGTCAACAGCGAGGAGGCGATGAAAGCCGGGGGCGACTACTGGAGGTTCATTCCTGATCAACCCTCGGAATTTCTCGTCACTCCACGCAACGCAGATGCCCCGAGCCATCCAGGCTGGAAACCTGGCGAATTCCGCAAGCACACTGCCCCCCACGGTCTGATCATCCACACCGGGAACGCATGGGAGGAAGAAGGTGGCACCTTGAAGCTTGAAAGCCACTTTGTCAGCTTCAATGTCTTTGCCTTCTTCAACCCGAAGAACTACGAAGGGCCAAAAGGGAAACCCAGCGGCGACTGGTTACGCTGGACCATGGATCTTTCCAAGCCAGATGGGACTCCCCTGCCACCAGCTGAGACGCTGTTAGAGGGAATATTTGATTTTCCCATTTTCGACGAGCGCATGACTGGCCGAAACACTAAAATCGTCTACTTGGGCGGCATGATGGCCCCAACAGGAGAGCGACCCAACTTCAATGCAATCATCAAGTTGAATACGGAGACAGGCGAGAAATTTACTTTTTACGCCCCCGGAGACGGCAGTGTTGCTGAGCCCGCATATATCCCCCGGAGTCCTGATTGTGAAGAGGGCGATGGCTGGGTCATCTTCTATACCGAGAGAGAGTCGTCGCACAAGGGGGAATTGATCATCCTCGACTGTAAAGATTTCTCAAAGCCGATCGCCATTGCGCAGTTGCCTTTCCTAATGCGCAATCAAGTCCATGGGAATTGGGTTCCTAATCCGCATCCTGAGAAGCCTTTGCCGATGTTGACGGGTCCTGTTAGAGAAGATGTCACGCCTAGCGAGAAGTACTCACAGTTGACTAAGCTTCCTTAAAGGCCATAGTAAATGCACATTTCCTTCAAGCTATAATCATTGAGTTTATTGATGATTCTTCACCTAGTTTGGATAACCATTACTGCAACCCGTCAGGCTTTCATGATACCAACCGGGACTGTCCGATGCCCTTGAGGGGGACAACCCACAGTGAGTCGCACCCGCTACCGACGGGGCTGGCTGGACCTCGCAGTAACCTACTTTACGTTTTCTCCACCGTCTCGAACCACGGAAGCCAGGGGAACTGTGGTGAATAGAGAAGTCCAAGCTGGTTTCAGCAGCAGCATTGCAGTGACAAAACTTGTCCAGTTCACAGCTGTTGACAGGGTTGCAAGATAGCCACTGTGGTAAACCATCTGAGACACTAGCTACTCTACCAACTGCACCACACCGTTGTTCTCGCCGGTCTGCGAGAACGTGGCGACGGAATAGGAGGTTTCAGGAACGGCCTTCCGAGCACAGGCCAAAGTGTATATAAACAGACAGAGTCTCTCTGAATAGCCAGGGAGACAGAACACAATCAAGCAGATAGGTCCACTCTCGATCTGTGTATAACATCTGGCGTTCTCTAAATGTGGACTTACAAAAACATTCCCAGACATCGAGCAACCCGAATCGCTAACACTGATGTTCCAGTAGACTGCCTGTGCTGGCACCACAGGAATCCCAAACCCAGCCTGCATATCTGGGGTGATGGCGCAGAATAAGACAACCGGCAGGATGAGCCACTTCTTTCCCTGTGACCCACTCAGAGGGTCGTGAACGTCGTTGGTTGGCTGCGCTATGAGGATAGTCACTTCATCGGGAGCCTTTCGCATAGTCGCCACCGCCTCCTTCGGCATGGTCTCGATATAAGCTTCATCTGCAACCTGTGTAGCCTGGTAAGCCTGGTTCTCCGACCTCTTTGCGTTTGACCTACCTTCTGGTCGAGTTCTGCATTGAGCACCAGAGTCCCGGCGACCCCGCGGAATTCGGTATCGACCAACATGTTAGGGACTTCGAGACCGGCGACAGTACTCGTGGAGCGCAATCATGAAAACCAAACGATGAGGGAATCGGAGCCATCACGGAGCCGGCAAGAAGGGATATATCTTCCTAGGCTACCAGGGATGCCTCACTAGTTGTTTCAGATCTGAACCGTATATGATATGCTAGCAAAAAATCTATTGGGCTCTATCGGACATTCAGCCGGGGGCAGGCCCATCCAGTCACTCGCACCATCATAGTGAATAGAAACATGCTCTCTAACCTGGGGTGGAAGCCCCGCAAGTGGGAACAAGGCGGCGAGTGGTGGAGATTTGCTGGTAGATGTTGACAAGGTTTGCGATCGGCATGATTGGTTCGGAATCATCCCGAGCTCCGAGGAGTCGAGACTCGCCATTCCGCTGGTTGTCGGGCCTCGGACAAGCCAGGAATCCTGCATTGTGTACGAACCGCAAATCGAGCCGAGCCCCCACTTACGACTGAAGTCAACCGAGCAGAGGTTTTCATCCTTACACCATCCACTATCACGCAGGGTGCCAGAGCGCCCTCGATTTGCGTGAATGGAACGAGCATCATACCAGCCAATGGCTATAAGCCGTATGCGAGTGACCAGACCCCCCAGGCGACATCGAAGCAAAACTGCAAAGGCCTGTCAGCGATGCCGTGAAAGACACCTCAAAGTTGGTCAGCAAAGGACCCCGAACTGAAATCATACTAAGTACACGTCAGTGCAATGCAGGAAAGCCATGTTCCGGCTGTGTTGCTAAAGGCTTTCGATGCAGTTTCACTCAGGCACATTCAAACCATGGTGACCAGCTCGCTCGGTGCGGTACCCTGGGGACGGCGGGCGAGCACCTTTTGCTGATCGTGTACAGGCAAGTCGATCTCCTCTCCGAGCGACTTCTCGCTGTTGAGTCTCTCTTGAACGAACAAAATGCAAAATACACAGACTCGAGCATTTCTAGTAAGTATTGCTCTGCCTTTGCTGAGCCTTGGTGGTGAGCCGACAAAGCCACAGGCAATCCTACGTCAGATGATCTGTTGTTGAGCTCAGTGAGGCAATTCAACGAGCAGACAGGGTGCTATGAATACTACGGTCCGTAGCTCTCTTTGAACTTTCCATGTTCGCTGCGTGAAGTTGACGTCGATGGCAGGTATTACATCTGCATTTGCCGTAGCTACCTCGCTGGATAGGAAGCTTCAGATCCCCGGCTACAATGGCAGCAGAAATCTCCTGCAACCAACCGATCCGTGGCAGAGACAAACTTCTGCGCACCGAACTTCCGGCGTGTCGGATCTGTGGAAGGTTATTGAAACGCCTGACCTGTTCACACCGCTACCTGTGATCAGCCGAACCAGACCCTCCGACAACATCCTGGACCTCCACTTGCGAAGTTTTTTTGAGACTATTCACATATACATGCCTATATTCAATGTCAAAAGGTTTTATGCAAAATATTCGTTCGTTCGTGAACATCTATATGAACCCCACTGGGGAACAAAGGCAAATGGTAACGGTGGCAACCAGCAATTCATTTGTTTGGTCTTCTCCGTGCTGGCGATGGGCGCTTTTTACACCGACGAATTGGGAAGCAGCTCCGCCTGGGCAGCATGGTATTTTGATAAAGCACAAGGTAGGCTCGTAGAGCTCTTTGATGCGGTCGACCTGCACCTGGTACAAGCTGTTATGTTGATGGGCTCATACGCACAACATGCGATCAAGCCGAATTGTAGGTAACAGGAGAATGCAAGCTGCCAAGCAAGACTAACAAATGCACAGTGGCATATAATTTGACCGGCACAGCAATCAGGCTTGCCTACTCAATCGGCTTGAACACCAACAACAGTCCAGACCATTTGAGCTTCGATGCCCAAGAAGCACTTCGCACATGGTGGATGCTCTTCATCCAAGAAGTCGAGCTCAGCATGGATTCTGGTCGGCCGATGTCTATTCGGAGTTGCGACGTCAACGTGGATTATCCTTTGGACGAGGATTTGGATGCAAGTGTAAGTCCAATCGAGCACATGCCCGGTTGATGAAGCGAACTAAGCATCGTTGTGCTCCAGTCCAGTGAACCGGGGCTTTCACAGGTCACATTCCTCACGGTACTCGCTCGAGGCGCTCATCTTGTACGGCGAATTCTAAAGTTCGTAGGTCAAAGAGCTTGTCGTGTCCATCATAATCTCACTTACACCCCAGGCCCATCGATGCTCTGCCCAAAACAGGGAAGCCCAGCCAACTTACACCAAAGATACGCTGCAACAATTGAATATTGAATTACATGGATGGCGTGACTCGCTCCCAGCTCAGTTTTGCTTCCAGCATGAGCGCCCACATGGCGAACCAGAGGCACAACTGACTAGCTGGATCAACCGCCAAAGGAGCAGCGTGAGATTACGTACGCTTCTCCTACTCTCAAAAGACACTGTTTCTGTGGGAAAGGGGCTGATTCAATCACAGACTACAATGTAGCGCTCATTACCTTGAACAGGGTGGCTCTGATCCCTGGAACATCTGATCAGGTATTGGCCGATCGTGCCGAATTCAGCGCATCCTGCATAGAGGCTGCCAGCGAGTCGATCGTGCATCTACATTGGCTTCTCAGAGCCGCCCCGAAATTGAGACGGTGGGGATACTACTGTTACTATTGCCTACAGGCTACGCTGGTGATATACCTGCGGTTGATCGACGATCCATTTGGTCCAGAAGCCGCAGACATGATCGCTCTGTGCAGATTCAGCATCGAAACGTTTGATGCGCTTCACATTCCGGCCGCAAAACGTTGTGCTGAGGTCTTTCGACGTGCCTTGACCGAACACAAAGATGCACGGGAAAGCGACTTCGAAAGAAGCCGGCCCGGTTCGACAATAGTGACGGTGCCTGCGTCGTGCGATGATGAAGATTTGCAGCTTGTGACTACATCACCGCTACTGCCTACATCGTCGCGTCAGGCGTCCGCAGTGCCAACATTCGGGCCTGAGAACGCAAGTGGCCTTGTCTTTGGCAACACACTGGTAGACGATACTTCCTTGATGCACACAGAAGACGCGCATCCAGATGAAGATGCTTGGTCGGGTTTGGCGAACCTGGATTGGCAAAGCCAGTATCTGTAGGAATGTTGGTTTTTCTGCAATTTACCCGGTTAATGTGCTACCGTTTTACGGTCGAGCAATGCCTTCAGAGGTATTATTACTGCTCAAGCAACCAATTCAGCCCCCGTCACACAAGAGTCGAAGCAAGGTAAATGTCAGTTCAAGTTGTAAGACAATCATTGCGCAATCCGCAGGAACTGCATGGGCTACCTCCTTCGGTCACGCATCATCTCTCATTCATTGCGTAGGAGCTTACCAGTCGCTTCATGCTGATCCGGCGTTGTACCTTTTTGAGTAGACTTTAGCTAGCACAATCACTTTATGCGAGTGCCGGCAGCAAATATGCCGTATCTGCCTCATCACTAACAATCCTAAACGAGCGGAATATAAAGTTGGTCGTCTAGCATATTCAAGTGTATTAATCCAAAGTGAGGACCTCCAGGCACAGCCCTGTGGTTGCGGACCAGTTGAGAGAGCATAAACTGAAGGAAGTTCTATCCAATGCATCGATGCTCACGACAGACCATTTGCTTGGTTCTTTGCAGACCGCACTGCTTGAGGGAATGGGAATGGAACATGAAACAATGTACAGAGAGCCTGAAAAACCGTTCGAATTCCCCCTGCCGGATATGACCACTAGCAGTTTAATCTATTGTGATGGCAACGCAACAACAGGTACAATGATCGTCGAGTCATACTTCCCTCCAAAATGAATAGTATGCCGACCTTCATTCAGATTATCGAGCTTCTTTTCGATGTGGCTGGGGAAGTCTGAGCTCGTGTCAATGAAGCCTTGAACACGAAACAGCAGGCTCTCCCCGGCTTCGAAATGGATACCCATGGGCCACAGAGAGATCTCGAGCTTGACGATTTCGCCTGGGGGTACCTTTTCTTCTTTGTCGTGCGGGTGGTACGGAATCATGGGGGTGCTCCGTTCCGGGTCCTTCGCGCGATGCGAAGCGCGGAGGATGCCGGTGGGTCCAGTGTACTGTGACACAGATCCGGTCAGTGCACTGTCCGAATGCGCTATCATAGCATGTCTGGCTGGATTGAACCACTCACCTTGACTGTTTGCGCCATCGGAACATCGTGTTGGGTATTGACCCCCTCGGGCAGATTTTCCCACGGTACATTTACGTGTTCCAATACTTCTCCGCTCTTGCTCAGCTTGCGAATGGACACATAAACATCCAAGTCGTCCTTGTCTCTGCAAGACATCCAAAGTTCTGCCTTGGAATGACCAATAAGTGTGGTCGCTTTGTCGAAGGTCAGCACAAATTCAGACGGCTTTGCTTGGTAGCCATCGACATGATGGGTGACGGAGTCCTCGCTCGCTTGCGGTGAGGTGCTCAACTTTCCAGAGTCTCGCAGGTAGAGTTTACGATACTCGGTCGACGGAATTGGATAGTCAGCAAACGGCACGTCCCATCTCGGGCCCTATCGCAACGTGTTAGATGGTCCTCCATATGCTTCAATAGAACGTACAGGCTCGAAACGATTTCCATATGTGAGAATGGAGACTCTGACTTTAGGAGTTTTCTCCCACCCATTGTCGATGCCCTTCAGATACCGATCGAAGAATCGTTGCAAGTCATCGATGTACCTTGGCGTGTAAAGATCGAACCACTCTTGGGTCGGATGAAAGCGGATCCATTTGTCTTTCGAGGCTGCCGCGTTCCAGCCTCTCACAGTACCAGAACCATGATTCCCCGAAGAATAGCTTGCAAGCGCATATATAGGCACCGTGAGATCACTGGTGTCATAAACTTTGTCTTCCCAGTATCCATTGAAAAGAGGCCACTTTTCGAGCGCTCCACCAATGTCCTCCCGACGATTTCGCCCGCGAACCGTTTTATTGAAAATGAATGAGGCAAAGTTGACCTTGGGAACGCCGCCGCGACAGATCAAGTCGCGATACTTATCCGTGAACGCTTCCCAAGGCGCTATACACTTGAGTGAAGGTGGCTTCTGGATAGCGGTCGCCCACTGCTCCGTTGCCAGCCAGGAATTGCCACACATGCTAACAGCACCATTGCACCATGGCTGTTTTGCGATGAATTCGACTGTATCGTAGCCATCCACACCTGACTGTTGTCAGTAACCGCCGCGTCAATCTCTTCCTGCTGATGGAGCAGCGTCTTTACCCATTTGACTTCCCTCGATATAAAGGTCGCCTTCACTGTCCCAGCTGCCTCGGATGTCTACATTGACGATTGCATAGCCCCGAGGGCACCACTCGGCAGGGTCGGGTCTGCGTCATCCAGTTAGTACGTCATATATGATGCCTCAAGCAAGACCTGTTTACCCTTCGAATTTCTCCAAACCAGAGGTGGCGCTCTCTGGAAGTCCGAGCCGAAAGGGAATGTTGTCGAAGATACGGAAACCTTGCGGCAATGTCACGGTTAGGATTATCCGAGACCCGCACATCAATGTCAGTCACTTACCATGCCCATTTTTCCCATATGGGCTTACCGCCAATATCGCGGGGATTTTTGTATCTGTAACAGGCCTGAAAATGTCACAGTAGATCTTACCAGGCCACCAAATCAGTAATGCTCTCTGCAGGTCTCTCGCAGCTAAGGTACCTTGACTCCGCCTCTGAGCGGGATTTCGACCACTTCATCAAAGATGGTCTCTTCATGCAGGGGACGCCTGCCTTCCGCAAACGTCCAGCCTACAGGAAGTTTCCTCGTGTTCGGAGTCTGCTTCTTGTATGGATACATGTTTGTCTCATCTTCGGGTCTGATGGCAGGTATCCAGGGAATAGGAAAACCACCCAACTCAAGCCTTGGTCCCGTCATGATGCAGCTGTTGTAGCACGGTCGGTAGTTGGTCTTTCTCAGAGATAAAAGCCAGGTCCTGGTAGTCCTTTGGGCGATTCTGATCACATCGTACCTATGTAACTTAAATGGAGCACACTACTGGGTGGAGATTCGCCAGTGTTGATGTCTGCGAGCCAACTTGGTTTCCGCGGAGCTGTTCCGGGGCACTCAGAACCTTGCCGCGACGACCCATACAATCAACTTGAATGTGGCAAGACTTGATTTCATGTCTGCTTACTATAGATACAGTAATTTCGGCCGGTAGGATTCCATGGAATTGTTCTTTCAGAACCTTGGAGGCAAGGCTTTGGTAGAGTGTAGTAACAGTTGTGCGGACTCGATTGTGCTCAAGAATGTCAAAGCCGTCTCGGAAGCTAGTGGTTCAGGATTGATACATCGTAGCATCAGGTACTCTTGTCCGGCGGAAAATCCTTCCGTCGGCTATGCATTGTGGTAGTACAACGTCTCTGGTCACAGAAGGATACTCAGCACGAAGGTGCTAAGGCTCATGTTAACGGGGTTGCAAGATAGCCACTGTGACAAACCACCTAAGACGCTAGCTGTCACACCAATTGCGGCACTTACCTCAACACCGTTGTTCCCACCGACCTGCAACAGCATGGCGACTAAATAGGAGGTTTTAGGAACGGCCTTCAGAGCACAGGCTAAAGTGTATATAAATAGGCAGAGTCTCTCTGAGTAGCGAAGGGACCAAGAACACAACCAAGCAGATAGATCCACTCTCAATATGTGTATAACAGATATCTTCACCCACACCTCTCTCACGATGAGTTGGGCGCAACAGTGTCTGAAGTCGATGGTCGGCGTCCTGTAGACGCAGCTGGAGTTCAGACATCGTGAACCGAATCCCAGTCCTGCAATCACGCAACTTTTCGCCTGTAATAGGGGATTCGTCGTGCTCTGTTTTGCTCTGCGAGTCTTAGAGAGAGCATAATAGGTCATGTGTGGCTTGCTCTGGCGTGCTCTAGGATCCTTAGCCAGATCGTTCCAGAGCACTGTTAGTTAGCGTACACGCGACTCGGCACACCTGTCTCCTAGTTCCTCGTCCTTGTGGTCGCCTTCAGGCCGTGTCGTAACAATATCTAACCTCTATGTCAGCCGTACCGTCCCGCCAGAGGAGACGAAGCGCGTACGGCAGGTATGCTCGCCATCGATCTCGCTAGCTGTAGTCACTTGACGATGTCCGATATCCAGGTTTCCTGTCCAAAAACTTGAAGCTGCGAAAGGATGCACCATGTGTTGCTCAACTAATCTCGACTGTAGCTCACCCTTGCTAAATTAAAACTACTAGTGTGCACCATATATCCGTCACACTCTGCTTTCCAGTGATCGGCAAAGCAGCCACACTGGACGCGTATTTAATTATTGTACCGCTCAAGAAACACGAGAGCATCATGAAGCTCCTTTTTGAGGGTGTCCACATGAGCCTGGCTCCTGGGCTTGACGTTGACCTCGTATGGCAAAGGCATCTTGAGGAGGCCGTCGTTGTAGGCATTGACATCCAGGGGAATGACGTTTCCAGTAACCGGGTCCACCGGCTCGGAAAACTCAAACGCCCACAGCAGTTTTGCTGCAATCCTCCACATACTTCGTTCTGCCATATGCATACCTGGGCAGATCCTACGTCCGGCACCGTAACCGTAGTGGTGTAGAACATCACAAGTTAGCGACTATGTTCCTCTGAGTGGCGCGATGGAAACTTATCTCGATTCGCCCAGTCCGGGCTACCAGCATACTCGCTGGCTAGTTTCGGGTGACCCAAGTACCTATCAGGGTTGAAGATGTCTGGATCTTTGAACTCCGACCCGTTGTGGTGGATTGCCCAAGTGCCCATGAAGATGATACTGTTCTTTGGAATGAACATGCCCTTATACCAGTCGTCTGTCATCGAATTAGTATGGCATATTTGTTAGAAACCAGGCATGGGGACTTGTTTTGTATCACGACATACCTGCACTGTTGCGATGCATCAAGCCCACCGGGGCCCTGTTGTTTATTGATGTCAGAGAAAATTGAGCTGTTGCGTGTAAAAGCATACTTACACGGGACGCCACCTCATTCCCTCCTTTGCAGTGGCATTGATGTAGGGTAGATCAACAAAATCGGCCCAGGCAGGGCTCCGCTGCGTTCCACAAACTCTGTCGAGCTCCTCTCGCGCTCTCTCTTGAACTTTGGGGAGTTTGGCGAATGCCAGAATTAAAGTTAGTAGTTGACTTGCCGTGGTGTCGGCACCGCCTTCGACAATCTCTCCCAGGACATGGCTGAAGTCGTAATCCGACATCGGCCAGCCGTTCTTCTCGTACTCTTCCAAGAGATGGTCGGCAATGCAATCGCGTACGTCACCTAGTTTCCTTCTCTTGTCAATCAAGTCTCGAGCATGAGCCCAGAGTTCGTCGCTCTCGTCGCGTGAAAACCAGATTCTCCTCTTCCAGGGGGCCAAGAACCCCGGAATCAATTTCAGAATGGGGAACTCATCTACAGGAGGGATAGCCCCTGGTTCCATGATCTCGGATCTCTAGTCCGTTATTTGTTAGTAACAATTCGTCAGCGTTCCGGAAGAATACAGTACATGTTCAATCACATCATACATTGCCTGTCAAACGTTAGAAAATCCCGCTTGCAACCAGCCAGACATCATAGCGCAGCACACTTTACTCCAAAAAGAGTCAAATCTCGGAGCTCTAAATCCGTGGACGATAACGGTAGCTACCGATGCAGCATATCGCCGGACATGGTAGAAACAGTGCTGTGGTGAGTCCAAAAGATCGTTTACGAGAACCGCCGCTCTGCCCGTATTCAGTCAGCAAGCTTTGCATGTCCACTCGTGGTATCAATCCTCTGCATACTCAGCTTCCTGGACCCTGTAGTGTTTTTCGTCGAGTTGCTTGGGTGACAGGTTGTGAGCGAGAATACGTCGCTTGTCCCTCCACATACTGTTCGCCGAGCCACCGAGTGAAATTCGACTAGATTGTCTGGCTTCATGGATAACATAATTCCTCGGGCGCTCAGAGTAGATGGACCCTTTCTTATCCAACAATTCGTGAATCGCCTCCCGATCGCATAGCACGATGGCATCTGTGGAACCCAGCTTGAGCGAGAAGATGGGTCCGTATTCCTTGGACCATATCTGGAATCTGGACAGATTGGTAAGATTCGATGAATTCTGTCCCTGCCTTTTTTGGGACATACTGCTTGTACATGCCCGTCGGAGGGATTTGGTGAGCATTTCCTAGGATTGGCACAGTTGGAGGACCAGGTGGCATGTCTTTGTGTCTTTTGGAGCGGACAATGAGGCGGTAAAGGGTTATGCCAATCAAGCTCAGGAGGCCCACAAATGACAGCCCCAGGGTGTAGCGAGCATTGCCGGCAAACAGATGCATCTTTGCTCGTTTGTCTGGACTTGGCTGTTCCTCTGCGAGCAGACGACACAAGTAAAGTAATGTCTGGAAGCTTGGCAGGAACTGCAGGGTCTTCATTTTTGATATCCTTGGCCGAACTAAACAGGGAAAGATCGCGTCGGACTTCTGGTGGTTCCTCCTCCCGGACGGTGTTCAGCAGCCGGAGTTTTGACGCGTATCCAAGGCCTAAGCCTTACCTTTCGGTTAGGGATGGTCTCCATGGCGCATGGAATTCTGTATCAAGAATGATGGCCATGCAGAATTCCCATTCAACGCCTGGATAGTATTAACGCCTCCCTTTCCATTCGGCCACGATTCTATCGGAAAATAACAGGGTGGGTTCGCGAAAGGCATACATGTAGGAGTCTTATAGCTAGGTTGAATGGAGTCACTCATCTTCTCCAACAGAGTGGCCTCCGATAGCTGGAGACACTCGAGTAATAAATTCTCAAGGAAACTTTTGCTCGATGCCGATATAAACTTCAAAGACCACCAGCTAGCATTCCTCCGCTACGACGCCGAGCACCATCGCATCGCCATCATAGAATGTTTGCCGCTCTCAGGGCAACTTGTTCGCCGTTTCGCGGAGACTGAGGGAATTTCCTCAAGCAAGGCAGGTAACTACTGCCTAAACATGTCATACGACATACCAAAATCATGTCTTCAGTGAGGGCTCTGAGGATAACACGCCACCATCTTCCAAGCAGATTCATGAAAGGCGAATCCTCGAGGAATTTATATTATGTGGTCAGAAGAATAGGTTGCATCTGAGATTCTCTCAAGCGACAGCTATGTCCAGTCAGAGTAGTTAGTTGATTAGGGGATTCTTAACCCAAGATACATCGCACACGAAGTCCTGATTCGGGAAAGACTCCCACTCTACGGTACATGGAGTTGCCACCTGTTACAGCTAATGTGAAAACCTTCCCCCAATCCAACAGACACTCAAGCAACCTCCTTCTCATATTTTTCGCTGTTTGTGTCATGTAAGCCCTGGTTCAGAACGGCTGCAACCTTGTTTATCATCTGATGGTCAACGTTTGTGCAATTCCCGACGTCAGTGCCTGTAAGAAACATTAAGCGCTCTGGACTGTTAACCCGGCGCCGACAAAAACGGCTCGCGAACTGTGATGCAATGTTCTTTGTCAATTGGTTTTGAAGAACAACCGTGGAAACGGCTGTACAGATACTGCCCATCACGGGCCACAAGACTCCCATAACACCGGCCGCGATCCCAGTATCGTCTTGATTGGGGATTGCTATGGTAGTAATGGTGATTGGCTACACCATTGGTATACCCGGCAAAGGTAGTTCCAGGGAAAAGCAGTGCTTACAAGTGGCGACGCCTCTCAGCTAATTAGCTCACCAGATCGAGGGGGGAAGAAAGTTGAGAGAGAAAGGGGACAAAAGCAGCGGGGAAGCAATAACTTACATGACAGGAAAACTCCCCCGACCTCAAACCCAAATATTAACCGCAGTCTTGTCTTCCCCAAGGGTTTGGCGACTAGACAGCCGAGAATCTGTCCTGTCGTAATCCCAGCCGCGTCAGCACGGGACAAATAGCCTGCGTACATTGTATCGCTGGGGCGTGCGTAGAGAACACCAACCGTGTAGGCTACACCAGCGCAAAAGCATAAAAGACGCCCCCACAGAAGCCGATAACAAGGACTGTGGCTACCTACTGTCCGTTCTCGAAAAATCTGACAGGGATAAATGGCTCAGGTACGGGCATGAATGTTCGGTACAATCCAAAGGCGATTAACGTGACGCCGCCGACCACAATCGTCGCGACAACATGTGCAGATTTCCATGGATAGACAGAACCACTTTATATGAGGCCAATAAAGAAGAGTACGATCCGACCAATAAATAAAGCTGTCCCAAAGTAGTCATATCGCTTTACATATTAGATGATTCTGTCTTCGCCATATTTCCGCTGGAAAGTAGGTAAGAAATAAAAGGCCGCAAATAAGACCAAGGCGAGACGGTGCCATATAATTAGATAGTAGTAGCACCAGCGCCATCCATTTCTGGTGTGGGAAGTAAAGTCGTAGGCCGTGGCGGGTCCGAAACGGGAGGTTGGAAACTGGAAAAGATAGACAAAGGATTTTGTAGCGAATCGATATTTCCTAGGAATGATTTCACCCATGATGAAAGATTAAGAGGCCCCCGTTGACGCAGCGGGGCCAACTAAGAGTTAGGTTGACAGCCAGACAAATAGTGCACGTTAAGGCGACCCAGACAGTATTCCCGGTTGGGAGCTAGAACTGCGGGGCCTCCAAAAAAAATTGAAGCAGAGGGTCACCATTGTGCCTATAAGGGAAGAGCTATAAAAGTATCCCTTTGGGGAGACTTGAATACTCCGCTTGACAGAAGCACATCACAGGAACGGCTTCTGCATCAGCTACAAGCACCAAGGCTCTAGCAGTGTGATCGTAATCCACAGCCGAGGCTGCGGATCCAATGCAAAATATCGACTGTGCTATTCCCAGAATTTGCCCTCATCTGCAATAGCACATGCTTGGGTTGGCTCAAGCCGCCTTCATTCCTTCACAAAAATCGAAAAACAGCTGCTTGTTTATTTCCACCAAAGAAGGGTAATTGGTGCGAATCGGGGACGAGTTATCCGGGTAATTTGGGCTGTCTGGAGCGGCCATACATATCACATAAGTCATATAAATTTGCCGGGTGGGAGGTCTCGAGAGCGACGTTGGATGGAGGAAGAATCCATGATCTCTAAGCTGGATTCTAAAGGAACATGCATATTTATCGGCCCTCCAGTTCCCTCCTAAGCCTTTGAAGGTCCACCAGGAAATTCTCCCCACAACGTCTTATTACACCGAGTTTCAGTGTGGGTTTGACTGGTTTTCTAAATCTCTCGGAATTCGAGTACTCGCGATGGCGCAAGCAGCACCCGCCGGCTCATTTGCAAACCGCACGATCATTGTTACCGACGCAGCAGGTAGTATAGGTAGACCCCTCTGCCTGGCTATTGCTCAAGCTGGCGCCAATGTTGTTGTGAATGACATTGGCTGCTCTCCTGATGGAAAAGGCTCCTCGAAATCCCCAGCTGAACAACTCGTCCATGAGATTGCCTCTCAAGGCTTTTCTGTCGTGCCAGATACGCATAACGTGGCAACCGAAGTAGACAAGGTTGTCGAGACAGCTATCACCAAGTTTGGGAGTGTGGATGTTATCATGAACAATGCCGGTATCATAACTTACGGGCCGATAGCAGCCCAGGATCCGGGAACGGTACGCAAAGTATTCGAGGCCAACGCGCTCGGCGCCATTGCGCTCTGTCATTACGCCTGGCTATACATGAAGAATCAACAATATCGGCACATTATCAACTTTACCTCAGAATCCGTCTTCGGCATGCCATATAGCACAGCATACGCCCTTTCTCGCGGCGCCCTCCTTGGAGTTACGAAATCGCTAGCAAATGAAGGACGTCAAGACAATATTCTGGTCAACGCCATCGGACCATCATCCCATTCACGCATGGTTGCAGACGTCATCAAAGACCTACTGGAAGAACAGCAAGCGAATTTCAAAAATGCCTTCACCGGGGAGTCCAACGTCCCGGTAATTTTGGCCCTTGCTAGCGAAGATCTCAAGCATTCTGGTCAAATTTGGTCGTCTGGTAACTACTCAATGAGCCGCATAATCCTAGAGACGGTTAAGGAGGTCAAACCACTCGTTTCTATGGACGAGTGCTTGTCTGTGATGGACGAATTGTTAGACAAAGACAGAAAGTGGGCAGAACCACAAAACATGCAGGAATTTTGGGACTTCAAGGCACAAGCTTGAGGGCAGCAGAGGGAAATGTTGCTAACACTAAAGCAGCGAAAGATGGATATCACGAAGAGTTATAACTAGTCGCCTGAATGTCGCGGTGGGAATTGAAAGCCTAGGTAGGCCCGAAATTAGCTCTCCCGTGTCGATTATTTGTTCCATGAGTGTCTGCCAGCAGTACTTCGAAAGCTTCAGTACCGGTTGGTAGACGGCGAGAAGTCTCCGTACATTCACTTTTGGCCCATGGAAGGCGCTTAAAGAATGTAAAACAAACGGGAAGTCCCCGCCAACGTGGCAGTAAAATTCAGAACAAAGTGATATGTCCAGAGTTGTGTATCCCATTGAGTTCAAGTTGTGAAATAGTAGTCGGCTGTTACCCAATCTTAGCGTAACGGAATCTCCCAGACTCGATATACTCATGGGCAGAGTAATTCTGCCGTCGCATCAACTGCCTGTGCACCATATTCTGGACGCAGCGAACCTAAGTTGCTCGCATCAAGCTCCCTGTGCGAATTCGGGAACTCCGCGTGGGCCAATCTCGACACGCTGTAGAAGTTTTTTTTCATTGTCACCATTCTGCAGACGTGTGATGTAGTCTTCGGGATCAAAGTCTGTGCCAATGGGGTTTTCGGCGAAAAAATTGGACTTCATAAAGTCTGTTGCTTCATCGGGGTTCTCAAAATTATCCACCTGTGTTTCGATCATGTTCCCATCAGGATCTCGGTAGTAAATCGAAGTTTTCGGGCCATGATTTACGGGCCATAGCGGAGATATGCTTTGTTGTTTACGCTGTCGGTAGGCAAGAAGGAGGTCTGAAAGGGTGTTGAACGTGAATGCGATGTGCTCAAGGCCGCAAGTCAGAGGGTTTTTGGGTTATGTTCCAGGAATTGCTGCAATAGCAATGCGGTGATGCTCCTGGTCATAAGTCAGGAAAGCAAGAAAGTCATTTTCATAAATCACTTCCGCCCCAAGGAACTTGCGGTAAAATTCGACCATGTTTCTGAAATTGTTGGTGCGAAGCACAACATGGGCCAGCTTACTGGGCGAGAAGACCTTGGTAGTTGACTTATCGAAGTCTGCTCCCATGATGATTGTGAATCTGTGAGGGGTTCGCTAAGCAACTGCTGCTATTTCCTAACGGGTTGAAACTAGACTTCAGATAGACGTGATGATGTGGCGGTCGCAGATATAGCTTTGTTAGGCCTAGGTATCAAAATCTGGGCGACTGTATCATCCGAGCTGGTTCTTGGTGTTGTTCCATCAGTGCCAACCAGAAAGGCGTTCTCGATTCCCGATCTGCTGGACAGGCCTCTGTGCGTTGTTGCACGTGCACGCCGAACCCTGAAGTGCTCTGTTACAATATAAATAGACAGTGAGAGATCCGTTAAAACACCAAGGAATGCTTTACAAAGAGGCGGCGGCGAGGTCAGGAATGGCAGGAATGGAATGGCAGGAATCCATTTCTACAGACACGAGGCACAGAAGTTGACGTCACCTAATTTTGGTGGCGCTAGACTCTTACAGTTAATTAAGCGAAGTCGCTTTTGTACGAAGTCGCAGTCGCAGTCGCAGTCTGGAGTCATTCCCAAAGTTCAGGTGACCACGGATATTATAAGGATCATCAGATCTTCGGACTACAAACTCTCCGAATCCACCTCCAAACTCGGCGTTGGCCAACAGTGCCAATTCCGAGCACGTTAATGCTGCCTTTGAGCAGGAGATGAACTGCACAAACTAGGGACTCAGAGCATCTGATTCTCCGTAATTAGAACCTCTTATATCCAAAACGTCCGAAATGAAGGTCAGAGACGGCATTGGAAACGGCACTATCTGGAGTGTAGTTTACAACCAAATATCGACGATTTATCACAAGCCTCAGGAAAAGAAAGAGGAAGAAAGCCGGCCAGTTACGATGTATGTCCACTAATTCTGGTCCTACAACCTCATGAGTGATGTATTTATGAATGCCTTGTTCAGGTCAGTCAGGCGATGCTACTTGTTGGCAACTCTGTAAAACGCTTCTCGAGCTTGTTGCTTCTCTAGCTCCATCATCGTCTCGACCGTCCAGTCTTCGTGCACGTGACCCTCGGGAACGTTGGTCGAAACAAAAGATGTCCCTTCCTCAATGCTCTCCGCTGCTTCATCACATCTTTCGTAAGCGTACTTTTCTGGATTATGGACGTATAGCCACATAGGCTGGGGCATCTTGAGAAACTGTGGGTTTGCGGCAACAGCTTCCCAGTCCGTCTGATGCCAGCGATGTCTCGTTTCCCAACCCATACGTTGCGTGAGGCTGGTCCTTTCGTACCTATAGTTGGTCCGTTAGAAAGTGCTTATTTCGAATGCTTTAAGGTTAGCATACCTAAGCTTCTCAAAGGCTCTAAAAGCAGCAGGAATAGCCTCTTTCCTTAGTTTATCCAACAACGCCGCGATCGTGGCAGCATCTTCGATCGCTTGTGCAGCACCTTGGCCGGATGTTGGAAGATGGGGATGAGCTGCATCGCCAACAAGTGTGATGTTACCAGTGTCAGAAACCCATTGGCGAATTGGACCGCGCCAGAGAAGTTTCCAGTCAATCAACTTCTCTGGGGTATTGCTTTTATGGCCGCGCGAATCACAGGATCCCAATCGTCACAACTTTAAGCATATTATTCAAGTCCCCTCGATAGCTCCACGACTCTTCAACCTCATAGGTGTCCTATGGTGACTGTCAGTACTCGTTAAGGCGTCTTAATAGAATATATAAACGGAAGGTTATCGAACCTTATGAGTGCAGAAAATTATAGCCGATCTTAGATCCATTAATATAAATAAGATGGCGTGCGTATCGGCGCCAAGCCAGACGCAGAACAAGTCTTCGTCGGTTTCGGTGAACTTTTTGGTTAGCGGATCATTTGCCAATAGATCGAGAGGAAACTAGGTGCGGTAGACGGCAAATCCGCTTATACGCGGATGCTGATGGATGCCCATGACATGCTTTCGTGCCGCACTGTGGATTCCGTCCGCCGCAATCACACCGTCTGCCTCGATACGTTCACCCTCGATCACGACCCTAGCGCGGTCAGTTTCTTCAAAGTACTCGTTGACACGTTTGCCAAATCGGAACTTGATGCCGAGGGATTTCGCGTAGTCGAAGATCAGGCCTGCAAATGCCCACGATTAGAGAAAAGAATGGGATATCCGCCCATTTCTGACGGGGGCGGGGGTTGGAATAGGACTCTCCCAGACTTATCGAAAATGGTCATAGTCGGGGGCTGGGCTGATTGCTTAATTGCTTCCTCGAGGACATTGACCCAACTCGACATGACAGTCGTGGCGTTAGACCCTATTTGGATGATATCACCTGCAAGAGATGAGCATGCTTTAAGCATAAAGCAGAAATTGGCGCAAAGGTAACAAACCTTGGGTGGTCAACTCTGGTACCACTTCCACTACTTCGACTTCGAAGCCTTTCCTGGTCAGTTCAATGGCAACTGCCAGTCCAGCGTAACCAGCGCCCACAATGGGGAGACGCCCACGAGGGGCTCCATTTACGGCGTCCTTGACGGCAGGCATTCGCAAAAGAGTGTGTAAAGAGATTCCCTGGTATTTTGGTAGAGATACTGGTCGGTCGTAAGTTTCCTATTTAGTGTTCATGCTGAGACGCACCACTCGGCTAGCACGGTTTGTTGAAGGCTCCGGGAGACGGCCAATCCGCCACACTGCGGGCAAGAGGCCAGGCCTGAAGGAGATTCGGCGTTCCAATGTCCGGATAACTCTGTTCTCTGCCACTCAGAGGGGGCGCCAGCTAGGGCAACGAACGCCTAGCTGTCCGGCGGCATTGAACGGAGGGACAGGACTGACAAAAGCACTTATGAATAGCTAGACGGCATCAAAAGAACCATGACAACTGTTTTTTCATTTTTTTTTTTCAAAACTGTAGAGAATGGCACACTGCCAGCACTATGAACTGTCCTGCTCTCAGCTCTCCAATTAGGTTTGACATGTGACCTGACAGACCTCTGCCCTGCCAGTTCACCACCACCCCAGCATTGCAAGTTGAAGATTCAGTGTGCACGGGACAAAGAAGATAAAACGATCGGGATGAGACGGTGGTCTTGTTTCTGAAGTTGAAGCAGGGCAAGCCGAAGACCCCAGCTCTGAAAGAGCAGATCAAAAGGCGGATCGGCGAAACTCTCAGCAAGCGGCATATCCCGAAATATGTTTTCTACGTGGACGATATTCCGTATTCGAACGTGGGAAAGAAGCTGGAAATCTTGGTCAAAAACATCATTAGCGGACGACGGGCCGAATCAACTGTGGTGGAAAACCCGCAAAGCCTCACACAATATAAGAAGTACTTCAATATTGAACAGGCTGACAAAGACGAAAAGGTCGAGGAACGACCTAAACTCTGAAACATTACAGTTAGGCGGAATCTGAGCCCGTTAGGTTATACAGAGACAGCCAACAATATGGCTTGTCAAAAGAAAGGAAGCTGGGTGTTTGGAATCGCATAAAGATGTAGCAACGTTGTCACACGACACCCTCGACAGCCAACTTGAATCCGATTTGTTCCCACTGGACATATAATACTACTCTCCGTCCGTTATATCCTAGCTGACATGCTAAAGTCTCACTGACATTCATCGAGATACCGTTACTGTGGTTTGGCGCAGTTAGGAGGACCTTTTTCAACAGGCATATGACCCCCTATAAAAACTCTGCAGTTTGGTTCGAATACAATTGGGACGTCGATATTTTGCAATTCATTTCTTGTATTGGCCATCAAGCCAGTCATTTGGGCCTCTTCCTCAGCACCGCTTCTTAAAGGTTGTCAAATATAGGCTGTGAGGTCCGCCATTCGACTGAGCAGTCCTTCAATGATGGGCCACAATTCCAGCAGGCATGAATCGGCAACGTTTTCATCATTCTCGATTCCACACTGTAGGCCTTCGTCGTAGATGTGGGTTTACCGATACCGCACACGTGCCAGCGGCGTTGTCAAGAGAGTGGGTTTCAATTACAGTGGGATGGTGGGCTGCAACTCGCGGGCCTTTCCATCCAGGAAGAAGGGTGCTTGAGAGATTTGCTGTTGACAGCAGAACGCCACCGTGGCAAACCAACCAATCCACCAATCCTTCAACCGAGGCCTCTCTATAATAGCCTCGGTGCCACCGTTGATCGACAACGAGGTCTGGACAGATCTGGCCAGGTCCAGATCTATTCAGCGGATCGCTTGTTGCCACAGTGCAACTAGTATATAGATAGGCAGAGTCTCTCTGAATAGCCAGGCGGAGAGGACACAATCAAGCACATAGATCCACTCTCAATCTGTGTATTACATTTGCAGTGCATATAACTCAGAAGAATCCGGAAAGGGACGGTCGTTTTCGAAAAGAATAGTTTTGGCGCAAAGCATTAGGCAAAAGTTTCTAGTACCCATGGAGGTTCACAGGCGGGAAACTTGGACATGCCATCCGAATATCGAAGTTATCTGCTACTGCACAATCTCTCTCTCATCGGTGTCAGCCCCGCGTCCAGCGAAAAAATACTAGAATCCGCTTTCTAATGCTGAATGCACAGCTCATTGGTATTATTTTTCCTTCCTCAATTCTTAGAAGGAAAGCAGAGTAGTTCAACAAGAGAAACCAAGGCCCTCGGCGGCACAAAATGTTCTCTGTAATGGGTGTTCAGCTCACAGGAGTCCTTGTCTCTACGACTGTTGTTCACACAGATAAAACACATAACAGGGTCTAAGCATAACTTCCGGTCCCTTAAGTGCATGATGCTGTTCCAGCATCATTACACCAGTAATAAGATAGAAGTCCGCAAAGACCTCGTTTGCAATCAGTGTCACAGCGTCGTGTGCTTCTATCTGATCGTAGAGTTGCACTCACCAACCCGACTCCCTGCAACGCCGAGATGAAGCTTATCGTTCGTCACCTAAGGGCCAAGCTTGTTCGTAATTTGACCATATCTGTCTTCATTGTGAGCGCAGCCGTCAATCTGACAATCTTGCGGAGACAATAAGCTCCCTGACCTGTGATAGGTGGAATAATACACGGATTGAAGAACCATCAGGCAGGTAAGCGAGTCCACCTGTCTTTACTTTGCCCCGATGGATTCAACCCCGATGTTCTCGGGCGTCAGCCGGACGATCTTTGCAAACTAATGTTTCTCCGCATCGGCTTTATAACGCATCTTGCAATCCCGGGCTCAACGAGAATGTTACCCTTAACCTTAAGACTCTCTCCGGCTTGACCACTTGACCGTGTAAATATCTTACTCTAAGCACGTATCGCTAAGTAGAATTTGCGTCTCCCAACCTCTCCTCTGTTAACCCTCAACATGGGCAACGTCGAAGCAAACCGCCAACTCGCCCACAAAATTGTTGAGACATGGTCGATCGATGTAGGTGGCGACGTTGATCCATTTTTCAACCTCTTCCACGATGACGCCACATTTACCACTATGGCGCAAAAAGGCATGCTTCCCATCCTCGCCGGCACACTGGACAAGAAAGGCTTCCGCGACTGGGTGTACAAGGAGACACGCGTCTCTGCCACGAAGCTGAAGGTCGAGGGCATCACCGCGGACGAGAATCGACTCGCCTTAGAGGCCAGCTCCGATATGGTCGTCAATGGGAATTCGTACCAAAACTGTTACCACTGGTTGTTTGAGATCCGTGACGGCAAGATCTCGGCGGCACGATTCTACCTGGACACATTGTTTGCGAAGAAGGCGATAGAGTGGGTGGAGGAGGCCGAGGAAGCGGCGAGAACGAACCTGAAGAAATCGGTTAACTGACGGTGGTGTGGAAGATTGGGAGATATAGAGAGCACGACGTATAAGTTGCACAGGTTGTGTATACCCACGAATTTTGAAATGAACGGACTCGGACAACTGGGGTAAAAGGCTTCTTGTTCTCTAGTGAATCAAACTTAGAGACATCTAGCCACAACGCACAACGCACTCTGCTATAGGTTTAGGTTAAAGGACAAGGCTTGGGACTCCTGGGACTATCTCCTTCATTGCTCGACCCGCCGATCTCATTTTCCTTCCCATCAGTTTTCATTCTTGTTCACCAACGGAAAAGAAACATGCATCTCCTTGATAGATTCTGGAGGTTAACATGAAGGGGAGGGTTCTCGCGGATGTTTTCGATTGCTTCATGGCTACTCGCGTTTGCGGCCTGTACACGTACGCCGTCTGCTCTTATGCAGACTTTTTCGGCGACTCTTCCAGTGCCACGGTGTCTACCTCTGTTGAAAGCTGGCCCTAACCTTATGTCGTTCAACTTCTTGTGTCGTTTGAAAAGATTGCCTCTGTTGTCTTGCTGTTCTTGACCTCTCGGTGCTGAATGTTAGTGATTGTGTCGACAGGGTCTCAAGGTAGCCACTGTGGCAAACCATCTAAGACGCTAGCTGTTTCACCAACTGCGCCACACCGTTGTTCTCGCCGATCTGCCAGAGCATGGCGACGGAATAGGAGGTTTCAGGGACGGCCTTTCGAGCACAGGCCAAAGTGTATATAAACAGACAGAGTCTCTCTGAATAGCCAGAGGGACAGAACGCAATCAAGCACATAGATCCACTCTCAATCTGTGTGTAACAGATTGTTACTATATTTTCTTTGTCCTTTCTTCTTCCTTGATTTGGTGTTGGAGTCGCTCCCCGGTTTTTATAGACACAGATCTTTGCTCAGAATTCTAATTCTGAAGGGCCATCATATTCTTGCTTTCAAATCAGAATCAGGATTGTATCAATTTCCGCCTCCAGGGGCCGAGTATTGTCAGGCAGTCTGCGCCACCTACAGCATCTGAGGTATTCCACGCAGATGTCATTCACTCGTATGTCATCCACCTCTTGCGGCAACTACCAGCCCAGTGGAAGTCAATTGTTCCGCTGCTTTGATGGCAGCACTCCATGTTTGACGCGTTCAGGATTAGTCTCAGGCTACGTGACATTCCTGCTGTTCGTGGAACTGGCGACCCTGACTATTTTCTCGGTGCGTATAGTGTTCAGCGATAGGAGACTCTGTCCGGGAGTCCACAATCTAGAAATTTAGGAAGGGACAATTCGAGGGGCTATGCATGGGTGGTCAGGGACCAGTATTATTGGAACACACTGTCATTCAAGACCATCCGGTGATATGAGCAGAGCAGGGCTGCTCAAGCTACTCGAAGAGGATAGGACACGCGCAAGTTCAATTTCGACAATGCTGCTCCACGGTCTTACAGAAGGCTACAGTGATTCATCTAGTACGCCGGCCTCTTTCACCAGTTTGTAACCAACATCCTCCACTGTCGCGCTCTTCAGAACCTCTTGAGCCTTTGGATTTTGCCTGCCTCTCTGGATCTGGTCCATCGGAATTTCGGCCGTGTCGAACTCGTAGAAAACCAGATGCTTCGGTCCGCCAGGAACTAAGGATTGCACCACATTGTAACGGGTCGCGCGGCGGAAAGATGACATTTTTGTAAGCGCTGGCAGAAATTCAGCGTTATACCACCTGTCAAACTGGGCCACATCTTCGCTCGGTATATTAATCGACTCTGCTAGGAGGTACGAGCTTCGACCTTTAACCAGTATTTAGCCTCACGCATTAAGTTATTACGAGGAGCTTGAGGATAAGAAAAGAATAACAACCTTTTGTTGCGCTCGGAGGCTCGAACACCTGAATACGCGCGCCAATCCTAAGATCCAGCTGAGCCAAATCCGTGAACTGATGTGCATCTATCTCCTCATGTCCCCCTTTGGGGATATTGTCAAATTCTTCCGTTCCCGCAAAATTGATATCCTTCACGGGATATACCACCAGCCAGGAATACTTAGCATTAGGGTCTAAAGCCTCGTACCGGAGAGCAGTTTTCATTCCACTCGTAGCTATGACATCAGGTATGTGGATATTATCGTACCAGGACATCAGGGCATCGTCGGGGAAAAGATCTGGCCTGGCGTTCGTCGAGAAGGCGCCGATAATACCGCGCACAGCCATTTTGGCTTCTCAAATTCAATTTTGAAGCGTTTTGTATGTAAAGATGAAGGAGGTGCAGTGTCTCCAACCTAATAGCCCTTACTTAAATTTGGGGGGTCAGCCCCAGGAAGGTCCTTTTACTAGGAGGCAACACGTCCTATTTTCCGGGCTATCGGACAAATGAATGCCGGTTTTGGCAGTTCGCTGTTATGTACGTAATCCAGACTTTTTATTGTTGAATCAGCCCGGGCCGGTTCTTGCCCAGTTCTACAAATTGAAGTGGTTCAGATGAACCACTTGTGCGACTCGGCCTTAACGTATTCATGAGCGAGAGCTAGTTGTTGTGTTCAAACTAAGAGCGCGAGAGCTGGTCTCCAGCCCTGTATCCGAACACCATTCCTGGCCCGATAGTAGCACCTGCTCCGGGGTATGTGCCAGCGAAAACAGAATTTTGGTCAGACCCAACAGCATACAACCCTGGTATAACCTCACCGGCTTCGTTCAACATGTCCGGAAGCCGTACACTGTGCAAGTGAGGGATTAGGTACATTGCTAGGTTTACCAAAAGATTTGTCAAAACTGCCCTCTCCACGCTGGAAGTCCAGATCCTTGCCCTCAGGGGCAAAATTGTTGAACTTTCGACGGTGTGGGTTAAAGTGTCGGGATCGACATCAATCTCCCTCGCCAACTCAGACAAAGTGCGGCCGCGAATGACGTATCCTCGGCGAATATACTGAGAGAGTGGATATGGCCATGGGAGGGCCGCTCCAACTCCATATCGGCGGATGAATCGGTGATCACAAATAAAACTCGTTAGCCTTCAAGCGTGCTCCTACGTTGGGACATTCATATCCTTCGATTGACTAGCAGGGATACTTGCTGGGATCAAAAGTTGAGCAAAGGGCGATGTGTCTCTTCCCCTTCGACACACTACACGACGGGAAAGCCGATGAGGTTCGAAGTATGAAGATATCGGGGCTGGAGCTGATCTTGAGAATATTTAGCTCCTTGACAAGTTTAGAGATAGAGAGCAATTTATATGGCAGCGGCGTCAATGACTTGAAGGAGAGCTCACCAGGAGTGTCTGTCGGCCTTATTCTGCTGAAGACCATAGAGCGTGAAAAGGCAAGGGCTGGGAAAAGACAAGGGCTGGGATTCTTCAACTCTCTAGGCAGTCTCAATCGTATAGGTCATATTGCATCATTCAAGACTGAACAGGAATGCCTGTAGTAGTATATTGTAGTCAACAAAAAAAGAAGTCTCAAAATGACAGCAAAGAGGGGTGCAATCCCTCCTGTTTTCACTGTTGTTGGTCTTGTCTGAGAACGACTTAACTTAGTGGGTGCGACAACCTCCTTGCTGAAGTGACCGCTTGTCAAATACGGGGAAGATCTAGGCTTGAACGACGTCCACAGCTTTATTGTTGTCAGTACTATTCCTGCTGAAAGTTAACCTGCTTGTTGATGGGAGGGTGGACGTACTCTGTGTTTTAAGAAGCTTGATGTGTAAGACGATAGGCAGATGTCTTCTTTGACAGTACTAATCAATGTATTCACCACGCGGTCTGTCCTCCATCGACCTAGGCCACCGACCGTTAGCGGACTGATACATGGTGCTCCTTGACAGAGACACCTCACAATGAAACTTGCACCTGATACATATGTTGCTCTGCTGGAACCTGTGAGGTCAAAATTGAGCGTCAGTCCTTTCCACTTCGTCCAAATTTGCTACTGATATAATAGTGAGTCAAGGAGGACTTACATAAAAACACGACCACATCCGCAATCTCCTGTGGTGTCCCCAACCTTTTCATCGGCGTAAGGGTATCTACGAACGCCTCCGCAAACCCTGGTGCGCCGGCTCTGACCATTTGGGTATCCACAACTCTGTTGATGAAATATTTAAATGTGAGAAAGCAGAGACCGTTGCCTCTCACGAGTATGGTAAATGGAAGGGTGTACCTACCCAGGACAGACCGCATTTATGCGGATGCCTTGACTGGCGTAGGTCGATGAGTCGGACTTGACAAGGCCTACCACAGCTGTATCTACCTTGTCAGATTCGATGGCCTAAAGAAGGCTAGATACCGAAAAGGGTGAGGTAGAAACAAGAGTCACTAGACTACGAGAAACCTACCATGTTTTGACATAACGTACGGGGTCTGGTTTGGAAAACCTAGAAACCCGGCAGTCGACGCCACGTTGACGACTGCGCCTCTGTTTCCTGGACGTCCATCGCTGTATAAGTTCGTAAGTTAGATCAGAAGTTGCGCAGTAAGATTGCCATTTCACTTAACTGGGTCGGCAAGGGTTCCTGCTTCAACATCTGTTTTATCTGTGCCCTCTCGCAAAGCCACACAGATTTCGCGTTGATGTCTTGTACAAAATCATAGCCCTTAGTGGAAATGTCGACTATCGGCTTTAATTCTCCCGCAACTCCTGCAAGTCCATAACAAGTTGTCAGCGCGTTCTCAGGTTCCTGGTAAGCCCACACAGCCACTACGCTTGTCTAGTGGTAAGGTAGGAAAAGCGTTCGACGCACCAGCAACGTTGAGCCCATAGTCAAGACGTCCAAAATTCTTCACGGCGATGTCTACGAGGCTTTGCGCCGTCTGTTCCAGGCCGATGTCCCCCGCTTCGACGACGACTTCTGCCTCCGGGTTAATCTTCTTGGCTAGTCGGGCTGTCTCCTGGAGTGAGTCTTTGTGGATGTCGCTGATCACGAGACGTTCACACCCGTCGCGAAGGAGCTGTTCCACACATGCCCGTCCTATACCTCCGCCTGCTCCCGTCACCAGTGCGGATCTATCGGAGGCTTGTGAGCATGGTGACTCCGCAAAGTACACGTAAGAGTGCTCACCCCTTCAACCCGAGCGGCATTGTAGTCTAGGTTGCTGGTTGCTTGTGTTCTCGGATGGAATCTGTATCAACCAAGGTAAAACACGAAAAGGGGATCCCCCTTCATATCGTCCCGCTCTGCCAGAAATGCACACAAAGCTATGAGCGTCACTGGTCTGAGATCCATTTCGGGCCGAGCGTAAATGGGAAATGCCACGTAAAAATGTGTCCGGCCTCATCTGAGCAGTTTGTCCGATTTATTTTGGTCTGGCCCAACATTTTGTGGCTATAAAGCACTGACTCCGCATTGGACATTTTGTTTCGCACCTAACAGTCTTCAGGCTACTGATCTCTCGAATATATGCCTAGAATCTATGACTCTGATACGAAGCAGAGAATTGCAGAAAGTACTTGGACGAAAAATGACAGTTCAAGGTAAAAAGGCTGTACTGTGAGCTATGAAAGGCTTGTAAAATCTCAATCACCCAAACGTCGGGAATGGTGCTTTTAATGTCGCCTTTGGATTCGAACTAGCTTAGAATGCTACTTAATCGCGTTTGGCTTCAAATTTCACAGGGAAACCCTTAAGCATGTCGTCTTGAAACTCTACCATACCAAAAACGCGTATTATTGCCAACGTAGTTCCTAACATCGAACAGTAGGATACACTGTAGATGATCGGCTGTTATACACAGATTGAGAGTGGATCTATCTGCTTGGTTGTGTTCTTGGTCCCTTCGCTATTCAGAGAGACTCTGCCTGTTTATATACACTTTAGCCTGTGCTCTGAAGGCCGTTCCTAAAACCTCCTATTCCGTCGCCATGCTGTTGCAGGTCGGTGGGAACAACGGTGTTGAGGTAAGTGCCGCAATTGGTGTGACAGCTAGCGTCTTAGGTGGTTTGTCACAGTGGCTATCTTGCAACCCTGTCAACATCTCGCAAGCTCTGGCGCACTATATTCAATCATTCGAATGTTAATATAATCCGAAATCACCTTTTTCCTTAAGTCTATTTGAGCCACTGAGATGAGAGCTTAATCTGCCGATCTTGAAGCGATGGCCCAGTACTGGTATCTTCGCCTCCCGTCATGGCATGACCGTCCTCGACTCCGAGGACGTCGAACCCCTGACCGAAAACAAAAACCTTGCGGTCGATGAACTTCTCCTCATCTGGCAGGATGTATTCTTGGTAGAAGGGATCCTGCAAGGCAGCCGCCCACATTGACAATAGAGGCACTTGGATCTCAACCAAGCCGTCAAATCCAAGGTCGTTGTAGATCGTTCTCAAACCAGGCCCCAGGACACCGGGAGCTTCATTTGCTAATCCCTCGGGCCTTTCTAGCAAGAAGTGAAACTATATGTACCGGTTCACAGCTGTAAGCGGGATCCATTTGTGTTAATGGGATTTAGGGCTCAACTATAGCTCATACCTGCCGGGTACTTCAAAATGCCGTGTCTGGCTAAGAAAGGAGAGACTAACAGTGCATGTACCGTCTCCCAGTGGTGGCTAAATTCTTCGTGGCTTATAGTTTCTCTTCACCGTACTAGAATGAGGATCTTTGCGTTGGTAGACTCACTAGAAACGGCCTTCTTTGTCGTGGTCGACATGATAATGCAGTTCGTAAAACGAAATAGGTCCGATTTGATATTGCCAAGGGCTTATGTTACCCTACGATAAGAACCGCCCAATACTCTGCCGGACAATCTTTGGGAGGTGAGGTCTAGGTCCCTTCCGAATGTTCCAATTACATGGGCGCTCTTTTGTACTGGTCGCTGGTGGGTGTTTTATTCACTGCAACAGGTGAACTCAGATCCCCTTCAAACCCCGAAAAGTGAACTTTGAATGGAGGTTCCTCCCCGGGCCCAGAGAAGAACCCTAATATCCGGGCTTTTTCGCTGCATCAGCCGAAGATATCATCAGGTGTCACTGCATAAGTGCCCCTTCGTAACGTGGTCGTTATTCGGAGCTTCGTCCATCATCCTGTCCGAAACCGTTCGGCGCCAGCCTTGAGTATGTATAGTTTTAAGCCTTCTGGCTTTGAGGCCAACCCCTGAATTGCCCATTTGTAGGGGTCGATCAAAAACACCCCTTCCTCCACCCCTCCCTCTCCGTACTGGTAGTAACCTCCATGGCACGAGGTTTATATCCCGTACCCGCTTCCAGCTGTAAGAAGACAAGTATAGACCTATGACTCACTGAAGGTGTTCATGTGTGTTTCCTTGCTATACTAGCATCGCCCGTAGGGAACCAATGGTTGCCTCTTATGATGCTCGAAGTCTGACAAGTCCGTCTCGTGGCAGCCGTCAGGTTCGCGAGTTTAAATCTCTTGGTGGCGCAGAAGACATAATACTTCAGCCGAATCGAAACATGGCTCGAGTCTTCTTTGACTCTCAGAACAACAGGTCACAGCTTACAGTTGGACCGGAGGCAGCGAGCAGCTGGGCCAATGCCCGTTCGAAATCTCATGAGCGTTGACTGACAGCTGTGGACAGCCTTAGCAGGAGGGCATGTAATGTAAACCAGCTGACGTAGCACTCAAATTCCAGGCATCCTGCGTATTCAGCTCTGATAGGAAGACACTTCGAGTCTCAGCGTCCCCAGTTATTGCCAACAAATGCTCAAGATGTCACTGCGCTGCCCGAGCTCAGTTAGCTTGCGAATAGCAAACTTCATATGTGGATTTGAGGCCAACTCGGAAGTCTTGCTTCAACGTTTTGGCTTGCTAACTGTCAGTGTAAGCCACCAGCGCTCAACTATTGTTCAGGTACGAACAAAACACCTGGCTGGGTCAGCATGTGTGACTTGTGCTACCCGGCTGACTGCAAATACCATTCTGACCTGAAAGGATAGGTGCTACTGTTGTCAGTTGCCCGCTTATACACCGGCTCCCTCTCAAATTTACTCCTCAGCGGACACTTCGACATCCTGTTTATCAACCTCTCCTGCATGTTGCAGTTTGCGGGCGATCTCAGAGGTAAGCTTCTCCTGCATCAACTTGCCTTTGACGCATATAGCTCCGATAATGGCCACCAGCCCAAAAGCAATACTGGCATAGTATACGGTCTGAAAGGATTTGAAGTATGCCTTCTGAGCACCTGCAACTGTCGCCTCGATCGCCTGGGGCGTAATTCCTGGAATCTTAGCAATGGCTGCCTGGTTGCCTGCTGTGATGACTTGGATCAGCGCTGCGGCGGATGCCTGTGAAAGACCGGCTTGGATGGCGGCTGGGAAAGCATATCGTGCCATATTAGACGCGATCTTATTGTTGAGCTAAAACATGTTTAGTTAGTGCGATTTTCATGATGCAAGAGATGTTATAGGGAAACCAACAATTGTCACGTAAATTGAGCCTGTAAGCATAGTTAGAGTCCACACTTCAAGCATTTGAGTCAAGTTGGCTTACTTGAAAGGCTGGAGAAAATAGTCCGGAGACTATACTGTGCACCATTTGCTAGCCCGATGTCCTTTGGGTGGAGATGCAAAGGGGCTCCGGCAATGCAAACAGTCTCGATATAACCGATGCCAGAGCCACCTATCAAACTCATCGCAATCCCAAAGCCAAGGTTGGAACCATCTGCTGCCGCCAAAGCGCCAATGAAGGATGTGAAAAGAGCGGTGCTGAAGACTAGTTGCCATTTAACATAGATGAACTTTGAAAGAGGGGCAACCAGGGGCCCAGAAATTAACCAGCCAAGGAGCACACCTGAGGTGAGGGTACACTGAGTAATCCAAATCAGAATGGAAGGATCGTGAAATGGTCGATGTGTACACTTACAGCGGTCCAACCAGCTGCGCCCGAGGAGAGCCCGAACACGGCGACTAGCTGCTGGGGCCATAGGATGCTCAAGGCATAGAACACCATTGACGCAGCGCAGGAGCAGACTGTTAACAGCATGTAGTTCCAGTTTCCCAACAGCATCAGTGGGAGGAATGCATGTCTAGGTCTAGCAAAGTAATCTTGTCTCCGTCAGTACATCGCTGCCTCTGTTTCGAGTAAAAGGTTGGTCATACCCCAAAACCCAATGCTGATCATGCCAATGCCTCCCAGGACTATGGTTACAATGCATTGAGCCGAGCGCCAGGCTGTGTACTCATATATCAGCAAGGAGATACATACAGTTAGTGAAAGAACCACTCACGATATCTCTGTCCGCCCCACGAGATGCCCAATAGCAGAGAGGCGGCGCTTCCGCTGTAAAGGACAATACCCACATAATCAATATGTTTGACAGTGTCCATGATGCTGCTGCCTTTGTGAAGGTGATGGAAGGTCGGAGGAAAGTAGAAAAAGAGGAAAAGCACAATGGCAGAGAACGTCATTATAGCCAGCAGATAAAATATCCATCTCCAACCCTGATCGGTGTCGAGACAGAACGATCGACCTTGAGATGGTCAGAGAAAGCTGCTGGATAGTGTTGCAATGAGGGTCTCTTACCGATAGCATTAGCAAGAGCTGTTACAGGGGCAAGGCCCGCTGTGATCAGCACGAACACACCAAATCGCTTATTGTTTGGCACCAGCTCGCCGGTGACAGCAGAACCTGCTATTTGAGCGGCTCCGCCGAGACCGACGAGAATATTCTAGACGAGGTGAGTGACACATCCATGCGTCAACGATCCACGAAGACTTACCCCACCAATGAGCGTATTGATAGTCTTAGCTCGGCTGCTCACGAGATACCCAACGAAAGCGATAACATTGGCTCCAATGAAGAACCATCTACGTCCGAAGATATCTGACAGACGACCATTGATGGGAAAAGCAATGGCCTGACCCAGTGTGATGGCGAGGATAACCCAAACAAGATCTTCACTGGGCCCTTTTGGCATATGAGTTTGGTTAACATGTCAGGATAAACCAGGGGAGACACAAACCTATGTCGTTGTCGATAATAGTCAAAGCACCGGCCACCATCACGTACGACAAGAATGAGGCTTCGTAGGCCAACATAAAAGCCTGGCGAGATACAGCGTCAATTTTACATCTGTTGGCTCGACTCCTAGTTACTCACCAAGAGGGACCCAATGACCTTCGTACTACGGTAGTAGTGCCTAGGCATCTCTGAGAGGTCCTTTCCGCCTATAGCCTTTCTATCGACGCAGTCAAATCCCTCCTTTTCCTGACTACTCGCCTCGGCCTCAACATGTTGGATCTGGGGTGGTTCAGGCTTCTCCATGATCTGGGATTGTTCAGGCTTCTCCATGATCTGGCGTAAGTTTTCGTTCATGTGCGAGCCAGGCGACTCCAAGATCAAGCGTGGAAGCTTTTGCAAGGCTGTTGGGACGAATGGTGGAAGTGTTTATGAAATAGTACTTACCAGGATTGACTTGTATGGAGAACCAATCGCTACTCGGCGTGTGCTTGGGTCTCGGGCTTAATAGCATACCTGCGGAGAGCGGGGACTCCGCAATCCGACTAAGGTTGAGACTCGCCGGGCAGAAACTACCGGACTTGAGCCTCCGATTGTTTTGCATCCAAGTCGACGCTGTATGCTCCCAAGCTGGAGAAGCACTCTGGACGGGACGGGACAGCATATGGCAATCGTACAGCTTCACATGGTAGACGACTTTGCGGACACTGTTGGCCTACATGGACATACTCGGCCTTCCCATGACAAGGTGTTGAGCTAGGAACGTTCTGATAGCATGGATTGGCATTGTCAATCCTGTGTTGTCCGTTCTGTATGATCTGACCAGTTCTGACTGGCTCTGGTCACTGCTGACTATTGCCGTCTCCCTCCGACTATGTGGACACACCTCCCCTTTTATATACACAGAGTAGTACTGTGAACGGAAGGCTTCTCCCAAATCATGCCGCCGATATCGGCCTTCCTGAGCAGTGTGGGACAAAATTATTGCTTATTTAAATAGTTATTTAAATAGTAAATAGAAACCTACAATTTATATTTAAATAGTTTTAGTTATCTACTTAAATACTACTTAAATAGTTAGATAAATAATACTATTCTTAATTAGGTAATATTACTTAATTATAAATAGCTTTTAAAAACTTATAAATAAGGGGTTTATCTAATTAGATGTTAGGGATTCCTTGGTAAGTAGGCAGAATCTAACGATAAGCGTATATTTAAGATATCCCTATAGTATATGGTCGATACTGTACACGACTCAAAGCGTAAGAGAGGAAAGAGTGCACCTCCTATGCGGGGAGTGTGCTAGTAATAAGGATGCACTCCTCGAGTCGCATCCCTTGGCTGGTGGCCTGATTGTATTAGGCGTCCGTCCTTCCGATGTTTAGCCGAATCCGTAACATTAGAAAGATATAAGCGAAAGCGTAGCTAGACTAAGTTAAGCGAATTTTATACTGTGTTTCACTTCACTATTAAATTTACCTATTTAGTTAACTAGCTACTGCTTACTAGGTTAACTAGCCACTACCTACCTACCCTACCTATCTATAAAAAAAAGATAAAAATAGGTGGAAATTATCTAGTCTATCGTTAAGGGCGCCTCTACTACTAGTTTCTTAAGCTATTAGTATATCACGAGCCCACCGTTATCCCTAAGTACCCTACGCTCTCCACCCGAATCGAGTGGATGGTATAGAAAGAAAAGGATAAGGCAAAGGATGGTTAAAGTATAAGGCTATTAGTTAACAAGGCTATCGGTTAACGTAGCCTTATTCTTTTTACGTAATAAAAAGAGAGGAAGCTATAAGAGTTTCCTCTCACCTAAATCGGGTGAGAGAGAACTCTTTCTTTTTCTTAAGCGCTGAGTCGTTGTTAAAAGGACTACGTAATATAAAATAAGTATTTAGCTACTTTAATTCTCTATATCTACTACGTTGCGTAGGTCTCTAATATAGTAATAGCTATTTAATTCTATTATATAGAAAGTGAAATTAGTAGTAGAAGTTTTATAATACCTTTTAATAATAGTCTACGTTCGGATCGCTCTACTCTCTATTAGTTAAACTAGAATAGAGCCCTCAATAGTACTAGTTAGAAATCTAGTCTAATAGTACTAGCATTCACTTATCTTCTAAAGTCTCGAAATCGAACGAGATATTCTCACTATTACTCGCGATAACGTCTATAATAACGATACTATTGTAATAAGGTAAGGTGGCTGTGCAGTGCTGGGGTGGTAGACTAGCAGGGCAGAGGTCTATTAGGTCACATGTCAAACGTAATTGGAGAGCTAAGAGCAGGACGGTTCACAGGACAGTTCACAGAACAGTTTATAGGACAGTCACAGGACAGTTCATAGGACAGTTGATAGTGCTGGCAGTGTGTTAAAGATCCTACTGGGGCCTAACTGGGTTAGGGTTCCTAGTAACAATCTGAATAGTATGAACTGGTTGGGGAGAACACAAGGTATGAGAAGTCACTTGTCACTAAGAACTATAAGTCCAATAGTTAACATGAGTTGGCTACGAAGAGAGTGTAGGCTAGAGACGGGGGGTGGGCGCAGCTATATAGTCACATCC